GCAATGATCAAAGAGCTTCAGAAACCCGGACCGCAATCCAAGCTTCGTGTCCTCATGACCACCGAGGCACTAGCGCTCGGAGTGGACCTCCAGGATATTGATCAAGTTGTCATGTATCGGTTCCCCAAAAACCTACAACCAGCAACGCTCTGGCAACGCGGTGGTCGGGCATCTCGCCTTGGACAGGATGGAAAGATCGTTATTCTCGTTGATCAGTGGATACAGGGGCGTATCAAGAAACGTGCCGTGAAACGCAAGATTCATACAGAAAATGATGATCTAGCGGAAGACAACCCACTGGCCGATTCAGATGATGAAGTCAAAGAAGCAAACCCTGAGAGACCACAGAAAGGTGGACGCTTAAGTCATGAAGAGCGACGTGCTGTGTTGCCTGAATTTTGGTATCTCCTTGCCAATGAGCCTACAGAATGCCTCCGGAAACGGTTCCTGGACTACTTCAATGAACCTGAAGAGTTCAGATGTAATCCTCGGCGTGACCGGTGCTGCAGCAACTGCAATCCTGAGTATCAGCTCAATGATCCAACTCGTTATCTGTATACTGAGCACGGTCCGAGGTCAGGACAGATGGACGAGATAATCATCAACCAGTTAAAATATTGGTCCAAGGAGGTCCTTTCAAGCGCTTTGAACGGAGTGAAGTTCATACCTGATTGCTCAAGCATACTGGCAGAAGAACAATATGTCCATCTTGCGATATATATTGAAAATGCCACCTATTCGGAGCGGGAATATTTCCAGGCAAAGGATCTTCAGACAATATTGGGAATATGGGCTTTGTCGAATCAGCTTGCTGAGGGTCTTGTGGATGTCTTGAAGAATGCATATCAAGCAGCCTTTATGGCCACTATTCAAACCCCTGCAAAGAGGAAGCGTGTGTCGAATGACTCTAGTCAAATGAGTGAATGCAGCAACCTCACATGGTCTTCTGCAGTCACGCCAGAAAGCACCAGTCAACCAACTCCATCTCGGAATATCTCTCCGTGGGTTGATATTAACACGCCATCCCAAGCTTTTATGGACATGCCTCCTCCTTCGGCAACTCCAGTTCCCAAACGCAAGGCCCTCGGTGTGGTATCAGGAAATGGGCGTCGCGTGATGAAGGGTGGAGAAGACCTAGGTTCTAAGGTCTGGTAGAGAATGATGAACAATCCATCTGATGCATTCCATCAATGTGTGTCAGTCACCTTATAATATAGCGTGGGAGTATTATCAATGGAATGAAGAGAAGTATAGCTAAAGCTGTCCCGGCAGCAACCTGCTATTCAGTGTCATGTGTCATTCTCTTCAATCTCATCTAGAACAGCAATAGGAGTCGATGTCATCTTGCTAAAATCAACTTCTTGTGCCCACTGTCCGTTGACGACGAGGCTATTGAAGTTCTGTACGGCTTTGAAGAGCTTTTCGCCAATTGTTTCTGTGAGTATATCACATGGTTGAAAGCCTCTTGTCCGACCATTTGGTTGCTTTTGGATGCACTTCGAGATCTGATAAGCTAGATGACGAACATCCTGGCTAGCATCCTTATTTTGGTGTCGCCCATTGCTATATTCTCCAAAGGTAGCCTCCAGAAGCTCCTTTAGATCAGTACAGTAGCTGGCTGTGAGAGCAGTTCGACGGAACATGGTAGTGATGTCCAGATTTGAGGTCCGTCGAGTCGACATGAGTGTCTTCATATGAAGATTGAAGAACTCATTCAGTCGATCAATTTCGAACCAACCGTCCTCCGCACCCCGTAGATTCACAAGTCCGTTGGCAAGAATGGCAGTCTGCAGCTCGGGATCAGCTGCTTTGGTTTGAGTGAGCCATGTCATATACAAGGAGAGGAAAGAATATCGGGTTTTCTTTGTGCCAGGGAAGAGGAGACAACATTGTGCAAAGATCCGCTGGATAATTCCAATGTCACCAAGTTTGATGGCAAGCTTCAAGGACTTGTAAGTCTCCATCTGCTGAAGGAATTTCGCATGTGCTGAGAACTCATAGTCGACTGGTTCTCCTTCTCGTTCACGAACCTTAGACTGCTGCTCTTTAAAATGGAACAGAGACTGGCGTATCTGATCCACAACGTCCAGGAATTGACCCCTTCCGAGGCTTTGAATCCAATCATCCACATCTTTAGCATCCGCGAAATTGACTGTTAATGGGACAAACTGATAGAACATGGCCGTGACGCGAGCGTCAAATGAGCGAGTAGCCACCTCTTCTTTATGGTGGAATGGACTTTTGTGTCCCTGTACGCAACCGAGACAGACCTTATTATGATGGATCGTCGATTCAACGGTAGGGTGGTCTGTCCCAGCATAGAGCTCAAAGATCATATCCAAGTAGTTCATACGCCAGTGGAACAGTCCGGGGATTGGCAATATCCAGCTGAAACGATCGAAAAGACGAGAAGCCTCCGCACGTTCTTTTTTGACGGCACGAAGGAGTGACACTGTTTTCTGATCTCCATAAACCAGTTGTAAAAGCCCATCAAGGTCTGTATCATCATCATCCCCCAGTTGCTCCAGAAAGACATTCTGAATGACCTTGTATGTCCCCTCTGTCGTGCCTTCGTTGTATAACATTGGCCCAAGGCTGTAGTGAATTGTCTTCTGCGCTTGCAGTCGTTTAACTGCTGGGAATTCAGGCCAGTCAATAAGATGGGCTCGCGGTTTCATCTGGCCTGGTTTGACGCACGCTTCCGCAGTAAATAGTTTCTCTACTGCCTCCCGATGAGTATAGCGAATGGCCTCTGCAATCCAATGGCGCTGACATTGATGGAAGATCTCATCATCCTGATTGCCTGGTGCCATGTAGATATCATGAGGACTCAGTGTAACCTCTGGATGGAACATAGATCGGAGAAGCCCTCCTGCAGGGATGGACTGACCGATACAAAGCTTGCCAGTGGTGGCGGAGATATGCTCTGATGGATCACGAATAGTTTGATGTCGAACAGTCTGGCTGTAGTCAAAGTTATCCCATGCCACAATGAGATTCCTGCGAGAAGCCTGGGCATTCTGTTTCAATTGTTTCTGTACACATCTTGGGGTAAGAAGTCAGCCAGAACATGTTATTCTCCGGTAAATGCGGTTATAGTACCTGTCCTAGTTCTGCAAGTTCCTTCCGTCTGTCCATGATAGTCTGGTATGCTGAGTTTATCCCCAGGCCAGCCAGAAAGCTAATCACACGTCGCTTGACACCCATTGCATGTAAATACAAGCCGATCAACATCGGGAAGTTGTTGCTTTTCCGTGGTGCAAAAGCGCAAGCCAGAATTGAACAGACCATCACAATGCTGCCCTGGTGGATCTTGGGTGTATCGCGATGGTTTCCTGGAGGTGTCATGATGCTAACGAGCAGTCCACAGAGCTCTGGAGCTTTCCTCTGCATCTGCGTAGCCAAGCTAGAGATGTCCATATCTTTAGGGTCCACATTGGACTGGAACTCGCCGAGTATATCTCCGTTAATCAGCCCTCGAATCTCGGTCTGTATCCGAGACACGAGATCGGATGCACCAGTGGCATATATGTCTTTTGAGACACTACCTAGCCGCTCAATAATTTCAGGTTGCCCATATATAGCGTCAGACAATTTCTGTGCTCGATACGATGTCGAATATCCATTTTTTTTGACTGGTTGTGCATGCACCATGTGGTAAAGAAGATCCTTGATTGTCCACCGGTGCTTATCATTAAGCTCAGCCAGTACCATATCGACACGTTCGCGTGGCTGCAATCCTGAGATATAACGAGATCGCTGAGTAGACGCAGGTGGTTCTTGTAATGGTGAACTGGAAGAAGGCCACTCGAGGGAGGATTGTCGAGCACGCTTTCGCGATCTAGAGATCATATTGGGCAAATCCGGTGATGCCATTCTTTCTAACAATGTCAGAAATACTCTCAGAGAGCTTGAGAAAACACACCTTGACCAAATGGTGGGGTTGCTGGCGAGAACCGGAAACTTGTATGTACGGAAGGGGTTCCCGGCTCAGACCACGGGCTGATGAAGCAACCCAATCGGGTTAGCGTGGCAGAATCGGCAGAATTCTGTCTCATCATTGGCTGTGGTCTGAGGGAACTGAGGTAACCTAGAGGTCGCTGGCGGAAAGCTGAGTCAGCAATCAGGTGCCCTCGCAAAAGCTCTGATTGGTCGAGGTCAGTACCTCATGTATTAGCTGTGGAAAATGGCCAAACAAGCGAATAAAACGTTGGAAAAGTGAAGCGGAAAATAGAGAAAGTCTAGGTAAAACACACATATAGTCCTGTTCCAAATACAGTGGAAAGTGATGGGTAAAAACCCCGTTTCAATCTCAACGACCAATATCGCGGATTCAAAGCAGGCTCAAATCCATGTTCCTCCCACAATTTCTCAACTTCATTCTCCGACTTGCCTCCGTAGGTGATATTAAAGTCTCTAACTTTCCCCCCTGTGTACTCCGTAAGAACTAGATAGGTTGCTGGCGGGAAGCATTGGTGGTCAAGCGATAGTGATTGGACGAGAAATATCGCGCATCGGCACATTTGAGAGCTGTCTTAATAGCTAATCCTCGAAGGAGCTCTGATTTTTACTCATAACAGCCATAAAAAAAACAGTTACCCAACTATTTCGCGTTGTAATAAATAAATCTACAAATGCTTACTAGTCCATCACAGGATGAGAATATGCATACATTGAAGTTGGTTCACAACTCCGTAGAATCTAACCATTGATTGAAGACGCTACCCGCATTTAACGCACACTACGATGTCAGTTACTTGCGAGTGATCATTTACCGAATTTTTCACTGTAACGTATTAGTTAGCACTGGTTGTTCACGGGACTAAAAGCGCAGCAAGGCCGATCCGATTTGTGTAGATATATCGCGCAGTGGCTTAGACCCGCCAAACAATACCATATGTCACCCTGACAATGTAGATCTTGTGCGATCAAAATTATATAAGAGAGATCTTGCGTACATCCACCCCTTGCGCATTCTTTTCAACCCTATCACGCCCGCCATGTGGAAGCCCACAGTCAACTTTCTCGTTGTGCATTGTTCGTACAGCCTATCGGCGATGGAATTACCTTTTGTCTTTGTGCTTACTCGTTGAACCGTCAGATGCATGGATCATTTCCTTGAGTATCCTTAGCTTGGTTATCATCTACCCTTATGGAAACATGAAAGCAATAGACGCCTTCTTCTTCGGCGCAAGTGCTTCTACAGAGTCGGGGCTCAACACGTCCGTTCTATACCCCAAAACCAAAGCCGCGATACCGAATCATCGATCTGACCAACTAGCTTAGTATTGATCTTAAAGAACTCAAAACTTACCAACAGGTGTACGTCTACCTGATTCCAATCCTTGGCAACTTAGGGTTTGTCAATATCATCGTGGTCATCGTGAGGCTTCACTGGTTTGAGAAGCATCTCCGAGCTGTCTGTAAGGCAACCTATCCCGAGCTGATCAAACTGGCCGATCGCGTGCTGATTCTTTGGTGGATACTATAGCCTCATCGCTTTTGAAACCGGAAGCACCTAAAGGACGAAATGCCAGCTTCGACGTGGAAGCGACGGCAGACAAGAAGCAAGGATTACACAACAAGAGGCATCCAGAGTCTCGCTATGACACCAGCGGAGATAAACCGAAGGAGTCTGTTTTGGGCTCTGAGAACCAAATAGACCCAGAGTCAGTGTCACCTACATACCCCCTTTCTCGGATGAGCTGCTCATGGATGATAGATACAACCCAACGGAAACCGAACAGGAGCACATATCTCACACAGCATCTCCGCTTGCCACAAGAACTATTCAGTTTGGGGATGAGACTCCAGAGTATGATGGACAAACCAAGGCCCTCTACATCCCTCCTCCATGGAAACGTGACCAAGGCAAGTTTGAACCAGGATGACATTCAACGCTCGGGACTGGATTCTAATCATACAAATAGGAAGTCCTATTGTGGAAATTGAGAATGAAACCAACGACTGTGGTGAGTCATTCGCTTGTTCTTGCACGAGGCCTGCTCTAACGCATTTATAGATGATGCAGTATCAACGAAACTGAAACCAACAGACTCGAACATCCCCGGGCCCTCATACTTCCAGCGAACGACTAGCAACATGAAGTCCACCACACGTCAACTTGAGCGCGTTGTTTCGATAATGTTTCGTCCTGGTGGATCGGCAAGCTTTGATACAAGTTCCCGACAACGATCAACCCAAGAAAAACCAACCTACAAAGCATTGGCCCTTCCCAATATTTCCTCACAAGCCTCCATGGGCCGGAACTCACAATTCTACAACTTGACCACTGAAGACCGGGAGAGACTAGGCGGTATTGAGTACCGCAGCTTGAAACTCTTGCTCAAAATTGTCACCGCTTATTTCATTGGGATACACCTTTTCGGTGCTATATGCCTCGTGGGATGGATACAGCATGCCGACCCGAAGTATCGCGAGTACCTTGCTGAATGTGGACAAGACAATGTGTGGTGGTTAGTTGACCTTCTTACAAATTGACAAAATTGCTGAACATAGTCACGGTCTAGGGGATTTTACTCCGCTCAAACAATGGTGAGCAATCTCGGCTTCACTCTGACACCAGATTCGATGATTCACTTTCAAGATGCGACTTTTCCACTGATTGTCATGAGCTTTCTCGCATATGCCGGAAACACCTGTTATCCATGTCTGCTACGACTTGCGATATGGATCATGTACAAACTTTGCCCGGAGAAGTCATCGATGAAAGAGACACTCAGCTTTTTGCTTGACCATCCCCGACGTTGCTACACGCTGCTATTTCCAAGTCGGCCCACATGGATCCTTTTTGGAATTTTGTTCACAATGAACTTCGTTGACGTTGTTTTGATCATCGTGTTGGATCTAAACAACCCCGCGGTGAACAATCTTCCTGCTGGGCCGCGCGTTCTTGCTGCCATATTTCAATCGGCCTCATCAAGACACACGGGAACAGCAATTTTCAACTTGGCAGAGGTCAGCCCAGCTGTTCAGTTCAGTCTTGTGGTCATGATGTATGTGGCCGTATTCCCTATCGCTATAAGCGTGAGGGCGTCGAACATTTATGAAGAAACAACTCTGGGGGTGTATACCAAAGAAAACGACGTGGATGAAAGAAATGGCCAATCCTATATCATGGCCCACATTCAGAACCAGCTCACCTTCGACTTGTGGTACATTTTCATCGGGGTATTCTTTATCTGCATTGCCGAGGCAGGGAAGATTTCCGATAATTCGATTCCTGTAAGTCGTGGCTACTGATTCTTATGTGTGAACGCCCCACTAACTACTTATTCCTAGGCCTTTTCTGTCTTCTCGGTGTTCTTCGAGGTAGTCTCGGCCTAGTAAGTGCCTCATTTCAAACATGTCCGCTTAACCACGATTCAATTTACATCTAACCTTCTTACAGTGGAAATGTCGGCCTAAGTCTTGGGTATCCGACAGTGAGCACATCCCTCAGTGGAGAGTTCACTGTCTTTAGCAAACTTGTTGTTTGTGCGATGATGATACGAGGCCGCCACCGAGGATTGCCATACAAGCTTGATCGTGCCATTGTACTCCCCAGAGAACGTCTGGTGGAAGACGATACCGAGGAAGACCCGAATCGGAGAGGAAGGCAGTTTCGACAGATATCGGGGATCAAACGCTATCATACAAACTAGCAAGATTTGGGTTGATAGATCTATTGGATAGTATTTTCATCAAGCCGTCCATTATACTTGATCTGTCTTTCTATAATTTGATTACCAGACCGAGAAGGGAGTAGCTCAAGACTTCGTATGTCATACTACATGGTCCTCTTCTGTTCGCGTCGTTGCTGTCCGCTGTAATCCCCATTCACCCTCCCCAATCTTCTTGCCATAGAATTTGACGAGGCAACCCACGACCACAGGTCCGACAATGGTATTGAGCAGGATAGCCCAGATGGCAGTAATAAACCCCTCCTCGCTCACATACGAGGTTTCGTTGTAGCCAATCTCAATAATCAAGAGGCCAATCTCACCACGCGCCACCATGGCTGAGCCGAGAAGTAATCCAGCAAGCGACGCGGCACCGTAACTGCCCTTGCTATTATCGGCTTCAGGGGAGCTGTCTGCTTGCTCCCGGGAGTTTGCCTTCTCTTTGGGATCTTGTTGTGTCTTTAATGGTGTTAGGAACTTCCAAAGAGGAACCCATATCCCAACCACGAACTGCGTATATGGTTAACCTGGATTCTATAGTGTGTAGAAGGCAAAATTAACTTACCTTGGCAAACATCATAAGAAGTGTGTATAAAATACCTTTCCATATCCTTTCCCCTGTCCACAGCGACACAAATGGAATTGCAAATCCAATACTAGCAAAGAAAAGGGGCTCCATGAGGTACTTCTGAACATCCAGTAAATAGCACTCAAAAGTATGGACGAAGGTAGGGCTTTTGTTGGCTTCGCGTTCACCTTCTTCACGATTTAAAACAACGAAAGGGCCTTCGGGGTGCTTGCTCGGCAAGTAGGTGAGGAAGGTACCAGCAAGAAAAGCCCCGAAAAGGACGGAGGTGCCCGCATATGCAGCGATGCTGATGAATGCGGATAGTACCAAGACCATCAAGGTGATATTAGAGATGTGGTCGTATTTTGCAAAAGAGTGTTCAATCCATCGTCGAAACACAGGCGCAAAAAACCATTTTGTTAGAACTGGGGTGAGAATAGCCATGGCAAAAGAAGCCACAATTGGGCGACCAATTATCCAGCCAAGATTGACATGGCCTGCCCCGGGACCGGAGAGCTCGCGCAATTGGCTGATAATGCTGTTGAGGGATATATTAGCACTAGAGATACTAATAAAGAGAAGAAAGAAAGTCAAAATATTACTTACCTGGACAGAACAAGGCCCACGACATCATCAATCACAGCAGCGCTGACAAGAATGGAGCCAACCCTAGTCTGAGAAAGATCTATGGACTTGGCGGCCGAAGAAATCACAGCAAAAGTGGTCCCTGATATACCATGTCAGCATTTGGGCACACAAAGCGAGTTGTTGTAGGATGTGAGTGGCACATACCTAGGGAAGTCGCGGATAATGCGGCTCCCATGATGAATGTCTCGACCGCGCCTTATGAACAGTCAATTAGGTGAATATCAATCAGAGAAGTGCTAGGAGACTGACCATATCCATATCCAAGATATAGCAGTAGATAAGAAAGCCCGATGGGAAAACAAACGCCTGTTGCAGCTCCCAGACAACTGACAAGGAAGTTTTGTTTCATAAGGTCAAGTCGCACAGTGAGACCGCCTATAATGACATATTAGCACCATCCTGGGTGATATGGAAGGGTTGCATACCCTCGAAAATGATCAAGATCAAACCAATATAGCCAACGGCGAGGAATGTTTCCTGCCATGGCTTTTCCAGAATATCAGCTAAAGGCTTTCCATAGATAATTCCGACTGCTATTTGTCCAATGATTCCCGCACGAATTATTTTGGCAGAGACGTATTCAGCCAAAGATAGGAAGAAAAAGAACGAGATAATAATTAAGATCTCGACGACTAAATTCCGTTTTAGTATGTCGTATCGAGGGCTTAGGATCATGGCTGTACTTACTACCAGGTTCGTGGTACGCAAGGAAACCACCAGCCATCATGAGGCCAGCTTGTCAACTCAGTTGAAAACTGAGAGAAACAACATCTTAAAACAAGAAATTCGTCACAGAAAACTTCTCAAAGCCGAGACTTCTGGGCATCTTGGCTCTTCCACTTCGTCGGTCACGTGACGTGAGTCGGTGACATCAGCACTGAGCTTTGGCGCTTCTTATGAGTAGCTGTGAAGGAATGTAAGGCAAAAGGAAATAGACGTTGAACCCTTGGAAGCTCCTAACATATGGATAGGAAAAAAGAGAAATTTTCTCCCCATTCGTGGAATTTCCATAACGTTAGGGCTTGGCGTGTGTCGTTATCAATGATGTCATGCCTAGAAGATGCCTAGAATATGTTCCACTTTACTTGGCCCTATGGGATTTCCGAAGTTGACTCGATTTTGAAGCCAAACGGGTAAACAATAAACATCTAAAAACCCTTTCAAACCTTTTCAATTGAAAGACTTTACCACTACGAACAGCCAAACCATAGTGGCAAACTCTTGAATAACCTATTCAATTATGTCCAAAGCTGCAAATATTATACGGAGAACCGAGTAACGTGTTACTAATATGGAAAGCGACAAAATATGTGAATAGTCCATTGTCTCGCCCCAAATGCTTGACGAGGTTCGGGTGCACTGCATAAAGTCCAAGCTCCACTGTAATGATCCCTAAACGGTGCCTCTGGGAACTTGATATCCCTTTCTTGAAGGCATAGCAGGTCTGTCTCCTTGGTCTGTTTGCATTGAGTCACCTCCACGAAACGCATCTATCTCTTCGTTTCTCGTGATGATATGCTTCGCTGTGGAGCGAGGAAGCGGGACATCAGCCATGTTCCGCCGATTACGCCGAAGATGCTCATTAGGGCGATGTTTCGGGATCTTATGGGGATTCTGTTAAGGATCTGCGGGCTCTATAAATGACCAGGACTTTGACTGACTTCATTGGTTTCCGGCCGTTGGAAATGCCCTTTGTCATCGTAATCATTTTGGATGATATTGCTGGGGTTACCACAAGACTTGAGGGTGATGAATTGATAATTAAGAATATGCGAGAGATGATATAGTGCGTGTCAGGATTACAATAAGCAATCGTTTTGCAGAATAGAATGACATCGGCATGAGCACATCTTTATTAATCTGCGCCACCTCAGATGAACCGTTTATAAGAGCAAGTATCTTATGCTCCTATCTGCTACACTGATATTCGGAGAAATTGAAACCAAAAGATGAAGATAACAAGTGAATGTGATATCGCGTTATGTATGCCGAATGAGATAGTATCTGCAGTGAAGCTAAAGCGCCAGGTATCAGAAAACAAAAGGCCACCCACCCACACAATTTACATGTTTGTACAAGGTGTCACGAAAAAGCAGAGTGTAATGCACAGTTATGTAGATGGGAATGTATCATCGCCAGCTCCCTCTCCCTTGGGTGGTTCTCCACCACTGCCAGCCCAACTTCCAGGCGAAGTGTGACTCCGCTTCTTCGAGTCCTTCTTATCCCCGCGCTTCTTCTTCTCACGTGTAGCTCCACGAGCTTCATCCGGTCGGCTAGGACTCCGACTGGATTCGCTGCGGCGAAGGTCTTTGACTTCTTTGATGACTTCGCGGAATCCTTCTTCGATGTTGTTCATGCGAGCCAGAACTAGCTTGCTGAGCATGTCTTGGGTTTGGTTTGGAATATCGCGACGCAAGCCTGCAGCGAAGCCCATCTGTGTATGGAAGCTGGATGGGACAGCGCCGGGGAAGCCGCCTAAACCGCCTGCTACTGCCTTGTTGTCCCCTAGGTCGGAACCGAGATCGAAAAGCAGGGAGGGACGAGGCCGTGTCACTGTTTGTCGATCAGATAGGTAGATGCTATCCACTTCTGGGACGGACATCTGATTGAGTGCGAGCGGGGAGTTCCGAGGTCGAGAAACGTCCAGGATGTGTCGTTTCATTGTGCGCTGGTCCATTGAAGCGGAGACAACAGGGATTCGATCCTCGTCGGAGGAGTCCGCATTAGGTCGGGGAGGCGTTGTCCGGCCTTCGGTTTCTTCGTTCGGGGATCCTACAGGGTTGTACAGCATAGTCACACCAGAAGCATTGCGATTGTGTCTGGGACGACGGGTTGGACTATTGCGGCGAGAAATCATTCTCGCGGTAGATGGACGGGAGCTGTAGAACTTAGGCGAGGGCTTTTCGGAGGCCTCCGCCGGATCTAGGGTGTTGCCAATGGATCCTTGGGCCGACTGTTTACCATCATTTGAATCTCCATCATTGCTGGTCAACTCGTCATCTCCCTCCATATCCGTATGGTGAGAGGGCGCTCGTCTGTGACCAGGCGAGCCAGGTCTTGTGCGTCGAGGCCGCATCATGGGGCTTGCAACCCGACTCAATCGATCTTCGGGATTTGAGGCAACTGACCTCGTCGTTTCCGTAAAATTGCGAGGGCGAGTGGTAAGTTGACTCCGGAAGGGAAGCTTGGGTCGTCGTGGGTTCATCTCGAGATGGTCCACAACGACAGAATCCTGCTCATCGGGACCGTTGGCTGGCCCTGAGCCGATTTCCTGCATCCAGTCTTTGATAACGTTGTTGGTCTGGCGTTCGTGCACAGTACTTGGTGGACCTCGAATTCGATCATCACTGTATGGCCGACGGAATACCTCTTCCAATGCTTGATCTTTCTGATAAGTGGCCACTGATGGTTCTCGTACCATACGTGACACCCTGTTGCTAAAACCACGGAATCGACTAGGGCCCCATTGCTTAGGAGCCGGAGTCACATTTGGTGCTGTCGGCTCGATCAGATCAATTGGCTGTACAACTTGAGCACTGAGAATCGTCTTCTCGTAGAGGCAGATTGTAAAGAGGATGGGTAGGTGGGTGATCTTAATAATGGTCCGATTGAGCCGAATGAATTCTCGAAAAGGCATCAGGTATCGGAACGGTGTCACCAGCCACGCAATGACATTTGTCGGTGCCACGTAGGAGAACAAGGCATCGGACTTGACCATCGAGATGGTGTTGACAGCAAATAGGAACTGATGTTCTTGATTGGCATTCTGGACAATCCTCATAAAAGAGTTCGTCAGAACAGTAATCAAGATTGTGACGACGACGAAATGACAAATGAATAGGAAGACCGTTAGGATCGCCTTTCCTAGGAAATTGTATTCATCCCACATGGCCCACGCAGTAGGCGTAAAGCCCATCAACATTTGGAACAAGCCATACGCCACCACTTTTGGAGAGTTGCTGTCACCAAAGCTTAAGAATGCGACAAAAAAGCCGGAGCAAGCAATGACAATGAGAACAAAGACTGCAATGAGATCAGATGCCATGATTCGAAATGCAATAAGCAGTTGAGAGAAGTAACGGTAATGATCCAAGATGGAAAATAATCGAGGGAACAGCAAGGGTGCCGTCGCCGCGAGAACATCAAACTGAAATAAGTTAGTATATAAGCAATATCAGAGGCATATTACCAAAACCTACAGCTTGATCTGTGATGAGTTGACTTCTAGGGTAGGTCAAGAATGAACCGTAGATCCGCAAGCAATAGTACGCGAAGAGCAATAGCAGGATACCCAAGTCGAACAAATTCCAAAAGCTCATTAGATAGAGACCGAATCCCTGTTCATTGAACCCCACAATTTCGTCAAGCATGAAGCCAGTACTCCAGAACCAAAACACAACCTCGAGTGATGTGATTCTACGGCTGCGCTGTTCCAGCACTGCTAGAAACAGCCCTAAGAGCACTGCATAGGACAACGTGGAAAGAAATTGTCGATAGCGTGGCACCCGCAATCTTGACAATTTGAATAAAGACGCGTCGCGGGGGTTGTAGAGGGACACTGAGCGTCGAAGAATTCCATTGCTTGGTGCTGTTCCGAGGGTTCCATTTCGGTCTATTGATGTCCCATAGTCCATATTCCTATCCGCACGGCGATGTAGGTTGTCGGCGGCCGAGTGAAAGACAACAGTTCCAGCCCAAATAGCTTCCAATTGCTGCACCACGACTGGATGGGCCAAGAATCGTTTGGCCTGTGCGCGAATAGCCACCTCCAAGCATGAGACACGGGCAGCAACTACCCGTTTTCGCTGAAGACCTGTTGCCAATGCGGTGGTAGAATCCTGACCCTGAAGGGGATGGAACTCGTAGGACAGCGCGTCAATCAATTCCCGCGTCGAATATTCCCTCAACAGTTTGATCGCCAATAGTTCGCTCACCATGGCCCGTGTCTGATTTGCCCCGCTATTCCCCGGACTCAGGTGCATTTCCTTCTCAAATTGAAGACAATTGGCCATCAATGCGTAGAGTGTCGCGCGTGAGAACTGGGCGGACATGATTTTCTGTAGAATGGGCTTGACCAGGAACTGGGAGACCTGCGGCGAGCGTAGTTGATCCCATGTCAAAGTGGTTTCGCAGCGGGAGGCAATCAAAGGACGGATAGCATGAGTGATGTTGTAAACGGGCAGAGCATCTAATCATTAGATCTTGTTACTATCTGCTAGTGTATCCAGCAGGGAACTTTCATACCCAGATGCGACGCAGAGAACATGGGCAGGAGAGGTGTCGACTCGAGTGGGCCGTCTTCCTCCTCCTCTCCCTCCCAGTCCTCGTCCATGTCTTCTTCGTCGATCCCTTGAAGCTCCGGCGCATCATCTTCACTGCTTTCGCCGGATCTGTTGACGCGTCGTGGATTGTTGCGCGGGGCACGCGACCATGGAGAAGGCGTTGAAAAAGGCGACTGATCAACCTGATCGCGCTGCCGTTTGGGACGCAGCAGAGACGCAAACATGGTGGCCGGTAATGATCACGGTTTGCATAACCGAGGCGAATCAAGGGGGAGGGGTGTTAGAGCATCACGGAAACGGGTTAGAAGAGAACGAGAAGAAAAAAGAGGAAAGCACTGCAGAGTGAAGGTAGTTGAAGTTGAGACAAAAAGCGGGATCTAGTCGGAGCTATCTTAGTGCTGTGTTCCCCACGTCATAGTACATACACAGGGCGCACCGATTCTTGGTGTGCAACAATGAGTGATTTGCCAGTTAATTATCGCATATACTGGTTTTTGAGTACATATAATTTGGATCATGCGTGCATATGGGTAGGACGGGGAATACCGGTAACTCAAACCGCCACATTCCGATATTATAGGTTCAGTTAAGAGATATATGGCTGTGTATAGTTGCCTATTTGCCTATAACACACTTACACACTAAACTATATTCACCTACAGTTAATTAATACCAAACAGAGCTGATACTGTTATCGGCCCACCGCCTAGGCATATATCATATGCATGCAGATGCTTAGCTAGGGACCTAGGTAGGTACCTATAAGCGAGGAGTCTAATGCATAAGCAAAATACAATTGACTCCTATAAACTCATGGAGGTAGAAATATAAAAGTATTTACGGAGTACTAGACTATGACATACACAGAAATCTCTGCGGTGAAATGTACCGAAAACAGAAGTGGGGCTCAAAATGCACGAAAATATTTTCTGCCGAGTTTTCTTCTCTTCCTCCTCCAACCAGCTGGTTGCAGCACTGCCTTTTTTATCTATACTCCTTTTTGCGGTCTTTTATTTTTTCTGTTTACTCCAAAAGTTTCTATCCTATAGCGAATGCTGAATTAGGACCTGCACACACGAAATCCGTCCTCGAGAGGACTTGTTCCCTCCTCCAGTTGCGATGTCCCACGCCAATTCTCTCGACGACACAGTTCTGCCTACTAGTCCCAAGTTGGGAGGACCTGTTGCATACCCAGAGTCCCTGCCTGTCATGGATTCAGTCCACGGTGCGGTGATAAAGCCCGCCTCCATCCCTGTCCGGGGTGGTAGCGGCCGCTTGGCTTCCCTTGAGTTGGCCGATGGCACAGTCTACCAGGGTTACAACTTTGGTGCTGAGAAGAGTATTTCGGGTGAATTGGTCTTCCAGACCGGTATGGTCGGTTACCCCGAGTCCATCACCGATCCCTCATACCGCGGCCAGATCCTGGTTATTACTTTCCCACTTGTGGGTAACTACGGTGTCCCCGCACAGGATGAGATGGATGAGCTCCTGAAGGACCTCCCCAAGTACTTCGAGTCCAACCAGATCCACGTTTCGGCCTTGGTGGTGGCAGCCTACGCCGGCGAGGACTACTCGCACTTCTTGGCCAAGTCCTCGCTCGGCCAATGGCTCAAGGAGCAGGGTGTTCCTGCCATGCACGGTGTTGACACTCGTGCTCTCACCAAGCGTCTTCGTCAGACCGGTAGCATGCTGGGTCGCATGCTGCTGCAAAAGGATGGTGCCTCCGATGCCGCTGGTATCGACGGTCCCAACTGGAGGTCCCATTTCGAGGAGACCGCATGGGTGGACCCCAACACAAAGAACCTTGTCGCCGAGGGTGAGTGACCTACCAGGTTAAGTAGCGAGAAAACAAGAATTGGCTTTCTGACAGCATCTTTTCTCCCTCTACAGTCTCCATCCGCGAGCCCCGCCTATTCACACCTCCCGAGAATGTCGCCCTCAAGCACCCCTCAGGCCGTGGAGTCCGCGTTCTCTGCTTGGATGTTGGTATGAAGTACAACCAGCTGCGTTGCTTGCTTTCCCGCGGAGTGGAAGTCTTGGTCGTCCCTTGGGACTACGATTTCCCTACCCTCGCCGGAAAGGACTTCGATGGTCTGTTCGTGTCCAACGGTCCCGGTGACCCTGCCACTTTGGACATCACCATCAAGAACCTCGCCAAGATGTTCGAGGATGCCCGCACACCCGTTTTCGGTATCTGCTTGGGTCACCAGTTGATTGCCCGCTCCGTCGGCGCCCAGACCTCCAAGATGAAGTTCGGTAACCGCGGCCACAACATTCCCTGCACAAGCATGATCTCCGGCAAGTGCCACATCACTTCTCAGAACCACGGTTATGCCGTGGATGCCAGCAGCCTCAAGGACGGCTGGGAGGAACTGTTTGTCAACGCCAACGATGGCAGCAACGAGGGTATCCGTCACACCAGCCGCCCCTTCTTCAGTGTGCAATTCCACCCCGAAAGCACCCCCGGTCCCCGTGACACCGAGTACCTATTCGATGTCTTCATCAACACCATCCAGTCCACCATTGCCTCCCCCGAGGCTCTCAACTTGCCCGTCTCTTTCCCCGGTGGCATCAAGGCCGAGAACGTCCTTGCTGCTCCCCGAGTCTCGGTCAAGAAGGTCCTGGTTCTCGGTTCCGGTGGTCTCAGCATCGGTCAGGCTGGAGAGTTTGATTATTCCGGCAGCCAAGCCATCAAGGCTCTGAAGGAAGAGGGTATCTACACTATTCTGATCAACCCCAACATTGCCACCATTCAGACTTCCAAGGGTCTGGCTGACAAGGTGTACTTCCTGCCGGTCAACGCCGACTTCGTCCGCAAGGTCATCAAGCACGAGCGTCCTGATGCAATTTACGTCACATTCGGTGGTCAGACCGCCCTCTCCGTCGGTATCCAGCTCAAGGATGAGTTCGAGGAGCTCGGCGTCAAGGTTCTCGGTACTCCCATTGACACCATCATCACCACCGAGGATCGTGAACTGTTTGCCCGCAGCATGGATTCCATCAACGAGAAGTGTGCCAAGTCTGCTTCTGCTTCCACCCTTGAGGAGTCCCTCCAGGTCGTTGAGGACATTGGCTTCCCCGTCATTGTTCGCGCTGCCTACGCTCTTGGTGGTCTCGGATCTGGATTCGCCAACAACATGGATGAACTGAAGGATCTCTGCACCAAGGCCCTGGCTGTCAGCCCCCAGGTTCTGATTGAGCGCAGTATGAAGGGCTGGAAGGAGGTCGAGTACGAGGTTGTTCGTGATGCCCAGGACAACTGTATCACTGTCTGCAATATGGAGAACTTCGATCCCCTTGGTATCCACACTGGCGACTCCATTGTCGTGGCTCCTTCCCAGACCCTCTCGGACGAGGACTACAACATGTTGCGTACCACCGCTGTTAACGTCATTCGTCACCTCGGCGTCGTCGGTGAATGTAATATTCAGTACGCCCTCAACCCCTTCTCTCGGGAATACTGCATTATCGAGGTCAACGCCCGTCTGTCTCGTTCCTCGGCTCTGGCCTCCAAGGCTACCGGTTACCCTCTTGCGTTCATCGCTGCCAAGCTGGGTCTCGGTATTCCTCTGAACGAGATCAAGAACTCGGTCACGAAGTCCACTTGTGCTTGCTTCGAGCCCTCGCTCGATTACTGCGTGGTCAAGATTCCCCGTTGGGATCTGAAGAAGTTCACTCGTGTCTCCACTCAGCTCGGTTCCTCCATGAAGAGTGTTGGTGAAGTCATGAGCATTGGCCGAACATTCGAAGAGGCCATCCAAAAGGCCATCCGGTCCGTTGATTTCCACAACCTTGGTTTCAGCGCCACCGATGCCCTGATGTCCATCAAGGGCGAGCTTCAGACTCCTTCCGACCAGCGTCTGTTCGCCATTGCCAACGCCATGGCCGCTGGCTACACCGTTGATGACATTTGGAAGCTCACCAACATCGACAAGTGGTTCCTCACCCGCCTGAAGGGCCTAAACGACTTCGGCAAGTCCATGTCCGCCTTCAACGCCACCTCTGTGCCTGTGCCTATGATCCGCCAGGCCAAGCAGCTCGGTTTCTCCGATCGCCAGCTCGCCAACTTCCTGGACTCCAACGAGCTGGCTGTCCGCCGCATGCGTGTTGAGGCTGGTATCATGCCTATCGTCAAGCAGATCGATACTGTCGCCGCCGAGTTCCCCGCTGTGACCAACTACCTCTACCTCACTTACAATGCCTCCGAGCACGATCTGTCGTTTGATGATCACGGTATTATGGTTCTGGGCTCTGGTGTCTACCGTATCGGTTCCTCCGTCGAGTTCGATTGGTGTTCTGTGCGCACTATCCGTACTCTCCGCGAGCAGGGCCACAAGACTATCATGGTTAACTACAACCCCGAGACTGTCAGTACCGATTACGATGAGGCCGACCGCTTATACTTCGAGAACATCAACCTCGAGACTGTGCTCGACATCTACCAATTGGAAACCTCCAGTGGTGTCATCATGTCCATGGGAGGACAGACCCCTAATAACATCGCTCTGCCCCTGCACCGCCTTAACGTCAACATCCTTGGTACCTCGCCTGAGATGATTGACGGCGCTGAGAACCGTTACAAGTTCTCGCGTATGCTGGACCGTATTGAGGTCGATCAGCCCGCCTGGAAGGAACTCACCTCCGTGGAGGAGGCCCGCGGTTTCTGTGACAAGGTCGGATACCCTGTGCTGGTCCGTCCCTCCTATGTCCTATCTGGCGCTGCTATGAACACTGTCTACTCCGAGCACGATCTCGCCAGCTACCTGGGTCAAGCTGCCGATGTCTCGCGTGAGCACCCCGTTGTTATCACCAAGTACATCGAGAACGCCAAGGAGATTGAGATGGACGCTGTTGCCCTCAACGGTGTTATGGTTGGTCACTTCATCTCTGAACACGTCGAGAATGCCGGTGTTCACTCTGGTGACGCTACTCTGATTCTGCCTCCCCAGGATCTGAGCGAGGAGACCGTCCGTCGTATCGTGGAGGCTACCCGCAAGATTGGTAACGCACTTAACGTCACCGGCCCTTACAATATCCAGTTCATTGCCAAGGACAACGACATCAAGGTCATTGAGTGCAATGTTCGTGCCTCGCGTTCGTTCCCCTTCGTGTCAAAGGTCATGGGCGTCGACCTGATCGAGATGGCAACCAAGGCTATGATCGGTGCTCCCTTCCAGGAATACCCCCTGTTAACGTCCCCAAGGACTATGTCGGTGTCAAGGTTCCCCAGTTCTCATTCTCTCGTCTTTCTGGCGCTGACCCCGTCCTGGGTGTCGAGATGGCTTCCACTGGTGAGGTCGCTTCGTTCGGTCGTGACAAGTACGAGGCCTACCTCAAGGCTCTGCTGTCCACCGGGTTCAAGCTGCCCCGTCGCAACATCCTTTTCTCCATTGGTGCCTACAAGGAAAAGATGGAGATGCTGCCCTCCATTCAGAAGCTCTCCCAGCTCGGTTACAACCTGTTCGCCACTGCTGGTACTGCTGATTTCCTGAAGGAGCACGGTGTTTCCGTCAAGTACCTCGAGCACCTTCCCGACCACGAGGAGGAGGACATGAAGTCCGAGTACTCTCTCACTCAGCACTTGTCCAACAACTTGATTGACTTGTACGTCAACTTGCCATCCAACAACCGCTTCCGTCGCCCTGCCAACTACATGTCCAAGGGTTACCGCACTCGTCGTATGGCTGTTGACTACCAGACTCCTCTGGTCACCAACGTCAAGAACGCCAAGATTCTGATTGAGGCCATTGCTCGCCACTTCCCTCTGAATATCATCACCGCCGATTTCCAGACCAGCCACCGCACTGTCGTTCTGCCCGGTCTGATCAACATTGCTGCATTTGTCCCCAACCTTGTTTCCGCTGGTTCCAACGACTTCGAGGCTGTCTCCAAGGCCTCGCTCGCAGCTGGTTTCAGCATGATCCGTGTGATGCCCGTTGGCGTTGACAGCTCGGTCACCCAGGCCAGCGACCTGAAGATTGTTCAGAAGAACGCTCAGGGTAAGTCCCTTTGCGACTTCAACCTCTCGGTTGCTGCCACCGCCACCAACTCGGATCAGATCATCCAGGTGACTGGTGAAGTTGGTTCTCTGTTCATCCCCTTCAACCACCTCTCTGGCAACATCAACAAGGTCGCCACTGTCACCAACCACTTCAGCGCCTGGCCCTCGAGCAAGCCTCTGATCACTGATGCCAAGAGCACTGACCTTGCCTCGATTCTGTTGTTGGCCAGTCTCCACGGCCGCAACATTCACGTTCTGAACGTGACTTCGAAGGAGGACATTACCCTCATTGCTCTGAGCAAGGAGAAGGGTCTGAAGGTGACTTGTGATGTCTCCATTTACTGCCTCTTCCTTTCCCAGAAGGACTACCCGGCCTCCAGCTTCCTGCCAACGGTCGAGGATCAGAAGGCTCTCTGGGACCACATGAGCACCATCGATGTCTTCTCGATTGGCAGCATTCCCTTCCAGCTCGCTGGCAAGGAGGCAACCCCCGAGACTGGTATTGCCGAGTCGCTTCCTCTTCTGTTCACTGCCGTCGCTGAGGGCCGTTTGACTGTTGAGGACATCACTGCTCGTCTCTACGAGAACCCCAAGAAGATCTTCGAGCTGCACGACCAGGCTGACAGCTCGCTCGAGATCGAGGTTGACCGCCCATATGTCTTCCAGAGCCCCGATGCCAGCTCTCCCTTCAACGGCAAGGTGATGCGCGGCTCCGTTCAGCGTGTCATCTTCCAGGGCAAGACCTCTTGCCTCGACGGCGAGATCATCAAGGATGCTATTAAGGGTTCCGACATGTCTGCCCACCGCATCCTCCCTGCCTCGCCGGTGATGACCCCCATGGTCCGCCCTGAGAGCTCCCTCGACCGGCACCTGTCTCTCTCCGGCACCCCTGGCCGCCGCCAGAAGAACCTGGACAACACCGTGCCTGCCATCGGTGAACTTGGACCTCCTCTTTACCCCTCGTCCCAGGTCTCTCCCTCCATGGCCGACCTGCTCTCGCGCTCTCCATTCCGCGGAAAGCACGTCCTGTCCGTGAACCAGTTCACCCGTGCTGACCTGCACTTGCTGTTCACTGTCGCCCAGGAGATGCGCCTCGGCGTCCAGCGCCACGGTGTCCTCGACATCCTCAAGGGCCGTGTTCTGACCACTCTCTTCTATGAGCCCTCGACCCGCACCTCGGCCTCGTTCGACGCTGCCATGCAGCGCCTCGGCGGACGTACCATCGCCATCTCGACCGAGCACTCTTCTACCAAGAAGGGCGAGACTCTCCAGGACACCATCCGCACTCTCGGCTGCTATGGTGATGCTGTTGTCCTGCGTCACCCCGACGCCAGCAGCACTGAGGTCGCGGCTAAGTTCTCCCAGGTCCCCGTCATCAACGGTGGTAACGGCTCCCTCGAGCACCCCACCCAGGCCTTCCTGGACCTGTTCACCATCCGTGAGGAGCTCGGCACCGTCACCGGCTTGACCATCACCTTCACTGGTGACCTCAAGTACGGCCGCCCCGTCCACTCCCTCATCAAGCTGCTCCAGTTCTACGATGTCCGCATCCAGCTGGTTGCCCCCAAGGCCCTCGCTCTTCCTGAGGAGGTCCGCCAGCAGATCAAGGCTTCCGGCCAGCTGATCCTTGAGTCTGAGGAGCTGACTCCTGAGATTGTTGCCCGCTCTGACATTCTGTACTCTACCCGTGTCCAGAAGGAGCGCTTCGCCGATCTCTCCCAGTACGAAGCTCTTAAGAACAGCTTCGTCATTGACAACGCTCTGCTTAAGCACGCCAAGAGCCACATGGTCGTCATGCACCCTCTGCCTCGCAACGCCGAGATTGCTGAAGAGGTCGACTTCGACCAGCGGGCTGCTTACTTCCGCCAGGTATGTTGAGTTCCTCCACTTCACTTGATTATATATTAACTCCTTCTTAGATGCGCTACGGCCTGTACTGCCGCATGGCCCTGCTCGCTCTGGTCCTGGCCTAAAAACTGAATATCCTTTGCCACTATATTTTCCTGGGGAAAGGGCATTCAAAATCGCCATGCATCTGATCACGCAAGACATGTTTCCCTTTTTTCGTTATGTTTTTGAAAAGTTTTATGCCCGTAGCTGTATAGATTTAGATGAATCTCCTTATCATGAACTCCTCTGTATGTCAATATTTTATATTATATGGTGTTATGTGTGTTATGTGTGTTACGTGTTATGTGTGTTATGTGTCATGTGTGTTATGTGTGTCATGTTTTGCGTGGCGTGTGTTTTGGGATTGGCTTGGCGTTTCCTCTTTTTTTTGGGGGGATTTCTTCGTTTCTTTGGGCGATTTATTTGCATGGCATATTATGTCAATCTCATTCAGCTGTGTCTGAATCAATTCTACGATCTCATCTGATGTTCAAGTATATGCCACCACAGTCATAGCTATATCTTCCCGCACCTTTGTCGTAAGCTCCTCGTTGTGTCTAGCGCTTGGTCCCTAGTTACTGTACAGTCTGCATTCAAATCACATCGGGACCGAAGTAATCCAAAATGCCATTGACGAATTTTGAAATACGCCTTGGGCTTTGAAGTAGACTTTGAGCTGAGGCAGGACGATCAATGCTCTTGAAGCAGTTAGAGTGGATATAACTTAGTCTGTTTTTTCACTCCAAAGGGTAACGTATAGCAAATGCGCTCGGTATACACCTCTTTGTCTCTTTTTGACTTGAGGGAAGCATCGATCAGATTCAGCTGTGACTTGGCCAGTAATCACCCTCAGCTGGAAAGATGGAGATAACGGTATGGATTTTGCGATTTTCTAAGACCGAAGCCAAATGATCAACATGGTTGTAATCCACCGTAGTGGAATTTCCTGAAAGATCAGAAGGCTGCAATAGTTTAGTAGGATTCATTACTGGGCTAAACCAGCATCAAGCACCTTCCGCGTGAGAATAAATACCTGATGATCCGATGAGTGGCCAAGGACGTCTAGAATAGTTCGGCCAACTGCGTCTGTTCCCCCAGCAAACGCAGCATTAATCGTTTCGGATGCAAGACTAACGTGAAAGAACAGGAAGGTAGGGATTGAAAAATGAAGATCTGCGTTAGATATTCAAATAATATGATGATTTTTGTGTACGACATACAGCGCTCCACATTTAAATCCTTGGACGTCATCGCCATGCGCAAATTTAGGCGTAAAAGCGCAGTAAATGTCATGAATTTTAGTGTTTCTGCCTAGCTCACCATCTCACTTGTATATACTAAAATTTGAGGCTTTCCATTGGGCGTTGGGGACGATCCGGATATAACGAGGTTCTTATCTCCAGATTGACAGTCAGCATTAGTGGACACTTCCAAGGTTAGGGTTGAATGTACTATAGCTTGCTAATAGTCGGGGTTAATCGCTTTCTTTTGAATTAAATTACAAATTCGATGCATCTACATATACTTAAAACGACCTGAAGCTCAGGATCAGTGACCAGGATTATCCAAACTAATCTAAAATGCTGTGGCTTTTTGCTTTCTTCCAACTCTCTCTCGCCCTGCCCTGGCATGCCGCCTTGCATGCACCAACTGCCTACCCTCTTACAGTAGTTGGCTCATTCCCCCAGCCTCATACGTTCGAAAACATTGCAACCAGACACAATGGCCAACTCTTGTTGACATCTACCGTCTCCCCAACACTATACCATGTTGATCCACTTCAAAAGAACCACATCGCCAGTGTGATTGGTATACCACGGACAACCGCACTGCTTGGCATCGCAGAATTAGAACAGGATGTATTCTATGTGGTCAGCGCAAACATGAGCTCTGTCTCAGGAATTCCAGGCTCAAACGCTGTTTGGAGACTCGATATGCGTGGCCGCAGTTCTCTCACTGAGGCGACAGAGCGACTTTCACTCGTGGCCAACATCACCAGTGCGCAGTTGCTGAATGGCATATGTCGCATTTCAGACCATGATACAAGATCACTCCTGATTGCCGACTCTCAGGCCGGGCGCATCTTCAAGCTAGACACGCGCACCGGTTATTTTCAAGTTGTCATCGATGACGAGGTACTCAAAAAGACTCCCGAGGGATTACAAGTCGCAGTGAATGGGCTTCATGTTCAAGGTTCGCATCTGTACTTTACCAGCCTCAACAAGGGCATCTTTGGCCGATATCCTATCTCTTTATCCACTGGTATCCCCACCGGCCCTGTTGAAATTATCGCTGAGGGTGTCCGTGGTGATGACTTTGCGGTTTCCGCAGATGGGAAATTTGCATGGATTGCCATGAATGGGCAGAGCTCTCTGATTGAAGTGGACATTTCCGCAAGAAGTGCACGAGTTGTTGTGGAGTCTGCTGCTCTGGCATCGGCATCAGCTGTGTCGTTTGGTCGAACCCTGTTGGACATGAACAGTCTGTACATTTCTTCCGCGGGTACACTGAACGCTACCACTGGCGCCAATGCTACAGCCACCGGCGGTATTATCGCTAGGGTTGATATTTTATAACGTTAGATATATCGTTACGATATGTTTATAAATTCAAAGCTCTAGTACCACGGATTTTAATCTATGCAGTTCTCTCTACACTAGATACGTCAATAGACAATTCAAAGCACTCGTCGGCACCTGCTGATAAAATAACTTTATTTCCTTACTATAAGTATGCTAAAGATAAGACGTAGCAAGTCTCGAATATCGAGATTGACTACGATAGGAATGTATTAAGGGTATTCGTAATTCACCGTTTGTATACGGCGCTGCCCTACTAGCCTCTTTAGGAGGCTTCTCCTTTAGCTATAGTAAGACCTATAGGCCCTTATTTGCTAAAACTAGTCACTACGCTACGTTGACTAGGGTGTGGTCTCTTTAATCTTAGTAATGCTGTCGTTTTTGGATAAATTCTCTGAGTTTGATAAGACTGCCCCAAATTACGGCTTTAATACTACCTTTTTGACTAGAATGCTAGAGCTTGGAGCTTTCATCGGGTTCCCTACTTCCCCTATCTAGCCGATAGAATCCAGCGGAAATGGAGTATTAGTGTGGCCGCTATGTTATTCTGCACTGGCGCATTTATTCAAACTGCCTCGGAAAAAACTGCCTCGGAAAAAACTGCCTCGGAAAAACTGCCTCGGAAAACTATGACTCTCTTGTGGCTGGTCGCTTCATTGGAGAGACATCGGTGTTGGTATCTTGGCTATGGGCGCTCCTTTGTACATTTCTGAGATCGCACCGCCCAATTCGCGCGGGTCTTTGATGGTTCTTGAAGCAATCAGCTTTGTTCTTGGGGCTTAGGATGCGTATTGGATCCCCTACGGGACAAGGTACGTTATATCATAGGACTGAGCTAGCATTTTGATTACAGGGCAATGAGGGGCGACTGGGCATTCCGACTGCCTTTTCTGCTCCAAATGATTCCCGCACAGATAGTTGGCGCTGGAATTCATTCCTTTCCCATTTTCACCTCGATAGCTAGCCCCTAGGAATTGAAACAAAGAAGGTCTCTATGTACTCGCTCGTCTCTGTCGACTTCCTATATCTGATGAAACGACTCAGCTGGAATGGAAGGGCGTTCTTGCAGAAGACCGATTCCATGAAGCCAATCACGCTGAACCTGCGCCCTAGTAGGAGGACTTGAACAGATCGCCGACTCTCGGGTGGGAGGAACGGCAAGTAAACAGCTCTGCCTAGGTACAATCCCAAGACCCACAACATCACTCAGATCCCTGTTGGTTTCTCTGGGAAAACAGGCAGGCTTGACTATTTTCCTGCAAATCACCGACGTAACAGGGCTTGGAAATGGCGGGGGCTCGGCAAATAGTTCGGATTATCCGAAGTATTGCCGGCTATACAAATGTTGCCTCTGTTCCAGTGCAGTCGACTTATTTTTCAACCGATTCAAGCATTGAACAATTATATTTATTACAGCATTGATCAGAATGTGGCACTATGTCTCTACCCAAGGATGGGCTACAAGCATGCTTGCACTAGCTACATGTTTTTCATGGTTACCTACCAGCATTGCTACCACCCTTGTCCCTTTTGCTCCCAAGCTTTCATTCCTTTACACGGCATTTGTAGAGTGTGATCCTAATCTCATGGATACCTCTGTTGGACCCCATGGCATTCGCAAGTCAATTCCTATTGTTGGTGGGAATTTTAGCGGCCCTCATCTTTCGGGTACGAACCAGATTCCAATCTATATCATCTATATCAATGGTGGATTAATACGAGACAATTCTTTATAGGCAAGATTCTCGATGTAGGAGCTGATTGGGGACTCGTTGATCCCCAAACCAATGTCTTTTCCGCTGATACTCGGTATAATTTCCGTACTGACGATGGTGCCGACATCTTCCTCCAAACTGCTGGCCCTAAGGCTCCTGATGGTCATTTGCATCTGCGTATTATCTTTGAAACTGGAAGTCCTAAGTATTATTGGCTGAACAATGTTGTTGGTGAGTTTCACGCAGAGAATAAATGGCCATATCTTTTTCTAACGAAGTCAAATCCAGCTATTGGCATTCTGACATCGAATCTGCCAACTAACAAAAATATAAGCTTGTTGCGGATTGATGCCTGGAATGTAAGTCTCCCAGATTGATCTTCACTGTTCTATCGAACAAAATAATTGACCTTTTTACTAGTTTGCGTCCGATTGGAATTCCACTCAATTCATGAATGCCACTTTTGCGTGAAGAGACATGGATGTCTCAAAGGTGAAACAGAGTACTCGATTTTAAATAGAGTACTAGGAAACGCACGTCTGGGAATGGTAGCCTTTGTTTATAATCCTGGGATCTTCATGTCCTTTAGTCATAAATACGAGGGATTCGTCTCATCTACGTTCAATGTAAAGTGCGTAGTGCTCTATAAACGTGTCTTCGCTAATGCGTAATTAACCAGTCCAATCCACAGGGCATCACTCATCTCTCATTCGTTAATCGCATGATTCATGCCTTGTCTGGCCAGTACTTTTGCACAATGACTTTCTTGTTGACCTTTCCCATAGCATTGCGCTCAATCCCATCCACGACTTTCAGGACTGTGGGGATTTTATAAGAGGCCATCTCATTCTTCAGGCTCGCACGGAGGGCAGGAAGCTCGAGAGGTACGGCCTGTATTTTTTATTAGTTAACCAAGTCCTTTATTTCCGAGGTCATTTCCACTTACTCCTTCGCGGAACTTGACAACGGCTGCGACTCGCTGGCCCCATTCTTGATCCGCAAGCCCAACGACTGCCACTTCCTGGATTGCATCCAAGGCGAGCATCTTGCGCTCGACTTCCAATGCTGAGATTTTGTACCCGCCAGATTTGATCAGGTCGACAGAAGCACGGCCTTGAATGAAGTATGCGCCAGTTAAATCCCGCCTGGCCACGTCGCCAGTCTTGAACCAGCCATCGGCTGTGAACTCCGAGGAAGTCGCCTCGGGCTTCCGCCAGTACTCACGGAAAACATTTCCACCCTTGATCTCAATCATACCGTCCTCGTCCACCCCGTCGACGGTCCTGCCTGTCTCTTTCTCGGTCAATCGGACTTCGACTCCCGGCAAGGGCCAGCCAACACTGCCATCAACTCGTTTTTCAACCTCGAGCCCACAGCTGAGCGCCATCCCAATCTCGGTCATTCCATATCGCTCCAGCAACGTCTGGCCGGTTATCTCGGCGAATTTAGATTTGATAGGGGTGGGAAGGGCTGCAGATCCGCTAACAACAAGTCGCAGAGCACGCGCACCAGCCCGCGTGGCATCTTCCTGTTCAGTGTCGCGGATATGAGCGTCAAAATAATCATTCAGACGGGAATAGATGGTCGGAACTGCCATGAACATAGTCGAGCCACCCTCCTGCCATCGCTCCCAGATCACTTTCGGGTCGAACTTTGGATGCATCTCGACAGTGGTACCGCTCAAGAAACTGGCTGCTAGACCATTGATGATACCATGGACGTGGTGGAGCGGTAGTACATGAATGAGACGGTCTGAAGGACTATATCCCCATGCCTTGACCAGACAGCTTGCCTGGAAAGTGATATTCTCATGGGTGGTGACGCAACCCTTCGGGTTTGAGGTGGTTCCGGATGTATAGATCATCAGAGCGCGCCGGGTGAGGGCAAAAGGTGGAGAGAAGGATGGCAGAGTCGGTGCCTCATTACGGCTGAATGGCTCAAGACCCATGAATGGTATCTCAGTGGTGCATCCCTCGCGTAGTGCAGGCGCCATCTTTTCGAAATGCGGGTGAACAATAATCAACGAGGGGTCCGAATCACCCACTGTATATAACAGCTCCTTCACTGGGTGACTTGTGCCTAATCGAGACAGTCAGCCAGATCATTGTATCAGGCCAGCTTCAGTACTCACATAGAGGAACACAGACACCTCCTGCTGCCCACACGGCCCATTGCGTAACCACATAGTCGTACCCATTTGGGACCAAGAATGCAATGCGCCGCTCGTCCAAATCCTCGGTCAGCCCCAATTGTTCAATTATGCGCTTCCTTAACGCTGCAGCGTCGGCTAGCAGTTGGACAAATGTAAAGGACTCTTGTTTTGCGGCGTCGACGACCGCGATTTTGTTGGGGTTGTCCCGCGCATGCTGCTCTGCCGCGGCGAAGAGGGGCAAGGTGGGGATCGGCATAGGGAGAGAAGAGGTGTGTATTGTTTGATATCCGTGAAAGAACAAAAGAGTGTGAAGAATGTGTGGAATTGTAGAGGAGGACGAAGGCCGAGAAGCTGACCCCTTACAACATTTAGCCGGTGCGGAGAACTGCCGATGTGGAGTAAATTCCGGCTTATTTGGTGGGATCGGAGTGAATGACTACAAATGAAGTTATGAACATATATAAGTTAAATGATTCAAGGTAACAACGCTTAAGCCGTTTTATCTTAAATATGCTCAAAACCATAGGTAAGGTGCCTTGAAATCATTTGTATCCAACTACGATATGCTCGAACTTGGCCAAAGCTTGGCGAATACTAAGAAGTATAAAGATGTATAAAGATCAAGTACAAGAAACATGAGCATATACACAGCTTCAGGTAGCAGAATCAGAGTAAGGTAGCATGTTGTTGTCTACTCATACCGCATTGAGTCCATCTCGAGCCACTTTAGCTATCATACCTCTGTTCATATCGGCATTTTCCCATATATTCTTCTGCCCACCGATCAATGCCAAGTCCAACATGGTCCGGGCAAGGTCATCAACCTTGACTGACGGCCCAAGACTAAACGCAAGACTTCTCAGGCTCATATCCCGAGCCAACACCATAGCAGGTCGCATGATATGCGCCTCGAAACCGGTGTGATCACGAGCGAATTCCAAGATTTCATTCTCGACTTGACCCTATTAATTGTTAGCCCATTCTCCTCCCCAAAAAGAGTGCTTATTACCCGGATGCGTCGGTAATCCTGCATGAACCACAGCGGCTTGGTCTGATCTCTCTCAGCTGCAGCGCCGCTACAGTATATGAAACGAAATGGTGTCTGACAGGTCTCTTGGAAGACTCGGGCTGCGGTTAGTGTGTAATCCAGACTCACGTGTCGAGCAGTGTCATTATCGGGCATGCGAGCCTTGCCCAATGTCCTGTAACAAGGGGTTAACAGTTAACCTGGTGCCATGAGATGGATTCTCGGTAGAGCGGCCACCATACCAAATGCATGCATCGGCATCCTTGATTTCTTCTCGGATTGAGTCGGAATAGGTAAGAAAGTCTTCAACGATTGCAACTTGGAGCTTCTCGTGTGCTGGCAAGTTACGCCGGCTTAGCACTACGATGGAGGTGATTGCGGGATGCTGTAGACATTGGGATAGGACTTCACGGCCGACAAAGCCCGTTGAGCCTGTGAGAATCACCTTCATCGTTGATATAGTAATGATTAGGAATTGTTGCGGCGCGAGGAGTTATACAGATGCATTCGGGGTTAGATCTTATCTCCGGTTCTGCGGCTTGGGCCCCAATGGTGACATCAGAGCCTGGCGTCCAAGATACCACACATGCTCTGATCATTGTTCAAAAGACGTCGTTAATTCGCTATTTATGTCCTACTATAGTCTAGATCATGGTCGCTGGAGAGGGAGCCGGTGCTAACTCTCCCGGCTGAACGGTGCGTGGCCCGTCAGGCGAACCCTCGCCATTCTCCTCCAACCCGCGAGCAACCAAGTCCGTAAAGTCCACACCAACTTCCATCAAAAGAGCAGCATGCTCGTGAACAATGTCGAGGCACTTCTGCCAGACAGAGGTGCCCCGCTGCACGCTGCTGAGCTGTCGGCTGAGCAGAGCGTTGAATCCGTCGAGGTGATGCTTAGCCCATCGGATACAAGAACTGCTCATGACGCTGGGGAAGCATTGCTGGTAAATGCCAATGGTATTCTTGATAAGAGTGAAGTAGACATAGGAGATCTGGAAGATGTAAAGAGGAAGATCACCCTCAAAGATGCAAGCTCTATCAAAAGAGTTAGCATATCAAGCAAGTTTTAAGGTGAAACATAACATACCGGATGCGTTGGGCAATGACGTCCGAACGGGCTTTCAAATAAGTCTCGCGTGCCTGATCTTCAAACCCTAAGCGGGTCAACCAAGTGACATGGGTTTTGGTTGCCGCTGGGAAGGCGTGCCTATCCACAAGCGCCCGCGAGAGAATGCCACCAAGTCGAATTGCTCGTTCATCAACCTTAACATTGATGACCTCTTGTGCGATAGTGTTGCCCTTCAATCCCTTGGCCAGTTTCCGTAGCCGTTCGATGCTAGCCACAGACGCCTCGAATCGCTGTAGAGCGATATCGATATCAAGCTCATCTACCTGCCCCTCCACCCACCGGAGGTTCTGTTGTTTACCGTCCACATCAATTCGCAAATCAGAATTGTCTCTGGTGGAATCTGAAAGGTCGAATGGCTCTGCCTTTTGTGAGTGTGAAAGGTGTCGGCCAGCAAGGTATCCGTATGCTTCCAAGGGCTTGCTGGCCGCCTCAGTCTCCGATCGCAAGTTGCGCCGTAGATCCTCGACCGTTTTGCGGAAGGTTGCCAGCAATTCCTGTTTGAAGGACGGGTCGCGCTTATCATTTCTGTATGTGAAGGGCTTGGATGATCCAACTCGAATGGTTATGGCATTGCCAATGCCCCGATCCAAAGCTTCTTCGCGTGCAGCTCCAGTTCCCAAGTTAGCTCCTAGATCGATCATGTCGATGTCCTGTAGAGGCCAACAGTCCTCCGCTACTAGCTTTGTTGGAACAGGCCCGCGATGGTGAGGGTGGCTCTGCTCGACTCGCTTGCGCTTCTTCGCAGCTACAAGGAGGTGGTCGTTTAATAACACAAGGTGGACAGGTCGTCTCGGTTTCCATGTGGCCGAGTCCAGCTCAGCCCAGTTGCCTGTCTCTAGGACAATATGCCGCCCTGGTACCGCGGGTAGGAACTTCTGCGATCCTTCCACAGTCTTCCACAGGGTCTGGAGCTGTACGCTCCACATGCTCTCCAAGTTGGCGACCGAGCTACGGTTGGCATTTCGCTTTGGGAAAGAGTCCTCTACTGGGGACATAGGATTAGGTGTGTTGCCCACGCTTGTTTGTCCCAGCGCCGTAGTGAGCTCCGCCATGAGGGTACGGAGGGTCCGCATTTCGTCCTTGAGCTTCTCGGCCTCTTTACTGATCTTGATGAATTGAGTGCGGTTCTGGTAAACGTTCTGCTGTAGGTCCGTAGATGTTCGATTCTTCACTTTGCGTAGGCTTTCTTGGTATTTCTGAATGTCTTCCTCGGACGCGTTGGCGAGAAGGCTGGCAACATCTGGTAAAAGTCCATGATTAGCTTCAATGCGCCAGCAACTGACAACTAATTACTAACATCGATCCACTGGAAGACTGGGGTCTCGTAGAGCATTGAGGTCTACTTTTGGCACCGGGGAATTGGGATCGGCTGGGGATGGCTGTCTCAGGACAGCTGCCGGAGGTAGGCCGAGTCCCCCAGGCACCTGTGTTGGGAGTGCCGGAACAGGGGGAGCACCAGCATCGAAGTCGGGTACATTGTTGAACCGCGTCGAGTATCGCCGTTTCACCAAATCCGAGGTCGCATCGTTTTGGGGTGCCCGCTCTCGAGTAGAGGGGACTTCGGGCTGACTAGACTCGGGTGACCTGGTATTCGGAGGCAGAGGTCCGGAGATAGGCTTTGGAGCACTGATCTGGGGGCGTTGACGGCGAGATTTACTTCGCAAGGTCAATCCTCGGCCCTCCATCTTGAATCGTCGTGTTGTCAATAAAGTGATGTGGCAGGAAAGGGAGTGAGGTCACTTTCGGGCTTAGTCATCACTAGTCCCGGAGGTTAAACATTTTCATCGGCCAAGGACGCGATCCAACACGCCAACTCCATCATCGCTTTCGTTGAGTCTCTCCTTTAGACTCAGTCAGGACGATCCATCCTCCGAAGTCTCAAATACTCGTGACTTAGGCAAAAATCCCTCCGCCTTTCCCTCTCCGCCGTCCCGCGCTTTCAAAATGGCTTTCCGTAACACTGCGATTGTTGCCGGCACAGTCTTGACTGGACTCGTTGGTATGAGTCGCTCTACTGTCGCCTAAGCTCGTGTTTGCTCCTAACAGTTTCCCTTAACAGCCTACGCCGTCTACTTCGATCACCGCCGCCGCACCGACGTTACCTTCCGCAAGTCCCTCAACAAGAAGAACAAGGTTGTTGAGAAGGTCGTGAAGCAGCAAGAAGCTGCCGCAGAGGGTGCACAGAAGGAGGAGATTAAGAAGGCCCTTGCAAAGGCCAAGGAGGATGGGTGGCCCACTGATCTCGAAGAGAAGGAGGTTAGTATACTTTTTCGGGATCCGCATTTTGAAACTATTAAGCTTACACTTTCGCAGGCATTTTTCATGCAGCAAGTGGCCATGGGCGAGGGACTCTGTGCTGATGGTATGTTCAGTTATCCCACTTCTGTTTTATTTCGATGACGCATATTTGAGGTCAATCGTTAACAATTTCTCTCCCTCTAGGCTCCAACAAGCTCGAGGCCGCAGTTGCCTTTTGGAAGGCATTGAAGGTCTACCCCCAACCAGCTGATCTTATTGGAATTTATGACAAGGTGCGTTATCGGGTCCCACAGCCCTTGAGGCTTTCCATTGCAATATGCGAGAAGAACCCCGGCTGACAATTGCCCAATACAGACCGTTCCCAAGGAAACCCTCGAAGTTCTCGCCGAGCTTATCGCTTTGGACGGTCCTCCGTCTCGCGCAGGTGCGAATGCTGCTGAAGACCTTGTGGAGTAAGATATCTTCGTGTTCATCCCCCCTCAACAACTTGTATTTTAGAAGACCTATGGAATTTTCAATGTTATATTTCATAATTTATGTATTAGAGAGCACCCACATCGCTTTATCAACAGACAGATAGGACGAAGACGATGGCATTTTGGACCCGAAATCTTTCTTGTTAGCCGAGGACATTCACATGCTCTATTTCATTCCCTCGGGGGATGATGTATTTCACGATCTTTTTGCAGACCAAGCACTCCTTTGATCCCATTTTTTCACAAGGTAATCTACAGTTGAACGGAGGACGTCAACCTTTTGGCAGGGTTTAGCTACCTGCCTGAAACTAACATTGCGTGCAATTATAGACCGATCATAGATATCTAACAGGCTAGGTTTCAAGTTTGGAATACCCATCGGGGATCTTTGTCCCCCTGGAAGTCTCCCTCAGCATCACCAACATCTCCCATCAACGGCGTCAGCCCCTGCGCTTCTCTAACGCGCTCCTTTTCGGCGTTTTCTCGCCGAAGAATCAACCATAAGATTCCGACAACGACAATATTTGCTACGAGATAGCCTAACGCGAAACCTGAAGGAACGACGTAATTAGTAACATGTCAATATCATGAAATGACCGGTTAACACACCATGGCCTAGGAAATATCGTGGGCTACTCTCAGTCCGATAAAGCTGTGTTCCAAGAACCGCTCCTAGGTTACCAATTGAGATCTGCAGGGCATTGGCAATGCATCGTTTCGTTTGGCCAGACACATTGTTGGCAGGCCAGGACAGTACAATGGCGACAGCCGGGTAGATGCCTGCCGCCGCAAATATAGTTCCCAGGTAAGATACACCAGCGCGATGCTGTGACAGCAGGAGGATGTACCCGATACAGCCGAGAGCAGATGAACCCATAATAAATGGTGCACGGATGCGAGTCTTCTCGGAAGCAACTGCAACACCGATGGTAAGTACGAATGCGACTGCGTATGGTGGCACGGAAAGCAGTTGAGCTTTTGCGGCGGAGAACCCTAGCTCCTTGATGATTGTTGGCTGAGCAAAAGTCAGTACTTAATTCGTAGTACAGTAGAAGGCATACTTACCAAGAAGAGCGAAAGTGTGTATAGGGGAAGAGACATGGTGTGGAACCCTAACCCATAAAGCCAGACCTTGGGGTCCTTGATTGCATCTAGCACTGCGGACCAGGTGAACTTTTCATCAAAAGTAGCATCACTGTCATTCTTCAGGCGAAATTGGATAAATCGTCGCTCTTCCTCTGACAGAAATTCGGCCGTGGATGGATAGTTGTATACCCAGAAGTAGGCGAGGATCGAAACAAGAACAGTCAACAATCCTTCCTGAAGAAATGAGAAAACCATCAGTATGTAACATATTATGGTCTGATTTGGGCTCGTACCAGGATGAAAATCCAGCGCCATCCATTTAGGCCCTTTATAATATGTTAGCTCCTCGTAGCATAGCGATAATGATCTATCATGTACTCACGCCAACACCCTTCATGTGAGCTATTGCCTGAAAGCTGGTCAGTCTTTGTCTTCGATCGAGGTATAAGATAGACCAACCCAAGCAAGAATACCACCAAAAGCACCTGCTAGTGAAGCAGCACTAAAAAAGAGAGCCACTCGATAATGCTGCTCATTGCGTTTGTACCACATAGACAGATAGAAGACAACCCCTGGGAAGAGGCCACTTTCCGCCACACCGAGAAAGAACCTTGATGACAGATACCCTGGGTAGTTCTGTACAACTCCCAATAGAGTAGCGACCACACCCCAGATGAGAGTCAATGTCGGGAGCCACTGTCTCGGGGTGGTATTCTTCAGGACGATGTTGCAGGGCAGCTCAAAGAGGACATATCCGACGAAATAGAGTGTCAATCCGGTGAGGTATTGATCTCCTGCTGTATAAATCACCCAGGTCAGGAATCTATCATTGTGGTTGAGACGGTACATAACATACACATATTGATATCATCTGTCATTCCTTCTAGACGCGCATTCCCCACATTGCTGCGGTCCAGAAAAGAGAGTAAATACAGTAGTGTGAGTGGTGGCAGAAGCCGATAGTCAAGTTTCCGCAGCAATGCCTTTTCATTGATACCCACAGCCTCGGCGACACTCGAGGGAGGAGAGCGGCTTCCCTCATTCTTGACGTCGGGGTCACCCTCGTATTTTTCTGGCATCGAAGCCATAGCAGCCTTGAAAATCAGAGTTGGTTTTGGGAAGAAAGTGGAAGAACGCCATGAAATAAGACATTGCGGAGAATGTATGAAAGGTTCATGTAGCACACCATCCGCTATCCGCTGCACGCGATGAGAACCAAAGGGACCAAGTCGGCCGAGTAAATGCTTATTTCAAAATGAGATCATAATTCTGTGCGAATAGAAACATCAGAAAGGTGAAGACGATGAGCAATATTGGGGGTGTGATGACGAGATCGGGTGGGGATAGGGAGAATATCGAATCAGTGTACTTCAATAGGAGATCAACAACACAACATTCTTAATTTCGATGTACTAAGAGTGAGTACCGAATAACTCTAAAACTAACTTATAGGCTATGCACGTGAAATGGCCCTGAGAACTAAGCGGGTTGGATCGAATATCTTGTGAAGAAACCTAGTATAAAACGGACAAGTTAACCGCGTAACAAGGATGATAACGTTATGCTATCTTCCTACCTGCGTGCTTCTCAGGCTTTGTACGCTACAGTTATCGGGCCCTTCACTGTCTCCCACTAGGCTATAATATTCAACTTACTGTGTTTAATTGATATCAAGAAGATCGAGACAGTCAAAGAATCTATCAATTCCGATGATTTAGATCGTCTATACTATGCCTGTGGTATGATGAAGTTACACCACAACGCTAGGTAACGGCTAGGTTTGACGCCATTTTAAGTGTCCTGTTTATCATACAGTGGTGGTGAAGCCCTTCTAGCCATGAAAGGATAGCTAATTTTCTGCCTTGTTTGTTACCTTAAGACACTGTCAGGAATATAGTCATAAAAATATGATATTATGCAAAATCAGCGCTCCTATCCTGACCTCTCCGTCCGGCCGTTCATTCACTTTCTACCCCGCATAGATATGCTCACTTTTCAGAATTTCTGATATGCAACAGAAGATGCCGATATCCTTTTATTAAAAATGAACTCACTGAATGATCAAGAAAGAACGACCCTTCATTCGTTGTGCGGTCGCACGGTTATCCGAGTTGGCAACAATCTCGTCGTGAAATCGGGCAATCTCCGCTCCCACGAAGCCCAAACACTTCGTTTCATTGCGACAAACACGACAATCCCTGTGCCTAAAGTCCATGATATCCATTGGGAAGCCATGATATCCATTGGGAAGATGGAAAAGTCGTGGCTATCGTGATGGACTACATGCCTGGCAAGCGACTTGACGAAGCATGGGATACTTTAGACTCCGATCAGAAGCTCTCCATCGCCTCCGAGCTTCACGACTACATAAATCAACTTCGCGACTTGAACGGTGGCTATATCGGAGCTATTGATCGTAGCAAAGCGGTAATTGGGCAGTTCGCATCAATTGAAGGTGGTCCGTTTGATTCCGAGCAGCAGTTCAACGAGCTTATTCTGGGAGATATTGTCAAGTCAACTCCCGATATACTGCGACATTATGCCAAATTTGCGCTTATGGAGGACCATGAGATTTTTTACTCACGCCAATTTCTGCCCGCGTAATATCCTTGTCGAAGGAGGCCGGGTCACAGCTATCCTTGACTGGGAATATGCTGGCTGGTATCCGGAACACTGGGAATATATCCAGGCGCTTCGGCAACTGAAGCCGATGCCGGACTGGCTGGATTATCTGTCACGTATTCTTCAATCCCGGTTCGAGAGAGAATACATAGGCATGTCCTTCCTAGCTCGTCTCTTACACCATTACCGGATATAACTGTGGATATCATGCAGACATTTAGGATAAGGATCAATCAAGCAAGAAATCATTCATCTAATCTCGAATGTTCAAGGAACCTTTAAATACAAATACTAATTTCCCCATCCGTTCTTTGCGCAAAGCACCGCTGATGTTGTTTGATTGGATCGAAGTACTAGAACTTCTATGTAAGCAATGAAAGCCTGCTTGTATCTTTCGTCATGCGTTACTCACCGGCAATGTGACGCTTTGCGTTCCCTAGAGTCTATTGTCAAAGACATCCTAACCTCTGGGCATTGCGCTCGAATCGACAAAAGCAGAGCAAGAACCGTGGCCCAGAACATAGCGGTCTTCCGTCGAGAGTGAGTGACATGTATCTGTGTCCGTGTCGCAACATTTACGGCAGACAAACTCATACAAGTGAGGGCACATGGCAGTACCCATTACATGTCTAGGCTGGGAGGGCATATAGCGCATATCTGCAGAGAATAGGGCATACAATTTGGGGCATAAATTGGGTATTGAAACGTTCCAAGCTCATCATGATGAGGACCGGGATACCTGGTGCAGGAATGGCAGAGCGGTCGAAATCATGATGTGCTTGGGTTGCAGGAGAGGACTCGAAAGGTGTGTCCCAGTCCCTTTTATTTTTCACGCATAAATTTCAACGATGGGAAGACAAGAGAGGAAAGGGAGAAGACCGGAGACATGGATGAATTAAAGGTAAATAGTTAATCGGGTGGTGGATCTCTCATATACCTAGTTTCCTGTCTATGACAGTTAATCTATATTTACTAGGTCGCATCGTTGGGCCAACCGGGGCATGGGGAGAAGAGCGAGCAAGTGGGAAATAGTTGGCTTCATAGGGAAGGCATGGCACCTTGTGATGGACCTGGGAAATTGGCAGGGTGACTTGGCGGTGTTTGTCTGTTTCTCTCTATCATCCTTGGACAATGCCCAGGAGAGCTTTGAATGAGCACATGGGCTCGCTAAGAAGATATTTATGGCGAGTCTGGCCCCTGAACACAAGTCAATTAATTCGACCGCCTACTCCAAGACCGTGGCAGTGCTGTGGCGTGAGAAACGACTTCCGCTATTGGGCTCCTCTGCCAGTGCATCTTGGCCCAGCATTGGCCAGCGGAGGAGAGTGCCTTGGCAGGCCCTTGGCGGCAATTCCCGCGAGTTCGTCCGTGGTTGGCACTTGGCGGGGCAGTCAGGTCCCATGCAAACTTGGTAGACTGAAATTTTCTTTACGGGAAAGTCGGCAGGAAAAGGGATAGCCCTTGCACTTGAACAGGCGTATGATGTAAATTGATTCAAATTAATCAGCGGTTATCAAAGTCTGAAACAAGTTGGAATTACTTGGGAATGCGACAAACCCCGCTAGACGCCCTAAGTGTCTCCCCAAGACCCTAAGACCCCTAACGCGCCCCTATTCCATTGTTCAGTGGCTTGGGAGTCTATCGGGTCCACAAAATTGAGACCGCTGATCCTGGGTTCATTATCTTTTTTAATCATCCTGATTTCCTCTCTTTCTTTCAAGCTCTTTGGTGTTTCACGTTCGTTACTTCTATACTTCCCGCGCCTGGCGCAGTTCCCTCGTTTATACTTCCCAACACCATGATTGTACGTGTGGCATGAATTGCGCTTGGAGCTCGAACTAACATTTGATTTAGTCTTACTCTCAGTTGTTCTCTTCTGTCCTGGCCCTCGCAGGCTCTGCGCTGGCTCTTACACCTCTTGAGGTTAAGGGAAGGGTAAGCGATACGCCATGATCGGCACACGCATGAGCTGACAAGATAGGACTTCGTCAACTCCGACAACGGTGATCGCTTCCAAATCATCGGTGTCGACTACCAGCCCGGTGGTTCCTCCGGCTTCACTGCGAAGCTCGACCCTCTCAGCGATGGCAAGATCTGTCTGCGCGATGCTGCCCTCATGCAGCGCCTGGGTGTATGTTGATATGTTTTCTTGTATGCGACTCAGCAGCTCATGTCTTAGTAGATTAACACTATCCGTGTCTACAACCTCGAGCCCAGCCTGAACCACGACGAATGCGCCTCCATCTTTAACGCCGCCGGTATCTACATGATCCTCGATGTCAGCAACCCTCTGGAGGGTGGTTACCTGGACCGCAGCGCTCCCTGGACCACCTACAGCGCTATCTACTACAAGCAGGTCTTCGGTATCATCGAGGGCTTCAAGAATTACGACAACCTTCTCGGATTCTTCGCCGGAAACGAGGTCATCAACGAGGATGCCACCTACACTGCTCCCAAGTACATGCGCGCTGTTGTTCGTGACATGAAAGACTACATCGCCAAGAACTCTGAACGCGCCATCCCCGTTGGTTACTCGGCCGCCGACATCCGTGATATCCTCATGGACACCGTTCACTACTTCGAGTGTGATCTCAAGAACTCGACCTCCTCCCGTGCCGACTTCTTCGGTCTCAACTCTTACTCCTGGTGCGGCGAGTCTTCGTACAAGGCCAGCGGCTACGACGTTCTCACCGATGATTTCTCCAACGCCACCATCCCCGTCTTCTTTTCCGAGTACGGCTGCAACGAGGTCAAGCCCCGTGTCTTCACCGAGGTCCAGGCTCTCTACGGCGAGGAGATGACCCAGGCTTTCTCCGGTGGTCTTGTCTATGAGTGGACCCAGGAGGACAACGAGTACGGTCTGGTCAGCGCCAACGACAGCGACACCATCACTATGCTCATCGACTACGCCAACTTCCAGAACCAGCTCGGCAAGCTCGACATGGACCGCATCACCTCCAGCAACTCTACCCAGACCAGCGTCAAGGCCGAGGAGTGCAGCACCTCTCTCATCACCCACAAGTCCTTCTACAACGCTTGGGATCTGCCCGAGGTGCCCTCCAAGGTCTCCGACTACATCAAGAATGGCCTGCCCAATGCCCCCACCGGTAAGCTGGTCTCTGTCTCCAGCACTACCATTCCCCAGAAGGTCTACGACCACAACGGCAAGGAGGTCTCCGGTGTCAAGTTCGAAGTGAAGTCCGGTGCCAACACCCCCTCTGGTACTTCCGGCTCTAGCTCTTCCGGCTCGTCCTCCGGCTCCAGCTCTTCCGGTACCTCGACCTCCACCAACGCCGCCTCCATCAACGGCGGTTCTCCCTCGATGGTCCTCGGTGGCGTGGGTGGCTTCTTCATGCTCCTTGCTTCTCTTCTGTAATCGCTTTTATGTGTTGCATAAATTCCCTTCTTTCTCTTTTGGCTTCTGAGACGACCAAGAGGCTGATATAAGCTTCGAGGATTTACTTCTTTCTTGACCATTGTTCACTCGCATCCGCGTTTTCTTGTGATTCACTTGGTATTTTGCACATGATTCTTCTACCCTTCGGAACAAATCGTGTCTGTTTTTCTGTTGTTCCCTTTTTTAGCCCGCCGCATAGATTGGAAGGAATTCCTAGCATAGCATGGCAAGGTAGCATTATGTATTCTAATGCGCGTTTATTCCATTATGACCTCTTATGCTCAATCATGGCTTGGACGAACGATCTTCGTAAACAGAGCACCAACTGCTTTTCCCTCGGTCCACGCCTTCGGCCCGGTTTCTCAGAACACGCTTGAGAAGGGCCCTTTGGGAATTTCGTCTATCCAGATTATACCCCCACGAAGTCTCTTATGAGGAGCCATTTTCGTAGCAACATACCCAACCAGTTCCTCTGCAACCTGTTGCTTTCCTTCCGTCCCTTCATTGAGAACGATGTAGGCAACCGTCACCTCAGATGCAATCTTCTGAACAAGCACCCCGCGCAGCGGTAGCCCAATGGATCCACATTGCGTGGTTCCATTTGTCCCATGTCTGTTTGAACAGGTTAGCTTGGAATGCATTGCTTTTGTTGTTAAGGTGTTACCTGGACGTGGCTCGTCGAGCTCGACTCCGTCAATCCAAATGCTTGGCTGGGATCTTCAGTCGATCATATACCGCACGAATCAGATCTGTGCTCCACCTGATGTCACCACTCGCAAGGAAGATAGACGAGCTCGTGTCATGGCCGGATCTTCGGCCAGATGTAGGCCCACTGGGGGAGCAACGTAATGGGAATCATTGTACACATCGCGCACGAAAGCCGCGATGGTATATTTCTCAAGACGGAGTTGTGAATACATACAAGACCTGTATAGCGTTATGGGTAATTAGCGTCCCAAAAAGACAACCTTGTCTCAAGAATAGATCGAGGGTGCTGCAGTCCTGATTTAAAGGCTGGGCGTCAACAACCCATTTGTTCGATTTTAGAATTCCAACATTTTGTACAGCGGGTATATCAATGGGATTCGGCGAAAAGACTGGGAGAACATCGCCCTTACTCCATCCAAGTTTGCGCTGTAAATTGGCACAAAACTCAGAGCATCAGAGCGAATATCACTTTTGTAATGCACATCCGAAGCAGGGGGTTTGAAGGTAACTGCCCCGGATCAGCATCCCCTAGGTTCCCTAACAAATACCGAGATATATACATACCATTGACCATCTGGGAAAGGTCTTTCCTTCCTCTCGAAGAGACAATCTCAGATATGAACCGAGGGGATTTCAATGCTATGCATGAGGTGAGTACAAGGTCTATTCCAGATATTCCCCATGGGTTCACTCTATCACGCAAGATCGTCGTCGACAGACCTCGGGTAACGGGAATATGGAGCTTATTGAGTCGGATATCTTATTGCACTCCCTATTGCTCTTGTTTCAATTTTTGTCTGTGGTCATGCTGTAAGTTTTGGATTGCAACTTTCTCATGCTGATTCATTGAGTGGTTAGAGTCACATTCCGCAAGACAACATCTAGAACATCCCCAATAGACTGCCATGTGTCACATATATGTACACGCTTTAAACAAGCCCATCATGCCCACTCAAATCTTAGACTTCCTCTTTGGCTCATCATCCATAGCTTTTAAAACCCGTTCGGCGATCTTGAACGACGATATTGCCGCAGACATACCAGCATACATTGATGTATGAAGCATAACCTCCTGGATCTCGGCTTTGGTGACTCTATATCTGATTGCCCCTCGAAGACGGAGAGCAAGTTCATCGGGCCGATTAAGCGCGCTCAATAGAGCAATGTTAAGCTTGGATCGACTTAAGCCGGGCCTTGTCCAGACCATGCCCCATGCGACTTTGGTTACGACCTCTTGGAGAAATTGCGTGAAGCCATTTGGCTCTTGGATGGCTTTGTTCTCGTAGTCATCACCTAGGACTTCGCGGCGGACTTGGAGACCAGTACGGAAGAGCTCGTCCTCTGGCGAGGGATCACGGGAGTCTGGCATTTCGTGTGATGTCAATTGTATCCGGAATCAAAGGATTTTAGACCGACGTAGAGTGGGATATAGGGAATAGGGTGAGATTTGGGTTCCCCGGAGGAATCTGGGGGTGGGTGATGCGAAGATCCCTGTAACTATAACATGCAGGATACTGGAATTTTTAACAAAATTGATGCAAATGCAATAGAATATTCTAGACGATGAAAGCGCGAAACGGAGCACTGTAATTAAACAATAAATCAAACAAATCCAAAAATGACACAATTTCTTCAACTTAATCCCAAATGGCTCTCACTTTCCCCTTGCCCTTACCTGATGGCGAGGTCGACATAGGTGGTGCGAGGGATGGGAACTCTTCCCGCTCCTGGTCCTCTCCACGACTGTTGCCTTCGGCCAAGCTTAGCTGAATGGCAAATTCCAGATCATCCATTTCTTGTTGTCTACTTCCCTCGGCCTCTTGAGCCCCAGGCGATGGTTGACGTGGTTGCATTCCTTTCGCATATTTGATGGGAATAGAGGGCGTCAGATCGAAGGGCGGAGGAACACCCTGTTCCGCGAGCAAGCTGAGGCGTATTGCCTCGGCCAGCTCATCGTCATCATTGTCATCCACGGGATCTTGATAGGGGGATGAAGAGGATGAGATGTCGCCGAGACCAAAGGAACTGGGACCAACAGTATCGGGGAAGGAGGCACTTGTGACCGAGCTAGAGACTGCTGCATTTTCCTCGTTCTTTGTGGCGTCGCCCGAGTAAGCCTCTTGACTCAGAAGTTGGGCATACATCAAAAGCTGCTCCTCATCAACATCCGGGCCTAACAGGTCAACTCCGAAACGTTGACTCAGGTGGGCTCGCTCTTTCTCATCCGCGATCTTCTGTCGTTCCATTTCCACACGTTCATCTTCGATGTAGTCCTGGATTGCGCCCCGGCCACTGTTGTTAAAACGTTGACCTTCAGGAGTGCTGTTGTTGCCACGCATTAAGCGACGCAGGCGACGCTTACTGGTTTTGTACTGATCAGCCGCAGAAGAACTGTATGACCAGTATCGCAAATGCGTGCCAAGTGAGACCATTCCACGCAACACAGTGGGGTCTGTATCAAGGCAAATGGCCCCCGTAGCGTAGAAATTGTTGCCAACACCTAGGACAGAGGCCTCAGCTTGTACTAGACGACGACGGGCGCGGGATGAGAAGCGAGAATTGATAGTTCGAATTGGCCTTGTAGAAGATGCGAGAGGATCCCAAGCCTGTACAAGACCATCATTGCCGCCGTGTACCAAATACAAAGATGTGACGGCCAGGCAAGACACTTGAGGCGAATCCGTTTGGATAATGCGCAGAGGAGAAATGGAATTGATGATCTCAGTAGACGGCGCTGCTGGTGCCCGAATGTTCCAGACAAAGACCATTCCATTCTTGGTTCCAACTGCGAGATATCGAGCGCGTTGCCCAGGAACATCAAGACTGGAGCGCGGCTGCTCCATGTGAGGCAACATCGGCGAAGAAGTCGCAGATGAGTGAGAGCTCCCAGACATTGCTAGGAGAGGATCCTCTTCCGCCGTGATAGTCGCAAAGGTGGAAGTATCAAATGCAGTGGTACTGATTTCCACAGATTTGCGATCACCGAAGATAAACTCTGACAGGCGCCATTCATAGTTTGTAGTAGCTGATCGGGCCATCCGGCTGGAAGATCGAGAAGAGGGGACACTGCTCACGGGCGGAGTCGAGATGGTCGTTGGGCCACCAAACAGTGACGGCGGCGGGGTGGCGAGAGGACGGGACTCCGGCGTGGGCGAGGCCAAATCGTGAATTGAAGTAGAGCGCGTGAATCGCTTGATCGATGCCTGTTCGTCTTCACCCGAACCGCGGACAATGACAATAACCGACTCGCCAACCCCACGACCGTCACCACCAGCAAAGTCCACCTTGAGGTCGCGTTGCATATTCCAGCTTTCACAGACCTTGCGGAAGTGTTTTGGTTTGAACGAAAGAAACTTTTCAATCTCTTTTGTTTCAGCCGCAATCTGATATTCATTGAGGGCCATGGAATCCGATGATGACCGCGGGCTGTAGCTGCCATCGACCAGTTCACGGTTGAACGGGTCTGGGCGTGCCACACGTCTGCTTGCCTCGACCAATTCCCAGCGCACACTTCTGCCAGTCTTCCAAGCTAGCTCATCAAGTTGCTCAGCATCGAGTTTGGCGGTAAAAGGGATATCCGGCTGCCGAGGAAGTTCAGTAAGATGGAAGACTTCTCCCAAGGCATTTAAAGCAACAGCCCAAATGCGTCTTTCTGATTGGCGCTTGGTCGAACATTGTTCATCAACGGCAATTCCAATGATAGGCACACCAGGACTTAGAACCCATTTAGCAGTTGGTTGACCTCGTTCATATCGCTTTTCGTAAGTCGGATGGGGACCCAAAGAATACGCTGTCAGCACTCCAGAGGACGAACCAGACATCATTCCAATAAGCCCCTCTGTCATCTTGAGAATGTTAGAGGATTTGGCAATCCATACTGAGCAAACAGCATGGGTAATCATGTTCACGGCAGGTATTCCGAGTTTTGGGTGAGAACCCAATTCCGAAGGTACCAGGAACCGACCACGCTGCTCCGTAGTTGAAATGAAGTAGCTGCGTCCTTGCGGACAGGCTTCGCCGTAGACCATTCCATATGGCTGGCTGACATCCATCACATTGGGCAGACCAACCATGTCACCAGCTCCGAGACCATATTGTGCTTCTCCGGGGAATAGGTCCGCAAAGTGACGGAACATCTGATGATCAGAAACACCCCAGGTGCCGACTTTAATGGTCGACGGATCACTTGCAGATGCAATACCTTGCTCCGCAGCGGCATGAATGAAGTGGGGGTCCTTGTCGGGACTGAAAGACCCGTGGATGTGGCTAACGGGGAACAGCAGATTCGAAGTATATGTTGCTATCGCGCTCCCATGGCGAGCACTCGCAGTGCGTACGGTACCGTTCCTCTTGGGCGGCTCGAACTGCGCAGGTTTGCCTCGAGACAAAGATCGCATCAAACGGGTACGAAGAATGTATTCGCTGCGCCAAGACGCCAGCGCAGTCAACCTTGTGAAGTACCGCCGGTCAGCCAGCAAGTCTGCATCATTGGCCGTGGCATGCCGATCATCCTCAACGGCTTGCGGCCCCGGGAAGAAACGCGAAAAGGCGATCCTCCAGGCGTGGGGCGTTGTGACCAGCGCATGGAATCGACGAGACACCAAGGTGATAGCCGACAACGACTGTGGAGGGAGGTGGGAGAGGATGTGGGTGAGGACCTCTGTCGATGAAGGTCAGAAAGTAACTGCGCTGCGGGGTGGAAAAGAACCAACCATTGGGAAACGTCTCAAGAGAACCTTGCAACTGTCCGGTGGAAGCCACTACCCGGAATGCAAGGTCATCCTGTTGCATAGGAGGAGTCCCGGGAGTTCCAGCATTCTCATACTGACTCACTCTATCGACTTGGGGCGGGGCAGGGCGACCGTCAACATTCACGGACGCGTGCTGTTCACCTTGAACCGGCATGCCCGGGACGTCTGTAGAGTCCCTGGTCTTCTCTCGCTCGAGAAGGTCAGAGACTTGAGCGTCATCGAGGTCATGTCCATGCTGGGTGGAACTGGGATCGACTTGGGATGAGTCAACGGGGGTCGCACGTTGAGATACGGCAGTTGGCTCTGGTTGCATAAAAAGGTCTTGAGGAAAGAATGGAGTGGTAGCGACTGAGCCAGTAGAGTCTGGATCAGTCGAGGGAATAGAATGCAGGGTAAGAGGAGGTTGTACGAAGCGTGCGGGCGTTGATGAAGAGAAGAGAATGAGCCGGGCAGAGGCCGAAGGCGATGAGCAGTGGCCATCCCGCACATTCACGTATGCCCATGCGGATGCGGCTCTGCTGCTTCCCTTCCCCCTTCCAAGGCCACTTCTCTTCTCTTCTTCTCTGTTATTTCCCCTTCCCTCTCAGTCGTATCTTGTCTCTCTTGCATTCCTCGTCTTATTGTCGGTTGGCCGCTACTTTTACGCATCTGGCACGTGACGACGCGAAGCATCGCCAAGTGTGACGTGAAGTCGAACGTGTTGATGAATCTTCCCCTTCCGTACAGAGTAGTCTGTCTCTCGTCTTCAATATCCCGTGCAGTCAGTATTGTATGAGACGCGAAGTCTGTCTCCGAATATGCCCGTAAATGGTAAGCCATCATGGATGGAATGCTGGGCACCCAACTGACATCTCATAGAGGCGGAAACCATCCGCATCCTCATCTCCACTGATAATCATGTTGGTTACAACGAGCGAGACCCCATCCGTGGAGATGACAGCTGGAAGAGCTTCCATGAGATTATGTGCTTGGCAAAGGAACGGGATGTCGATATGGTGCTCTTGGCAGGAGATCTGTTCCATGAGAACAAGCCGTCGCGCAAATCCATGTACCAGGTGATGCGGTCAATCCGTATGAACTGTTTCGGGGAAAAGCCATGTGAGCTGGAAATGCTCAGCGATGCGAGTGAGAACTTCCAGGGAGCTTTCAACCATGTCAACTATGAAGACCTGGATATGAATGTGGCAATTCCAATTTTCTCCATCCACGGCAATCATGACGATCCCTCTGGAGAGGGTCACCTGGCTGCATTGGATCTACTGCAAGTATCTGGGCTTCTCAATTACTATGGCCGCACTCCAGAGTCGGACAACATCCAGATCAAGCCAGTGCTGTTACAGAAGGGTCGGACGAAGCTGGCACTTTATGGGATGAGCAATGTTCGCGATGAGCGACTGTTTCGCACATTCCGTGATGGCAAGGTCAAGTTCTTTCAACCATCTGTCCAGAAGGACGATTGGTTCAATTTGATGTCCGTCCACCAAAATCACCATGCACATACGGAGACCAGCTACTTACCCGAAAATTTTCTCCCTGGGTTCCTCGATCTGGTTGTCTGGGGACACGAGCATGAGTGCCTGATTGATCCTAAGCTCAATCCTGAGACTAAGTTCCATGTCATGCAACCTGGATCGTCTGTTGCTACATCTTTAGTGCCTGGCGAGGCCGTGACAAAACATGTCTCGATTCTAAGCGTTACAGGCCGAGAGTTTAAGAATGAGCCTATTCGGCTGAAGACCGTGCGGCCATTTGTGATGCGCGAGATTGTGATGTCTGAGGAAAAGGAGGCCCAGAAACTTGCTCGCAAAGAAAACAATCGGACGGAAGTCACACGGTTCCTTATGTCCATTGTGGAAGAGTTGATTGAAGAAGCCAATGCTGAATGGCTTGAGGCGCAAGGCGAACGCAACGAGGACGACGATGACGAAGATGCACCTCAGGCTCCTCTTCCTCTCATCCGCCTACGTGTCGAGACATCCACGCCGGAAGGAGGGACCTACGACTGTGAAAATCCACAACGATTTTCAAACCGGTTTGTGGGCAAGGTAGCCAACGTAAACGACGTGGTGCAATTTTACCGGAAGAAGAAGACAGCATCCACTTCGCGCAAGGGTGATGCGTCGATTGATGAAGCTGCTGTCTCTCATCTGGCAGCTCTTGATACTGTGAAGGTCGAGCAGCTCGTGCGCGAGTTCCTTTCTTCGCAGTCGTTGAGTATTCTGCCGCAGAATTCCTTCGGGGATGCTGTTGCTCAGTTCATCGACAAGGACGACAAGCATGCGATGGAAATGTTCGTCAATGAGTCCCTTGAGAGTCAGGTCAAACACTTGCTCTCCTTGGATCGCGACGATGATGGCATGGATGATCAGGAGCAGGAACAAAGCTCGTTGGTCGCCGCCATGGAGAAATACCGTGGTCAAATGGAGAACATGTTCTCCAAGGGCGTGAAAAAGCGAACTCGGGGCAAGAAGCGGTTTAAGCCCAAGCCAGACGGCTGGGATACCGAGTTTGATGGTGTATGGGAGGATCAGCCTGGCGCACTGATCCATTCTGACAACGAGGGCGGCGACCCTGCCGAGGAAGAAGCCGGAGAAGACGGCGCAGCCCCAGCTCGTGGTCGTGCAGCAGCCGCGCCTGCTTGTGGCCGTGGCAGGGGTCGTGGTCGGGGTGCCGCAGCCAGTGCGCGTACCACCAAGCCCAAAGCAACTCCCGCACCTACAAAGAGTCGCAAGAAACAGGTCGTTTCGGACGAGGAGTCAGATGTGATCATGCTTGATGATGATGTCGATGATGACGATGATGACGATGACGACTCGCAGGCGCTGTTCGTCAAGCAGCCCAAGTCTACTACTGCCAAGTCACGAAAGGCTGCCCCAACGACAACGACCCAGCGTCGTGGGCGAGCTGCTGCTTCGCCAGCTCCGTCTTCAGCTACGCTTGGTGCAAGTATTTCTCGTCAGGCTCCCGCGCGAGCTAAAACGGCCCAGAGTACGTTGAACTTCTCCGGTTCTCAGGCCAGTGTGCCTCAGTCATCAAGACCAAGCCGCTCAACGCGTAACATGAGTGTCCTTAGCGATGGTATTGATGATGACGATGACGACGACGATGCCTTTGAAGAAATGCCGAGTACTAACTCTCGACGACGAAGGTGATCTTTTTGCTTTGCATGTATGGAGTTACCGGAACCCACTGCAGCATAGGTAGCGTTTCTTCCATTACCTTTCCAATTGTATTTAATAGGAGTAATTACTTGAAAAGAATCACTTGCTCACTTAGTTTATATGCTGTCTACCCTGAAAAGACCAATCAATTCCTCATTCACTGAGGTTAGAGGAGAAACTGTTGAGTACTTGGGTGACATTCTTGAGATTTACTTTTGATGCCGTTGCGGCAAACAGAACTTGCTTGTGACATGATAATCCACAGTATCTTTTATTCCTACCGATTTACTTATTGATTCCTACTTATTCATTCGTACAGAATATATTCTTTCTCGTTTCCTCCGAGTACTTCGTAGTTCCCCGCATTCCAAGCCGAGGACCAAAGGTCACCTCGGCCGCATGCGGTGTGTGCCTGCCATACTTTTCTTTTTTGACCCGAATTGCAATCTCTACTTGCTCAACAAGTTGCAAGACAAAATGACCAAGAGCCGATCCATTCGTATTGCAGGTTCGTCTCCGCGATCCTCGATGTACTTCAACTAACCGTCCAGGTGCCTCGGGCTCCACATCGGACCGGCGCAAAGCGATTGCTGATTTCGCGCGTCACCACCCGACTGACCCTATCGATGTGATCATTGCTGATTTCATGAGCGAGTACAATATGGCCACCGCTGCGGGTCGGCGCGTGGACCAGAGCTCGCGAGCTGCAGCGCCTGCTTATGATCTTTCGTTCCTGGAGGCTGTTGAGCCTGCCCTGGAGGATTTGGCTAAACATGGTATCAAGCTTGCAGTCAATGCAGGAGTAACAGATACAAAGGGTCTCTACGAGGTAATGATGCGCATGGTGCAGGCAAAGAATCTGGATTTGAAGGTCAGTCAGGTCTCTCCATGGGGATAGGCAATCGCTAATTGTATATAGGTCGCATGGGTCTCTGGAGATGAAGTCTTGGCTACCGTCCAGAAAGGGCTGACCTCTGGGTCTGAGTTTCGCAATGTCTACACGGGCGAGCGATTGGCAGATTGGTCATTTGAGCCCATCTATGCCCAATGCTACCTCGGTGGCCTGGGGATTGCAGCCGCATTTGCAGATGGTGCTGACATCGTGCTCTGTGGGCGAGTCTCTGATGCTTCGCCTGTCATCGGAGCTGCTTATTGGTACCATGGCTGGCAACGCGAGGACCTTGACAAGTTAGCCAATGCCTTTGTGGCGGGTCATCTTATCGAATGTAGCAACTATGTCTGTGGTGGCAACTTTACAGGCTTCAAAGCACTCGAACAAGCGGGTGGAGATGCTTGGACCAATATCGGATATCCCATCGCCGAGATATCTGCCGAAGGCGACGTTGTGATCACCAAGCAGGCACATTCAACCGGTGGGACGGTCACTGTGGACACTTGTACTTCACAGCTGCTCTATGAAATCCAAGGGCCTTGGTACTACAACTCCGACGTCACTGCGGTTCTCGATGGCATTCAGTTCGAGCAGTGCGGTGTCAACAGGGTCGCCGTCCTTGGAGTTCGGTCTGGACCTCCCCCGCCTACCACCAAGGTCGGTATCACCGCACGAGGTGGGTTCCAGGCTGAAGCATGGTGGTTCTTGACTGGCCTGGATATCGAAGCCAAAGCACGCATGCTGGAGGCGCAGATCCGTCAACAACTGGCGCCCTTTTCCGATCGGTACACTTCTCTCAACTTTGACTTGTTAGGCTCTGCCCTGTCCAACCCGCACGAACAGAACCGCGCCACAGTCCCCCTGCGCATTGTCGTGCAGGCACGACGCGCAGAGGACATTGTGCCCAGTCGGTTCCTTAAGCCGATTGCGGATAACATCATGCAAGGCTATCCTGGCGCTACCTTCCACTTAGACATGCGACAGGGATTCCCCCGTGCGGTCTTCGAGTACTATGTCAGCTTGATGCCACAGTCCGCGGTCCAGCATCGTGTCCATATGCCTTGGAAGCCGACAGCATCCAGGCAAACATTGGACATTCCACCCCCACCCAACACCAAGACCTACCCAGCGCGCCAGCCATCACAGCCAGTCACGGATACTGACGGGCCTGTCGACCTTGCCCGCGACTTTGGGCCGACGACTCGCGGCCCCCTTGGCTGGATTGTGCATGCCCGCTCGGGAGACAAGGGAGCTGATGCCAACTGCGGCTTCTGGGTGCGGCACCGTGATGAGTATCAATGGTTGAGGGCGTTGCTGTCCGTTGACACAGCGCAGGAGCTCCTGGGAGATACGGGCCGCCAACAGCCTGACCTGGCCATTGAACGCTTTGAGTTGCCCAGTCTGCACGCCGTGCATTTCTTGTTCCGCAACCTGCTGGACCGAGGCGTCGGCGTGACCACCACGGTCGACTTTTTAGGCAAGAATGTGGCGGAATACCTTCGAGCACGCCACGTCGATCTGCCGGTGCGGTTCTTAACTCGCGGAAAGCTGTAGTGCGGGGGTTCCACGATGTGTACACTTATAACTTATAGTTCGAGTCAACATTTGAGTAATAGGCAACACTATGTTTACACAGACTCATTGAGAAGGAGAAGGGTATACGGTACATGAACACGGGAGTTAGTTACATGTACGGGGTCAGGTGCCGCGACTGCTATACTCCAATCTCGGTACTCCGTAGCTCCCGACGAATCCTGCAGAAGATTTCAATAGACAAACCCAACACAATTCATTATTAAAGAATCTCGGTATACAATACAATACCAACTCCACTAAGTCGTCGGGGCGATATTGGCCCGCATTAACATCACGATGATCACATTTGGTCCACAGCCCCTCCTTTCACCCCTTGGCCCGAAACGGCGTCAAGCTTAACCCGGAGTGGCAATAGTAACGCTGCTTCATTCCGCTGACTGCTCCAGGGACTCCAATTAGACTTAACGTTTACTCCTGGATTAGAAATAGACCCCGGGGGAGCTAAACCCCCCTCGGGGCCTGACGCGGATAGCCTCGGTCTTGGACCGAGGGCCGGCCACATTGGGCCACACTGCCAAGGCTGGAGACTGGTTGAGTGTATCAGAAAGAGATCGATATCAGAAGAAAAGGTAGGAAAGGAAAGAAAGAATAGAAAGAAACCGGGAGTTCGCTATGTAATCACACCGAGGTAATTTATGTAATTTATGATACGCTCGGAATACGACAATACGACAGCTCCAAGTGGCGTCAACCCCGCAAGTCGTCCAGTCCCTGCCACTTTTGCCATTATATAACTCTCTTCTTCCCCCTCTCTTCTCTTCATCAGTGATACCCCTTTCCCCATCATCATCATGTCACTTTCCACTACCATCAAGACTCCCAATGTGACATACGAACAGCCTCTCGGCTTGTAAGCTATACCCCCACCCCCCATCCCCCACCTTCCAGAGCTACACTAACACCTTGCTAGGTTCATTAACAACGAGTTCATCAAGGGTGTCGAGGGCAAGACCTTTGAAACCCTCAACCCCACCAACGAGAAGCCCATCACATCCGTCCACGAGGCTACCGAGAAGGATGTGGACGTCGCCGTCAAGGCTGCCCGTGCTGCCTTCGAGGGTCCCTGGAAGCAGGTGACCCCCACGGACCGTGGCCGCATGCTCACCAAGCTGGCCGACCTCTTCGAGCGTGAAATGGAGACCCTCGCCTCCATTGAGGCTCTGGATAACGGCAAGGCCGTCACTATGGCCAAGATCGATATTGCCAACGCTGCTGGCTGTCTCCGCTACTACGGTGGCTGGGCCGACAAGATCACTGGTCAGACCATTGACACCAACCCCGAGACCCTCTCCTACACTCGCCACGAGCCCGTTGGTGTCTGCGGTCAGATCATCCCCTGGAACTTCCCCATCCTTATGTGGGCCTGGAAGATTGGTCCCGCCATTGCTGCCGGTAACACCGTTATCATCAAGACCGCCGAGCAGACTCCTCTGTCTGGTCTCTACGCCTCGAAGCTGATTGTCGAGGCTGGCTTCCCTCCCGGTGTCATTAACGTTATCTCCGGTTTCGGCCGTGTCGCCGGTGCCGCCATCTCTAGCCACATGGACATCGACAAGGTTGCCTTCACTGGCTCTACCCTTGTTGGCCGTATGATCCTGCAGGCCGCCGCTAAGTCTAACCTGAAGAAGGTTACCCTTGAGCTCGGTGGCAAGTCCCCCAACATCGTCTTCGATGACGCCGACATTGACAATGCTATCTCGTGGGCCAACTTCGGTATCTTCTTCAACCACGGCCAGTGCTGCTGTGCCGGTTCTCGCCTGCTGGTCCAGGAGGGTATCCATGACAAGTTCATCGCTCGCTTCAAGGAGCGTGCTGCCCAGAACAAGCTCGGCAACCCCTTCGAGGGCGACACCTTCCAGGGTCCCCAGGTCTCCCAGCTCCAGTTCGACCGTATTATGGAGTACATTAAGCACGGCAAGAACGAGGGTGCCACCGTCGCCATCGGTGGTGAACGCCACGGTAGCGAGGGCTACTTCATCCAGCCCACCATCTTCACTGACGTTACCCCCGACATGAAGATCGCCCAGGAGGAGATCTTCGGTCCCGTCATTGCCGTCACCAAGTTCAAGGATGAGGCCGATGCCATCCGCATTGGTAACAGCACCAACTACGGTCTCGCTGCTGCCGTCCACACCAAGAACGTCAACACTGCCATCCGCGTTTCCAACGCTCTCAAGGCTGGGTAAGTTACAACTCTACGCTGGTACAAACAATTAATACTAATATTCGTGCAGTACCGTCTGGATCAACAGCTACAACCTGATCTCCTACCAGGCTCCCTTCGGTGGCTTCAAGGAGTCCGGTCTTGGCCGCGAGCTCGGTTCCTACGCCCTGGACAACTACACCCAGGTCAAGACGGTTCACTACCGTCTGGGTGACGCCCTCTTCGGTTAAAAACATAAAAATTAATCAAATAAAAACCGACGCAATGATGATACATGATTGGAAATGTTCGTTTTGTATAAAATACAAATTGAAGGGCTTGGATCCTATCTATTTTACTCTGCTGTAGTATTCTGTAGTGTTAACGTTACTGGCGGGACATACATGTGCAGTACCTGCCCCTCTATTTACGGAGGTACACTGTACATGTATCCATGGAAGTAGAACCCCAATAGGGTATAATATCATTCTCACTGTTGAATCTCACCGAATCCAATCAACCCTAATTGTCCATTACTGTTCACGTAGGGTCGGACTTCATTGCGAAGCATCCCGCGCGTTTCGCCGGGTTAATGCATCCCGTTCGGGGTATCTCACCCCGAGAGACTCGGTGTTGAACAACTCAATAGGCTAGACATTGTTTTATTCTAGAAAGATTAACGTGGGGCATGCACATAATACAGGGCTTGATATGCCAATATTACCAGAAACAGAGTATACACTTGGGTATTGGTGGTTTCATGCAACGGTATGTACCGGTTTTGTCAATGCAAGAGTATCTACATGTATGGTTCTGCGTCTAGTTTACATCTCCAATCATAGCTTGGATTCCCCGATCGTAATTCCGTTTGGTAGCTCTAGACCGATCGGGAGCCCGTTGATGAACTTGTCGGCATATGCTGTCCCTCGCTTGGCTGCGAGCTTCTCTTCGATGTCTCGGTACATGTCGTAACTGGATACATTAGTTTTGGAGCTCGGGTCAGTATGGGTATGCTGGACTTACGCGTTCATCTCTTCGATTGTGAGGACCTTCTTTGCGTCCTCGACTTTGTATGTGGGGATATCCTTATTGACGGAGAATCCTATAGATCGTCAGCACACTGCACCACACCATGCAATAGAAGGTAGTCACTCACCGATCCTCTCGTTAATATTGTATGCTGCCTTTGCTGCTGCGGCTTGCACACGTGTGGCGCGGGGCAGGCGTACTTCCTCATAAACAGCCAAGGCCTGGGAAATATCTCCGTTGAAGTACCGCTTACTGAAGAGAATTCCAAGTGCCGCGGCATCCTCAATAGCCATGCAAGCTCCCTGACTCTGATGCGGCATCATGGGGTGACCCGCATCGCCGAGGAGACAGACGTTTTCGCGCTGAATGTAAGGGTAGGGATCATGGACCCAGAGGCGCCAGGGCTTGATCTCTGTTCCTATCTTCAAGTGCTCAAAGACTTGACGGTCCAGTGCGGGATATGGATTAAGAAGTTCCTCGACGGGGCGGTCATCGGCACCCCATGCCTGTGTTGAGTAGTCGCCTTGCTCGCGAGGGAAGAAACAGTAGTATGAGAGGAGCTTGCCGCCGTTGCAGGGAGATAGCACGATCTTGTCCCATTTTCCTTCTTGGCCGCCCCAGTATTCCAGTGCGCTGTCCTTCGAATAATCGACTAGTCCGAGCCGGACTGCTTCTTCGGTGGTAACATTTGTATGAAGACAGCTTTGATCGGACGGGCGCTTTTCAGGTGTAATTCCAAGGATACCACGAACAGCGGATCCGATTCCGTCAGCGCCGATGATTAGGTCGTGTTGTACTTCTTCTCCATGCTCGAAGATGATCTTGCTTTTCTCCAGATCGATATTCCGACACTGTATATTCAAGACAGATAAGTACATATCAAACTTCAGTCAGATGTATTGTCAACTTACGCGGTGGTTTACTTTGAGTGTCGCTGGCGTACCCTCGCCTTCACCCAGCGCCGCATCCTTCAGCATGGCATGCATGTATTGCCGGTGGAACATATTGTAGACGTATCCCCAGCGTTCCTCATAGTCGTCAAGATCGTAGACACTGACTGGCTCACCGGTCTTCCAGTCACGATTGATAAGCTTCTTCAAGACGACAGGGTCACCCTTGGCAACATCGATGTTCCACTCGTGTAGCCAACGGGTTCCGTTGGCTGCGCATGAGACTGAGGCCCCGACTTCGCCTGCAAAATCTGACTTCTCGTAAATGGTTACATTGTGTCCGGCCCGGCGGAGCGCAACTGCGACACACATGCCGCCGATGCCACCACCGACCACGCCGACGTTGAGACTGCGCCAGCCTGACATAGTGTATTGTTTGTCTGAAATGGAGAAATGGAAGGAGAAAGGGATAGATGTAAGAATATTGGATACAAGGTGAAGTGAGAGAGATGAAGATGGACTCGAGACGTTCTTATGTGCTCATCGTCACTTATCTATACATCGGGTCGGATGGCGCACTGGGCGGAACCGACAGCGGGCCGCGCACGCTTACTGTCGGTCCGCTTTATCATCTTCTCTATACTTTTGTTGTTCGTATACTTCGTGGCCTTGAACAATGAGCACAAACCGATCTTTATCTGCCTGATCTAGTGCGTTTGTCTTATCTTTGTCACCAAGCCGGCCACTATAGTAAGGCCAATATCCAACCTAAGGACCTCACAAACAACCGGACAAAGCCTATTGTTCTCTTTAACAGTATAAGTTATTCCCTGGCCATCAGTTGACTGCAACTGTATAAATTGATTCACCCCCATCACCTCTTAGCTGATCATTCAATAACATCTGTTAAAACTGTGACCTAATCCAGTTCACAATATCCGAATCAGATTCCACCATGGATACACAATATGAATACTTCGTGCCTGCTCTACGAAGTCAAGTTAACAACCTAAGACACTACCCAGGTCGTCACCATAACCCAGAGCAGCATGATTTTCCGGACTCTGGCCGCTACCTGGACCATCACCCGAGGATTATTGAGCAGCTAGAAATGACTCGCCGCGAGATGAGTGGAATCATGGCTACTATTGATTTGTTCGAGACTGTGGACTCCACTGAACTCCGAAATCTCTGCAGCTTTATTATGCCAGTCCTGCCCTTACTGATTAGTACCCTTAGATGTACCGCGACAGAAGACCACAAGGTTGCGTTTGACCTCGCGCGTATTCTCACCCACGCAGATATTGTTAACAGGGGTAATTTTTATTTTTAGTGTTAAAGTTGAGATCCTTTCAAATGTCAGACTAACATGGATTCCGTTGAATACTCGTTTTCTTCTTTTCCAACTCAATAGTCCCCCTTTAATTCGTAGATAATCCTTACAGGTAGTTTGTCTATTGATTGCTTAGGTCGCTTAAGCCGCCCGAGCTCTGACTGCAAGACTAGCAACAGAACCAAAACATAATATCAGTTTATTGGTGACTCTTAATCTTAGCAATCTCTTGGTATATTAATGGCAACATATTATAAGCATCTTGCCTATAGAGATTCGTAAATACGTGCTCCTTCATGCGTGTATATTTGTTTCTGCATTCCATCGTGTGTAAAACGGAGCCTTGTCCTTTTAGCGCGGGCTTTCTTCCGTTCTTGTTGTCCATCCTCGATTCGTTCGGGTGCTTTTTGCCATTAGCATTGAGCGTACGTATGTCGTGTGGAGATAGTAACTCGAAAAATGCTCGACGTCTTACGTATACCTGTCGTAAAGCGCGGCTGGTGTCGCGTAGGATACTACTTTTTCTACTACGCCTGATGGAACTGACGCGAATACGGATAACTCTTTCCGTTTCTTCCTCGGACAAGCCGGGACAACTCTAGCCTCCCCACGCCGGAGTTAACGAGATTACTTGTTCCTAGGGGCAGACAAGGGCATTTAAGCGCACTGAGGAGATGCACTAGTTGGTCGTTAGAAAATAATGCTAGTAATGTTTCATTAGTATAGTTCCTGTGGGAGGGTAGGCGTTGGCTCCGGGTCAGGGACTTATATCAGACCACCGGTACTCCAGTCAAGGCTAGATAATCCATTATTATGAATATTTGATCCGAGTCTCAGTGCGAAGGAAATGTACCTGGTAACTTAAGCCACATTCCTGCCGGAAATCACACGGTGGAACTAAGTTTGAGGGGTTACAGCGCAGTGGTGGAAAGTAAGCACTCTCTGCTTATTCGACCTCGAAAGTAGCCACCTCACTAGGTAAATCGGCCAATTAAAGATAGTACAGACCTGCTGGGTTTTGATTGGCACTGTGACCAGTCGCTTCTACAACGCTATAATCGTTCTGTTCGGACTCCGAGCGTGGTTCCTCTGCAACCCATATTCAACAACTAATTTCAAAACAGAAGCAGGTTTGGGCATATCTCGAACTAGATCTTAGATGGGTCGCTCGTAGGACCATAGATTGCATGTATCGAGTCTGATTGTAAAAGCAAGAGATATCACAAACTCGCCGCAATCCTTGGCTTCGGTCGTCAACCGAGAGGGATTTGAAGAATCCATTGTGGTCTTCTCATTTGCTGGGGATAGTTTCAGCCTTTCCACATCGCAGGGCCAAGCCACATCACCATCCAACCGCACGTGGATGTTATTTTTTGATGCAGGGACGCAGAATTATAAAAATGGCAGACCAAGCGCTGTCATGCCTGTCATGGGGGAAATCAGATTTCAGTGAGGATTAATTACAACCATGAAGTTCCATCTCTTCGCGGCCACCTTGGCTTGGGCGACACATGCTATGGTTGTATCCAAAGAGCTGGAAAAGCGCTATCCAACGGGCTCTTTTACTCTTCTTGCCTACGGTGTTGCTAATTCAGCGGTCAATGTCTTTTACTCTGATGGTAATCAACACTCCCCAATGTATTCTGGCTCATGTCTAACCCAATACTTAGGACTTGCGTATGTTGGCGACGCTTCTAAGTGGGAGGGATCGGTGACTACTGACGTTACCTGTAGGATTCTCGTTTCATTTCTGGTCCTTTTTGGAAAGAACCTCTGTTAACTCCTTATTAGTTACCTTCACTGATACCCGGCTGTACGCTACTGCCACCAACATGGATATTGTTCTGGACGATGACACGGCCTTCTACATCCGTCCCACTGCCAACCAGATACTAACTGTGGGGTTCACTGGAAATGGTATCGAGACTCCTAGCGATGCAGCAACGGATAATTTTCTGTTTTACGGCAGGTATCTCATGTGGCAAGATGAGAGTGGTGCTCTGAGTGATTCCTTCCGTCTCAAGGAGACAAATATCACCGGTATTTACCAACTCTACTGGGATACTTCGATTCTTTACCCCCTGGATTTGTGTCTCCGGTTTTGAAGTCTTCTGTTTGAGAAAAGTATCAGATCATCCCTTTTTGGAGACAAAAATACATGTGGTCTTATTAAGCATGATCGTGTCTCTGTTCATCAAAGCCTTATTTGCTAGTACATGCTTCGTACAACGTATCTCATCAAATTATTGATAACTCGGTGAGAAACGGAAAACTGTCCCACAGTGGCAAGTCCATGCCCTCCCAGTCAAGTGAGGTCCCATCAAGCAGGGGTGTGACAGCACCTGTCCCATCATCCGACTGTAACCACGAGTATGGCGCACCCTGCGCGAGTCGTGGGTTCGCAGTCTCTGGTTGGTCGGCATTTTCAGGTTGGGTCTGCGGTGCTGTCGGGTTGTCATTCAGGCTAAATATTCGGTTCACGTATTGGCTTCTTCGCTGGCGCGCATGGGCTGCGAGTTGCTGGCGCTGTTGGGTGATAGCTGATTCAAGCATACTTGTAATCTCAAGGTAGTGGGCTGCCTGGGCAGACTGTGGCGCCAGCATGCGCAGGATAGTGAGAGCACCGCCGAATGCACCATCAATCTCGGAGTCGACGTCACGATGGGAAAACATGGAGAACCCGAGCACAAGAGCGGCAGCAAACACAAAAGCTCTGTACTCTATCGTAAGCGTTTGATTGAATGTTTGGACATAGGGGAATACTTACTTCAGGATACACATATTACGGAAAAGCAGCCCCGACTGGAGGACTTCTAGACATGTCTGTAGCATGTAGACAGCCGAGTCAATACAGGCGGCTGCCAGCCGGGAATGAGCTGGGTCTTCTCCAGGTGGCTCACTGGACACGCCACTTGAGAGGCTCTGGTGCAACCGGGCCAGCCGGACACTCAGTGCCGATATGAGAAAAGGTCGAGTAACTAAAATCACAGCGAAATGATACGAACATGCTACGTGCATGTTCCCAATGGTATGTTGTCGGATGGCACTCTCATTTTCATGTTCCGAAGACGTAGTTCTTAGTGAGTGAGGGAGATGTTCGCTCCAGCGATTTAATTTTCCCAGCAGCAGATCTGCTGTCTCTGTAGATGCTGCTTTTTCGCTGTATAGGCGGTTGATTATCTCGTCCAGGATAAATGATAGATGATATGAAGCCACCAAACCTGTAGCAGTCGAGTCAGTCCCTACACGACTGATAGTTTGTCGACTTTCGGGCAATAGAGGCGATATAGCAGAAGGGCGTCCGAGGATTGAGCTGACCATGAGATCAAGGACACATAGGCTCATCCATAATCGTGACCTGATCTATATCAGCCCGAGTCTGACTTCTGAGGAGGAAGCTCACCTTTCATAATGCTCATTGCGACTCAGTGACCCTGAAGGGTCTACATGAAAGCCTAATGCCACTGCGGCGCGTGAAGCCACACCCAGGTACATGAAGGCGGCATTCCGGCGGCATGCTCCGAGCATGTAGAAGGACAGCAATAGAAAAACCCGTATCAAATCCATGCTTGGGTCTTCCAGAAAGTTCGCAAATGTCCTGCGTTGACCGCGAGCAAAGTAGAATCGTTCCATTTGAACAGTCTCGGGTTCATTAAGGCATGTCTGAGCCCCAATAGCAACCATCAAGTCTACTATGGCCGCTCTTGTCTTTTCTTTGTCGGTTTTTGGCTCCGCTGAATCAATTAATGAGGATAAAATACCCTCGCCGCATCCTAAGTAGAGGAATCCGGTTGTCTAGAAGGTTGTCAGATGATGAATTGGCAGACGAATTGGTTGTCCTACGGCTGCCTCATAGTTCTGGATGAACTGACGCTTCTCTTCCACGCTGCAACGCTCTTCGGAAAAGTTCAATAGGTCATGATGGGCTTCTGTTTCTAACATATCCTCACTTCTCACATTGTGGGAGAACTGCGACGGCCCAATATGCTGGGTGACTGTATCCCGCAGCAACTGCAAGAACGATAAAGAAGCAGCCTTTCCGACATAAACTACGAGCAACTGTCAATCGATGTTTCAGACGGGAATTATACAGTTTCATACCTCTTTCTCCCTGTAAGTTGCGGAGCATCCGCGAATGGGTCCGATGTGTAGCTTCGGGGGAGCGCGACCCCGTCTCCAACGTGTCGGACTCGCGCCTAGGAGTGATGACCTCATGTATCTGTGACCTCAAAGAGCTCTGCGCTTCGGGTTCTGTTTCGCTCCATGGCGGACGGCCACTGACTTGGGGTCGTGAAGCAGGTACAGGGCGGTTGCGGAGGTTTGTATCTAAGGATTTGAACGGGGTACACGTCCGGCTGCGACCTTTGTTGATGCAATTAGTGCATGGAAACGAGCCGCTGCAGCGCTTTTTCGATGAGCGGCAAGCAGTACATGCAGTATTAGCACGTAAACGATTCGCTGGCAGGACCTTAGGGCGCGCCATGATTGATGAAGTGAGTCTGGGGAGATCTCCGCAGGATAAGCGGGGAGCGGGTGTGCGCGGCCCGACATTCGGAAGGGGCACCAGGCAATAGATAACATAAGAGCGAATGACCTCTTGTTTCTTGATCGATCTTATTCATTAAGAGTGGCTTTACTATATTCTGCTTGACTATGCTAGAAGTATGCTCACATGCCGTAGAGCTTTTCCTGACTCTAATCAAGTTCGCTAGACTTTCGGATATGCAGGACGTTTGAGATAGCACCTTTCTTCATAGAATTAATAGTAATAAAAAGTAGAGATTGCTATTTTACAGTTGCAAGCCCGAAATTTCACTGGAATTTTAAACGAAATATTGAATCATTGTAAGATGGTGCACAGTTGCAGTCGGTTGCAGATATATATTCCGAGTGCAAATTTACCATAAATCGATTTTCAACGGAAAAAGGTCGGTCCTTTCTCCCTTGATCCAGTATCTGACCAAGATCAATTTGAATACTGATTTCTTCGCTACTTAATCCCATCTCCTCTTCTTGAGAGTAATCAATCTCAAGCATAACCTTGATATGTACGGCAGTTCGGCAAGCCGAGGCATGCCGAGGTATAGTGAATCGACCAATCAATGTCACTACAGCTGGGCAACGTCAAAATGGAGTGTCGGTGTGAGATCCAGACCAAGCATAGACCATTTTGACACATCAAAAGCCCAATTGATCAAGTAATGAGAATGGATAGCTCATCTTCACCCGGCGACGAGAGGAAAATTCTGTCGGGATCCGCCCGGGAGATCCACCTGCTAGAGGGTGCTAGTCTGTGATTGGCCAGGCAAGGGTAAAGTTCTAATCTTGGCAGACAAACTAGACAAACACACGCCCGTCTCGCTTAGCACTAGCGTGGATCTGACATCGTATAAATATCCACGGCCTCCCCGTCCCTTCTTCTCTTTTTCAAGCGACTCTACGTATGTTCTCCCTGCCCCTCCAGAGATATCCAGAGGATATCTCAGAGGATATCTCTGGAATATATCTGCTTTGAACATGTTACTGACCTCTCTCCACAGTTCAAAGAATCACTTTAGAGTAGACGTCCTCTTTCTAAGCTCTTTATAAGAGCCACAGAATCTCCACCCTTGCTGATGACTGCTATGTCCTCGATGCCCTAAAGTGAAACCTTTTTACTCCCGCCTCGACTGATACGCGTGCTGTTCGCAGTGTCTGTGTTTTGGTCTAGGGAGTGGTGATGATCTTGACCTGGTCTCGATGTCTGACTTCGGTCGGTCGGTCCTGGTGGGTGTCGAGGAGGTCTGAAAGGTCCTCTTCCATTCTGGTTGATGGTATGGTGAGCTGTGAGAGGGTCCCGTTAATTTCAATAAAAATTGTCAAACTGCAACGTTTCTCCATTGTAAATGACTAGTAGAGTGATGCGCGCCACGCATAGACGATCATCTTGTGCTATACATAGGTTGTCTTCAGCACTGGGATCTGCGGTACCTGCGTTGGGTGTGGCGAATGTGGAAACCAGGATATGGCGGCACCGCACTTCCCTTCGTCTTACATCCACTTCCCAAAGTCGTCGCTTGTGTGTACACCAACACATCAAGCTCACGTGAGCTGCCAATAAATTACACGACATCAATCTACTCATTCAGAAGAGGACTGTTGCTTGCGCTTGCGATCGCAAAATAGATGAAGAAAGTTGGCACAACGAAGGGAGGAAAGCGGCGCAGGACAGGTATGTTCAGCTTTGCTGTTTTCATGCAAAACGAGCAAGTCTAATGATTCAGTCAGGATGGTAAGATCCGAAAGCTTATCTTGACCGTAATGTGATTAGTTTTCTGAACGAGGCATTTCACCAGTACCCGCTGCAGAGCCAGCCATACAAAATGCGACGAAAGACGTCCTCGCTGTGGGCGCTGTCAGAGATTGGACCTAGAGTGCGAACCATCAAATTTCATAGTCCCCTCAAGTTGGAATCCTTCGGGTTCTCGATCACAAACCGTGGACCAAGAACCTCACTTTCCGACCTCCACCTGGGACGTGTTTAACAAATCTGCTGGCCCGCTTCGCAATGTGAATTCGCGTAGCCAACCAAGACCAGCCACTGAAACACCATCTATTGATGCCGAAAAGGTCACTTTACTAAAAGAGTACCAAAATGGAGTGGGAACATGGGTTGGCCTATTTGACAATGATCTGCATCTTACCCATACCATTGTCAAAAGGGCTCTTGAATCTCCGTTACTTCTGAATGCCATATGCGCAGTCACCGCAAGACAAATGAGCTTGGTGGGCAAGGGAGAGATGTGGAAATCCATCGCCGTTGACTACTATGGAGAGAGTCTCCGTCATTTAATCCATAATCTAGACGGTCCATCATATTGCTCGGGCGACACCCTCGCCGCGACAGTTTTATTGAGCAGCTACGAGCTGTTTACCTCTCCGGGCCTTGATCATCATCGACATGTATCAGGGGCTGTGACTCTAATCAAATCTAATTTATATAATGCCAGCTCAGGCGGCGTGGCAACGGCAGCATTTTGGGTATATGCCCGGCAGGATGTTGCCATGGCCTTGGTACATGAATGTCCTACGATGCTCCCGCCCGAGCAGTGGGGTATACCATGGACTGATCAAGAGACGGGGGAAGACAGCTTGGGGAATAGAATGATTTGGATCGTGGCCAAAGTTATAGCGCATACCTTCCGCGAGGTAGATGATGCCGCCACACAATCGCTTCATCGTGACAAAACCGGGTTAATCAAGGAACTGGACACCTGGCGGGAGTCCTTGCCTACGTCGTTTGCTGGCGTATCCTTTGGGTCCCGTTCTGAAGAAGGATTTCTCACGAGGTTTTTTGCCGTTCCGTCAATGGGTGGGTTCCTATTTCAACTTTCCAAACTTTTCAACTAATGCGATGGCCTAGCCGGGGCAATGTGCATGTATCACCTAGCACATCTGCTATTGCTCACCGAGGGGTGCAACCCATCCATTGCAGGTGAGAATGTTTCGCAGGTTAGCATCACGCACTAGTTTGTCACGCGAGTATCATCTGTGACGTATTGACACACTATAGGTGGAGGTAGATCTACATGCCCGGTCTGTGGCAAGCATAGCCTTCTCGCCTATATCACATGCTTCGCTGGTGCAAGCAGTGCAGCCACTGTATAACACATCTCGACGCTCGCCGTGAAATTCAAAATATGGGCTCTCCTGGATCACATTGAGAGCCAACTTGGATTTCACACACAGGACATCGTATTAAGCAATTGCAGCAACAAATCAAGGTGGTTTGAGCTTTCTAAACTGCACATGTGTGTTCTTTGGATTCGGTTATCATCTGCTACAGAACGAAACACTGAACTAACACGCTCAAATCTTTATGTAACAAATCCAATCCTGGAAATCCTCGCCAATGAAAAATCACAGCGCTATTTTCAAAGCGACCTTCTCATCCCTTCTCCAGATCTTCAATGGCATCTGGGCTGGCCATAGATTGAATGCCTCTTCCCAGTCTAACTTCCAATCCTCCGAGGGCAATGCAAAGTCATAGCGATGGACCAGGGTGGCAACAAGGATTTGCTGTTCGATGAATGTAATGTTCCGTCCGATACATGCCCGGGCACCGGTACTGAAAGGTATGAAAACGGCCCGCATCTGTTTAACCTTCTCCTCATCTTCTAGCCACCTTTCTGGCCGGAAGACTTCTGGTGCTGGGAAAATGTCTGGATCGCGATGAGCAACGTATGTTGGAACGGAAACGGTAACGTTGCCAGGGATACTCTCTCCCAAAATCTGCATGCCTTCCGGTGGTGTCTTTCGCTCCAGCCCTCTCGAAACGGGGGTGACAATCGCAGCGACTCATCTAGGCAAGCTTTCAGGTAAGGCAGATTCTTCACTTTGGAATAAGGTGCAACATCCTTTTCAAATAGAGCGCCGGCTACCTCCTCTCTCAGTTTCTTTAATGACTGGGGGCTCTTAATGAGGTAGTACATGACATCTGTCAAGGCAATTGCTGTCGTATCGGAGCCGGCATCCACTATGTGAAATTGTTAGTATATAATGAAGAGAGGCTTGCGATGATACGTCTTACGGAAAATGCTAGCCTCGGCGTCGATTTCTCCTCGGTCCAAACTCCTGGCGTTGCCCTTTTTATCCTCAATCAAGCACGCGAGAAAATCGCTCGGCGTATTGCCCTTCTCTTGCAGTTGCAACCTTTGGCCAGCTAAAGCACTCACAATCCTGCCAAATTTCCGCCCGTGTTCCCATTGGGATCGCAGATATGGGGAAAGCGTAGTGGAAAGGACACGCAGAAACTGGAACCATTCCTTCGCTCCAATGATGCGGGAAGAGACCCGATTACCGCGATGCAGACTTTCAAGGTATTTGATAGATTGGGAATAACCATTGAAACCATCTACAGCCACATCATCGGAACCCAAATCCAGCAAACCAAGCCTTTTGCTCAAAGCAATATCGGCTATGGCGTCAACGGTAAAGAGATTGGACCAGAATCTGAAATTGACAGTAAGTTCGTCAGGGTTGACCAACATGTCAGGAGACAATGGTGAAGTACATCGTTGGTCTAATTGTTTGAGAAGCCTTTCGACCTTGTCAGTAATCTTGAACTCCCATTGTTCGAGGTTGCGAGTCGCAAAAGCGTTGGACAACATTCGGCGCTTGCGAGCATGGTCTTCGCGGTCAACGACATTAAGCAGGTGAGAATGACTTCCTGCTGTCAATGCGTACACATCATCCTTGAGACAAGGGGTTCCGTGACCGTAGATATCTTTGATGGCTCTGACGTCTGCGAAGGAAAGTGCATTGGGTCCAAGGCGAATGATGGGATGCTTTTGATGTAGATCATATAATCGTCTCGTTCGAAAGCTTCGTCGATGCTCCCAAACGTAAGACAGGCTCGTAAACCCGGAGAGGAAATTCAAATTGGGGTACTTCCAAAAGTCCTTCGCGTCGTAAAGATATGAGGCCAACGGCCTCGCAATGCAAAAGACGAGTAAAACGAGGACAACTATTAAAATCGCCATCACCATTTGGTTCCTTTGACAAGGGGTCTTTGAGGAAAATTGAAGGGTATATTCAACCAATGTGATCAGTGGCCCTGGCCGAGTATTTATGTGGGATCCTGTCCCTGCAAAGTGACATCTCCACTAAAGAGTGACTATGTGTAATACTATAGGAATTTCCAAGGCCTCCACTGAATTGAGGAGATCATATAAGTTATCCAAAAGGGTATACTAAGAGCGGATAATTGGTGGTGCTTGGCATCAAACGTTAGCGTCGCCGATGGCCGGCCGGAATCCCTTCCTGTTTGGGAAAGTTAAGAGCGCCATTATTTCTCATTTCAGAATGTTATGAGCGCCTGGCTTCACTTCAACGTCGTGATGACCCCGCGTATCGGGAATGAATTCGAGAAAGTGTATTGGTAAAGCTGTTTTCGAATACTACTGTACAGGTGGTCAGGGAAATTGCGTTTCTTCATTGCTCGGGTATCTCATGTCTCATAAACCGCTAAACAATTACTAGTGTAGACTCAGTTGGCCTCTGATCCTCCTGTCTTCTCGGAAGGTGCACTGCTTCCGTTGCCTCCCTTGGGTCCCTTGTTGCGCGATCCACGTCCTCCACGAGACCCGCGTGACGACCCGGCATTGTTCCCTGCTCCTTCACCAGCCTTGGCCTTGTTCGTGCTGGGTGCTGGTGTGTCACGACCCTTGCGAGACTTCTCTGCACCGGGATGGGGATTGGCTTTGCGCTCCAACACCACCACTTGACTCTGGGCGACTGAAACGGGACTGGCGGCAATGGCCTTTTGAAGTCCCTCTGGTCCAGCGAAATTCACGTACCCGAATCCTTTCTTCTTGTCAATCTCAACCTTAGTCACTGTTCCGAATGGGTTGAATGCGGCCTCCAATAGTGCCTCAGTGACACCCTGCGAGGGATTGGCGTGCTTCAGGAATGCCTGTGTCGCAGTGGGCGCAGGACCGGTGGCTGGTTTCGCTTTGCTGCCCTTGGAAGATTTGGCAGATGGGTTCGTGGACGGCGCAGGGCTGGCTGCGGATGCTCGCGAGGCTAATTCATCCTGAGGCTTTGTAGAAGTAGATGCATTCTTGGCAGATTTGGCAGATTCCTTCTTGGACACCTCGACCGACGGAGCCGCGGAATCGCGAGAGCTTTCGTTCTTGGGAGAACCAGTATCAGCGGCACCACCCTTGCCGCGCCGTCGGCCTCCAGAGGTCGGAAGTCCAAGGTCGCGCTGAAGGATTTTAGTGGCCGCCGCAACATTTCCGCGCTCTCTCTTGCGCTCTGGCGCTGGGGGATTTTCCTTCGTAGCGCTCGATGTAGCAGCCGATTTCCCTGCCTTGGCACTGGCGGCTGCTTGTTTGGTTGTCTTTGTAGATTCCTTGCTCGTCTTCTCTCCCCTGGTTTTCTTTTCGGAGGTTGAGCTGGGTTCTTTGTCGGTTCGTTGCAAAAGCTTCTTCGCCATGACCTTTTCCTGTTTTGATTCCTTCTCCGCGCGGCTGTGCTTGGAGGATTTGGAGCCACCGTCCTTCGACTTGCTTGCTTTCTTATCCTTGATGTACTGCACCAGCGGGGTAGTCATAACAGACTCCTTCTTCTTCTCTTCGACATCGGCCATTGAATCGACAGGGGCCGGTTTGGTGATGGGCTGAGTTAGGCTTTCGAGGAACGCAATAAAATCCGAGTCTTGATCAATCGTGCCTTGACGGGCATCCTTGCGGGAGCGGCTTCCGGGAGTTTTGGCATAAGCTGCATACTCCAACGATGGAGGTCCAAGCAGAATGGGATCGTTGGAGGTGTGCCGGGCATCCTGGAACGATTCCAGGCGCACCTTGTCCGAAAGTGCTGTGACATGTTCGGTGGATACAACATGGATGTATGCTCGCGAGGGCCGGGAAGGCTTGGCAGGACTATTCGAGAAGTTCCGTCAGTCAAAATAATGGTAGCAGGTGGATGAAAGATATATCGTACTCTTTGGACACTTTGCCAGGCTTGTACTGAAGCCAGTCGACCTTTCCTGCCCCGGTCTTCCATTCATCTCCCAGAGCAGCCTCAAGCTCGGCTTGGGTCAATCCAGGAGGTAGACGTCGGATCAGGAGCTTCAGACGCGGAGCGGGGGTTTGGGTGCCTTCTTTGGAGGTGCTCCGGAGCCCGACTTCTGTGTGGCCGCCACGGGAATCTGGAGGACACCCGCTGTGGGCTTGCCAGGCTGCGTCATCCTGGTCTGGTCTGCAAGAAAGTTCCGTCAAAAAGAATGATGTAAATGAGAGAGATCCCAGATGATCCAAGGTCTCGTTATACTGTGAGATCCTGAGGCGGTACCACACGTGACCGAGTCCGCCAAGCCTTCATATGTTCCCTCAAGATCCATACAGCTGAGAGATACATTGAGTAAGCTATGGAATGGACATATTTCAAGGAAATGGCTTAAAGTATCCATACTGATACGAGAAATAAATATGGGAATCGAATACAATCATTCAATTCACTACGTATGTCAAATCATGTTTCATTATAGACATGACTACACGGCCAATCCTTTGATTCAAACAGAGATATCATATGACTTGAGGGTACTCGGCGGATTCCCCGTTTTTGAGTCTGCCCTGCTAGTATTGACCTGATATAGTATCAACCGTGTCGGTTTTCAGAGATATTACACAGAATGAGAAGTATTGAATGTTTGTAAGCGCGATGTAACGTGCTTATCGATAACCTCTCCAACTGACCTGAGCTCACTCCTCTCTTCAACTCTCAACTCATCAACAATGGACAAGAACCTGTTGGAAGACCAGCGATATGTGCAAAACAAAACCCCGAAACGAAGCTGGTGGATGATTCTCTGCGCGGCCGTAGCTACTGGCTGGTTTGCTTGGCCGTATCTGTGTTGTTCGCCTCCACTTAGGATCGAGGACAGAGTGGAGCGCATCCTATCACAAACGCCCTTGATCGGTAGGAATGAATCAAATTTGCGTGGAGGTTTACGATTGACCGGTTAAACAGACGGTCACGATGACTTCCCCAATTTCGTTCGGGAGGTCTTCCATAATCGCATCAATGATCGCAATTTTACTGATGCCTTTGTCAAGGGCACGCTGCCAGGCCATGTGGATATTCCTCGGCTGCAGAAGGGCCGCGTCGGTGGTACCTTTTGGAGTGTCTACGTGCCATGTCCTGCTGATGGAGCCAACTTCTCCGACGAGAATTATGCAGCAAGTAAGGGAAATACAGGCTGACCGTAAAATGGTATACTCATCTAGTCATAGGTGTGCGTGAGACGATCGAGCAGGTGGATGTGATGTCGCGTGTTCAACAAGCCCATCCCGAGATCTTCTCGACGCCTCCCAATGGCACCACTGCCTTGTCAGCTTTCCGCGAAGGAAAGATAATCTCACCCCTGGGCATGGAGGGCCTGCACTCCATCGGAAATTCCCTTGCCCATCTTCGGATCTTCTATGAACTGGGCGTCTCGTACGCAACTCTGACACACAATTGCCACAACCGGTACGCCGATGCCGCTCTTCTTGAAGTCCCGGGAGGTATAAAAAGGCTGATCCTCTCTGGCACGGCGTCAGTGAGGACGGCAAGAGGCTGATTTCGGAGATGAACCGCCTTGGAATGATTGTTGATCTAGCGCATGTGAGCACGGAGACTATGCGGGATGTCTTGGGCGCCGGAAAGTCCGAGTGGACTGGTAGTCGTGCTCCAGTGATATACAGCCACAGCTCCGCCTATGCACTTTGCCCACATCCGCGCAACGTGCCCGATGACATTCTGGAGCTGGTGCGTCAAAAGAACTCTCTAGTCATGGTCAACTTCGCAACGGACTTCATCTCCTGCACGGCCTCTGATCGCGATGACGGGATACCCGATGAGGACCCTGAACATGCGACTTTAGAACGCGTCGCCGACCATATCATTCACATTGGGAAGCTCGTCGGCTTTGCACATGTTGGCATAGGCAGTGACTTCGATGGTATTCCGACAGTCCCACGTGGCCTCGAAGATGTTTCCAGATTTCCAAGTCTGATCGCGGAGTTGCTGAAACGGGGAGTGAGTGACGCGGATGCAAGCAAGGTGGCAGGCGGTAACTTGCTGAGAGTCTGGGCGGACGTCGATCAAGTGGCACTTCAAATGCAGGCCGAGGGAGTTCCTCCCGCCGAGGACTCCTGGTAGTACATGCTGGCAAGAACACAAAGTCACACAAGGCAACCTTGGAAAGCTTACATGTAAAGCCCAAATGCCAAGCTCTTAGTGTTGCGTCGGGACGTCAACTTATCATAGCATGGTATAGTTTCTTTCTAAATGTTGATACGTATTATTACGATAATTTGACTACCAAGTATCGGGTGCTTGCAATATCGTCCATCTAGGTACGACGGGTACGACCCGACTCATTGGGCTATACGTCCTTTGCCTTGGCCTTCTTGTACCTGGTTCCATGACACACAAGCAAATACTTTGCAAAGAAGTTCTCAGCAAATTCATCGAAGGGCTCATAGGTAGCTCCAAGTCGGTATGCAGCAGCAATGCCGGAGATACACGCGATCTCGTGCATATTCTGCATCGTAACTTGTTATTTCCGCACAAAAAGGGATGATAGAGCTGACAAAACTCACCACCATCGTCCAGCTTCCTGCATATAGCGTCCGATTAGTCCCATTGATGAACATCATCCCTGGAACTACTCTGAGATAGTGCTGCCACCGGTGGCCGAATTGATGCCACCATTTCTGTCTGTCCAGGACAATTAACTTTAAGTCGCTCGGAATGGATCAATCACATACGATATGATTTTGGATGGGTCAATGGCATCCCATGTCCAAAGGTCTTTTTCTTGGTCATTCTGGCAACAGTGGAGTTAGCGGGTTTTTTCTGAATCGTGAGACTGAGATTAGGACAGGGGCTGGTACTAAGAAGATCGTCTGGAGCACATGTTGGTCCTGAGGCAGAGGAGGTTTGTTTTCGCCCAGTTCCTCACGGAACTGATGCTGGTAGTTACTACAATCGAACCCCATTTCGATTTTTGTGGGGTCCGATTCATAGGAATGAATGTAATACATCGGGCGGAATCCCAGCCAGCCATCCTTCTGGCTACGGGGTTCTTGTTCGGCAAATGCGATTTGGTTCTTGCGTTCCTGAGTTGTGGATTTTGCACAGAGCTTGGGATCATACACTGACTCGAAGATCTGCCGGAAATAATTGGAGTCGGAGTGAGTGATGGTGAGGTCGTTGAAGAATTTGACTCCACCCAAGACATACTTCTCGCGCCAGGTAGCATTTTGACCCAGGAGCTTCTTAGATTCGTCTGCCGGGCAGCACATGACTAGATCATCGAATGTTTCTGTCGATGGTTGTCCCGTCGATTGTCCTTCTTCATGGCCTTGCAGTTGCAACACGACCCCCTTTTTGCCTCGTTCAACGATGACCGCGTTGCAATTAAGTCGAATATCAACACTCTTGACGCGCAAGTCTGCCGCCCAATCTCGGTAAAAGTTGTTCAAGTTCGGGAACGTATACATGAGAGGGAGGTTTGGCAATAGTGTATCCGGGTCATACTCCCACAACTTCATCTGGGGATCATTGAAAAGACGCTCTAAGAGGACACTAGAGACATTGGGCGTTTGGTTCCCTGTTCCTAGAAACAATGCCAGGAGTGGCAAGACCATCCGGTTGCTGAAATCGGCGCTGAAACGAAACAAACGCAGAATAGTTTTGACCGGCATGACGCCGAGAATGGGCATCAAATATTTGATGCACGTAAGAACCTGTGAGAGCTTCTTTATTTCTGCCGAGTGTCGATCGACCAGTGGACTCGGGAACACGTTGGTCCAGAAGTTCTTCCCTTTACCAAACGCAACTTGGAGCTTGACCGGCTTTGGCTCATAACCATAACGACGGAAAAATTGGAAAGTGTGTCGGAAGATTTGCGAGCCCCCTTGAACGCCGTCGTTTAACCAACTCGCCCCATATGTAGACTGATCCAATGGGATTGACGTCGCTTGGCCGCCGGTATGCGAGTCGATGTCGATCAGCGTTACTGCGAACTCGGGATGCTTGGCCAAGGTGGCAGCGCAGGACATGCCCGCAGCACCAGCCCCGACAATAGCGACTTTCTTTGACATGTCGATGCTTGTAACCAGTGAGGTTTCTGTTCGCATCCCTTGATGTTACGGTGAATCGGGAATCGGTGATGTCAGGGCTTCGAAGGTTCGATCGACCAATCACAGCCCCGCAGATCTATACAGTTTAGATTGGAATATTGAGGTTATTGAGCCTTAGATTCGTCACTCATCATGTTCAATTTGATAATGATTATGTACACGCACAAGTCATGGTTCCATGATCTCTTAATCTAGATCATCATGTCCAGGCCAATGGTGGACTTGGAGCCTCATAATTGATGCTATACTGATCCATTTCATCTCCATAGTAAAGTGTGAACGTCTTCATTTCTTCCCCCGAAAGCAAATGCATCGTTCCACCAAAGTGTTCTTGGCATCAGTGAAGTCGCCTTTCCAAAGCCGTTTTCTCCAAAGTGAGTCTCTGCGCATCGGGGTGGTTGGCAACAGTAGGTGGCATGGGGTTGAGGACGGAATTTTCGCCGATGACAGCCGATCCCGAGCGTCTGATATGCGGCGCAGCTCGTTTCGCGCTCAGGTAAAGTTGTATCTGGTCGATCCGTGGATACCCATGGTGGCCTGGTATCTGGCGGAGACTGAGGGAGATGAGACTTAGTTAGCCATTCGAGGTGACATGATAGGATACAGATAGGATACATCGCTAATGAGTTAACTTACTGTCAAAGTGTGTGAAAGAACCTGAGATAGATCACTCAGAGTAGTGGTGATAGGATAGAGATGATGAAAGGTCAAAGGTGCCACCAAGATGAGAAGAGATTAGTTATGAGTGGGAGGATGCGTTGAGCTGAAGCGGTGGTGAGGCAAGATCCACATTCGTATTGAATTGCGAGTAAGTGTAGCAGCTTCACCCTATATCTCTTCATAAACAAATCATCACATGACAGAGTTTGTTTTGATATTTGGTGTTTGAGCTACTACTTGAGTCTAAGAACTCACTAGATACGTACATGTGTTGACCTGCAGACAAGCATATCGAGTGAGCGAGTAATACGAGAGCGTTGCCAGACCCATTGGCACTGTGGTCAATACAAGAGTCAATCCGATATCTATACCCGGAAAGAGTCAGCATCTAGCAATTTTGTCCGGAATCTGGACGTGTAACATGTTGGATGAAATCCAGCGTAAATTATGATTGTTGAAGAGTATGTTCTTGGATATTTTGGCAGAGCTGCATCTTTCTGGGAGAACTAAATGCAAGCTCTATACATGTAGTTTATGTAAACGAGCTAGGCAATGCCGAGATATCCGGGGCATGGGGAATCCGAGTGTGGGGAGCTTGTAAGTAGCTTAATTCCTTAAGAATCTTCCCACTTGACGAGTATCCGTTTAGCCCGATCGGATATCCCGGAGAACGCCGGACTTGGAACTTTCCTCCTTCAAACACCTCGAGATTCGCAACATGAACACCCTGTCGCTGCCACCCAAGCTCACCCACCTCTTTACTCTCCGCTGTGCGGTGGACCCGCCAATGGAGGTCGGCAATGGTCCCTATGGAAGACGGCGTTGTGTTCCGATTAAGTCTGGATCAGTACAGGGAAAGTACATCAACGGCGACGTTGTGCCCACAGGAGGCGCAGATTTCATGTATAAGTCCAATGACCCCGATACGATGGACATGTTCTAATGCAATAACTAGGTTGGTTGAGGAGGACCAGACGACACATGTCAATACAAACTACATAATCAAAAGTGTGGACGGGGCATTCCTTTACATTCGGTAACTTCACTTTGACTGAGACCATTGGCTTCAAAGAAAACATGCTGATCAAGAACAGGACCGAGGGCACCAGAGCAGGTCCCCCGGAGGTGCTTCGGGCGCTGATGGAAGGTGGACCGGTAGACCCCAGCCAGTATTGGTTTCACCTGCATGTGAAGATTGAGACTGGCCACGAGAAGTACAAGTGGATGAACAATCGTGTCATTGTGGGACGCGCGACAAGGGCCAAGGGCGAAGTAGCCTATGATGCATACTTTTTGGAAAACCCCACCGAGGCAGAAGAAGGGAAGAATAACAAGAGTTTGCTCTAACTGCCGCACGCAGCAGACTGGGACATCAGACATTAATTTTGATCTATAAACATTTGGGTACATATACAAAGTCGCTCAAGGGCTTCACTGTGCATGAAAACGCTGGAGTAATAACTCGGCCAAATTGACATATCGGCCTTGGCTGACATCTTGCTGAGCCAGGATCTGCTCGGCAACGCCATGTGCCCACACGTACTCAGAATGGAACTCGCGTAGTTCCCATAAGCGCTGTCGGAGCCACGCTTGTTGCGTTGGGTCACTGGTTTCAATCACTGCCATCAATAACGGCCAATGTAGACGTCTGAGTAAATTTGGATCGCTTATGAACTGCTTCTGGGCAATATCAACAATTCCCGCAGTGGCCTGCTGGTGTATGGCTGCAGGCAAGGTATCTACACAAAGAAGGCGACGGTGAAGAATAACCTGAGCGTAGAAGGTAGAGACGGCCATATAGATGGTATTGACCGTTCGGCGAGCAGAGACACCGGCGGCGAATCTCGCAGTGACAAAAAGGTCGGAGAATTTCTAACACAGTCAGTCAAGATCACAGACCTTATATGTTATATGTACTCACCTCTCGGATAGTGAGGATTTCACGAAATATGACATCTGCAGAGTCGGCGGTACCAGCCGCGGAGTCCACGAGGGATTTCCAAGTTCGATGGCGTAGACAAAATCCGTCATGCAGCAGTTCAAGGGCCCGGTAGTTCTCAATGTCATCCAGAACCTCCTCATCGGGATACTGCTCGCCCCAGAAGCATCGGCCCCAGAGACGAGCGCAACGATGCAGATGATCTGGCTGTAGAGCGGGATTCCCAGATTGTGCAACATAATCATTTAAAGACTCGGTCAAACCCATCGGACGGCAGCTGGAGTCGATATATCTGTATGATGTGAGCGGTGTCATCAACATTCAGGTTTGGGAATAGACTCACAATATCCACAATAAAAATTGTTCAGGAATGAAAGACATCTTGGCAACGGTCCCAGGCTCATCAGATAGGCCACCAGACCCAGGAGATAGGAGCATATCATTCACATCTTTGATGCGGAAAAGTTGAGGGTGCGTTTCCAGAAGTGAGCGTACACCCTGGAGATGAAGTTGTAACTATGGGAGTATCAGTAGAAAGCTCATTGGGGATGATACGATATTAGAAAGGGCTAGCCTTACGTGACGCACCGAGTGTCCAAACTGCCACTCCCAAGCTATCATCAAGAAGACTGTCGCAAAGACCGTCTCGACCTCACCCAAAGACACTTGTCGCGGTGTCTCGAGAAGTTGCCTGAACTCTTTCACTGCCAGACTATAATGATATCGCCCATGGTCGTCTGCTGTCGGTCGACCCGGAGAACGCACAACCAAGCCATTGCGATGCATGTCACACGCAGATAGCGCGAGAATCATCCGCATTATTACTTTGTTGGACGCAGCAGGGCCTTGATATAGATGACTGTAGAATATACAACGAATTAGCAGGCTGAAACTCCGGATGCAGGGCGACAACAGTCACCCCTTGCCGCGCAAGTGGAGAAACTCACCAAAAACTGCTCCACTTCCAACCTTTCATATAGTAATAAACGAGAGAGGATGAAGGAAAGTACTGAAAGTACTGAAGATCAAGCGCATTGAGCGCCAGGGAATTGGCGCAAGCGACATTATTGAAATTTAACGACGGGTAGATCGGGGTCGCAATGGGCGTGGAACGGAACGACGTCAATTGGGTTGTGTCGAAGGGCACGAAATCGCCTGCCCAAGAAACGGGGGAAAGACTTGTATAAAGGAGATCCTGTTGGGTATCGACTAGATCTTCGAACTCGGGCAAGGGCCACTGTTCGGGCGCACTCGGTGCCGGTTCGAGATGTCTGATCTGTGTACTCCGTCCACGCTTGACCGGAACTCCCCATTCGCAATTGAGACGCAAGGCGGAACATCGTCCGCAGACTGGTTTTTCTTCGCCGCATTTCACCTTGCGACGACGACAGGTACTACAGCCTACGGGGAAAGGTATTAGCCGGCTCATGGGAAACCGGGACAAAGAACTCACCACTCTTCGAACGTGGGCCGTTACGCCCGGATTGCACGGACATGGATTGACAATCCCCCACCACTCCACACAGACATGAAAGATTGAAGGTTGGATGAAGATGGAAGAATTGAGGGTCTGAGAAGTGCCGAAGCCGATAAGGCCGATAACGCGGGGAAAGCTGAGTCATTCATGACGTGCACGATTTAAACCTACTCTTTGTATACTCTTTTGTATGCAGCTGATACATTGAATTGCCTCTACTCTGATTTATACCGCTACTCCTTTGCAATCTCATCTTTCCACTGCCGCTGCGCAGTATCAAACATGGCAGCTTCCACTACCATATCCCACCCAATGAGCGCCAAGGACTTTCCAACAATAAGTGCTTCAGCGTGAGCATCATCCGTTCCAGCCGCAGCTGCAAATGTCGGATGATGGGGGAATGATGTTGGAGGGGCTGGAATGGCGAACATTGTGTGTAGTGTGGGAGTCTCGTAGCTGACATTGCCTATTGAAGTCAGTCCAACCGCTCAATAGGCTTCATGGGAACTACCTACCGATATCCGAGGATCCTGTCAGAACTTTATCGTGGCGCTGGAGTACCTTGCGATTGTATCGTCCCATGTGTGCGGAATACCGCTCACACAGAGTGTCGTTCAGTCGGACATCGGTATAGAGTTCATCCCTTGAAGCAGATCTATCAGCCAATGGCGCTTTCTTGAATACCAGGGACTACTTACTCTTCAATCTTGACTTGGCAACCAGTGGCAAGCGCACCGGCTTCGATACAGTTGCGCACTTTTCCAATAAGGGTGTTGAGTCCCTTGAGGGTAGGGCTACGAACCTGCCAAAATGCCTTGGTGTATGCCGGAATGACATTAGCAACCTTGGGTGTGTCCAGGAACGCACAATGAATGCGCTGATCTGGAAGTAGCTGTTGGCGCAGAACCGCAACATTGTTATAGGATGACACCAGGGCGTCAAGAGCATTAATTCCTTCCCAGGGGTTGCCGCCAGCATGGGCGTTTCTTCCCGTAAATTCGCCTGTGTTGAAATCACTTATCAGTTTGAGACAAAGAGAAAGGAACCAAGGAACTTACAATGGATGTTTTTGCGGGCATTCATTAAAGTGCCAGCGATTCCATCACAAGCCTCCTCGTCGGGGTAGATTTTCTGGGGACCAGGATGACTTTATGGACAATTAGAACATGAGAATTCCAGTGCTTGTCAGAGGTGAGTACATACGCCATGAGAGAGATGTCTACTCCTTTATAAGCCCCAGCATCGATCAGCTTGGCCTTTCCGCCTCCATTCTCTTCGGCTGGTGTGCCCAGCAGCTGAGCTCGGCCAGGGATTCCGTATTTCTTCAATACAAACGAAAGAGCAAGAAAGGCCGCAATACTGCTAGTTGAGATCAGGTTGTGACCACATGCATGGCCGATGTCCGGTAAGGCGTCGTATTCCGCGTTGAAGTTGATCAACCGTCCACCAGATCCGCTCAGTGCCTCAAATGAGGTATCCAGGCCGTACGCGTGACGAGTGACTGAGAAGCCTTGGGCATCGAGGAAATCGCAGATTGCATTGTGAGCAAGGTGTTCCTCGTATGCAAGCTCGGGGTTGGACCAAATCTGAAAGGCAGATCAAGAAATTAGACATGACTACAGAAGGCCAAATGTAAGAGGATCCAAACCTGATGATTGAGCTCTCGCAATTCCTTTTGAAGTGCCTGGAGGGCAGCATCTACAGAAGCCTTTACTTCTTCAATGTCAATTGCTGTAACAGTCATGGTGGGTTGAAGGCTTTTCTGAATCTTGCTATGTTTGTTTGACAAATGCTAGAGGGAATGAGGACAGTCCAAGTTTAACTACCACAAGGGCCTCAGGTTCCTCCTGGACGACATCCGATGCATCCGATGTTGTCCATTGATTACAAAAGATAATCAGTCACGTAGTATTCATGTGGCGTTTGCCGACAGAGTCAGGCGATTATCGTCACAAGTGGAATCATCTCAGCCTATGGCCAGGGGCATCACTTGGGAACAGACCTATGCCAACAAGAGGGGGATGTATGAAGCGGAAATGACGGTATCTTCCCGCGATGTTTTGCCAATGGAGTGTGGCCCCCTCGGCAAACATCCATAGACACATGGATTTCTCCAGGTTTCTAGAGTGTGGGGAACAACCTACCACCTGCCTATAGTTGCTAATCAATCGCCAAGTCCCCTATCCGATATGTCTATTCTCGTCGGACCAAAGATAGGTAAAAGTGGGTTGCCGATGAAGAGTGCTGATTCGCTGCACTAGCCGATTCGAGGTTAATCTTTAGCTCCCTGGGCAATCGATATCAAATCTTATTGTTGACAACAAATCGAGGGGTAGGATAGGCAGAATTCAATATCTTTATGTACGAAGGAACGTTATTTCGGCATCTAGAATTGCCTTCCGTCGCCTCGCATTGCCGTCAATTTTGCCCGTGCATTCCTGCCAGATGATATCGCTTAAACCCCGCCTGGGATTAGAGGCGAAATGAGGTTTATCAACGTAATCATCGCGAATCTTAACTGTATGATCACGGAAATCAGGGCGGAGGGATTCCCTATCAACAAATTTCGTGATCTATACGTCGCCACCATTGCCGCCATGCCTAGAAGGTTAGGGCTCGGCATCCCAGCCCCAAAGTGATATAGTCCCCTTGACAGACCCCAAATTGATAGAAATAAACAAGTCAAACCGTCGCTGATATAGTACACGCTGTTGTTGCTACTCATTTATTTCTACAAAATTCGTCGTCGTCGTTTTTCATTTTGAAATCCTACAACGTCATGGAAAAACAACAACCGCCACTCGGAGGCGTTAAAGTCGACCTAGGGAAGCTCAAGATCGAGTCTAACTCTGCCGCTCGCGATGTAGACGTTGGTCAGGTACTTGAGGTTGAGACTAATCCTGCATTGGAGAAAAAGGTCTTGAAAAAAATCGATCTCTTTTTGTGAGTATTTATTCTCTTCGATGATGGCAATTATGCTGATGCCGACCTAAGAATTCCTCTCATGGGAGCATGCTACATGCTCCAGTATATTGATAAATTGGCAATCAGCCAAGCAACTCTTTTCAACCTTCGACAAGATTTGGTACGTTATATGTGATTCGGTATTGTGTTGCTTTGCCAGGAAAACATACTAACACTATCCCTATACTAGAACCTGAAAGGCAGCGAATACAATTGGGCATCGGCCATCTTCTACTTTGGATATTTTGCATGGAGTTGGCCTAGCTCTTATCTGATTGTCAGACTTCCATTGGGGAAATACCTCAGCGTTGCAGTCTTTGTCTGGGGTGGAGTGTTAATGTGCCATGCGGCCTGCACAAACTGGGGTGGGATCATGGCAGCCCGATTCTTCTTGGGCGTCGGAGGTGCGTTAGGATATCCATCCCTTCTCACGTTCTTCTGTGGCTAATGTAACATACAGAAGCTTCTATAGCCCCTGGCTTTGCTCTTATAACGGGCATGTTCTACACTCGAGCAGAGCAGCCAGCCAGACAAGCAGCCTGGTTCATTGGTAACTCTATTGCTGTGCTTTTAGGAGGCTTGATTGCATATGGCATTGGTAATATTAACATTACCACTATTGCCCAATGGCAGCTGTTGTTTCTTATTCTCGGCGCCGTCACCTCTGGCTACGCTTTTGTTCTATTTTTCGCACTGCCAGACTCGCCTGCCAAAGCAGTCTTCCTAAAACCGAACGAGCGTTCTGTTGCTGTGCATAGAACGTTGAAGAACAAGACGGGTGTGCTGGACACGGGCAATTTCAAATGGGGCCAGGTTTGGATGGCGATCAAAGATCTCCAAACTTGGTTTCTCGTGCTCTACACTCTTTGTGTCAACTTCTGCAATGGTGGTATCACCAGCTTCTCTGCCATTATCATTTCCGGTTTTGGATTTGGTCACCTCGAGGCCCTTCTTATTCAGATGCCAATTGGTGGTGCCCAGCTCGTTTTTCTCATTCTGACATCGGGTTTCGCTGCTATCGTTCCCAAGAGTCGGATTATCATGATGATCTTTAACACAGCAGTCTCAGTTATTGGCATGCTTCTTATCTGGAAACTGGATGACACCAACCGAGCAGGCAAGATGACCGGGCTCTGCCTGGGCAGTGTCTTTGCTGCTAATATTCCTCTGTCCCTGAGTCTGATAAGTTCGAACGTGGCCGGGTTTACGAAGAAGAGTACTGTAAGCTCTCTTATGTTTGCGGCATATTGTATTGGCAACATTGTGGGACCTCAGTTCTTCATCCCATCAGAAGAGCCTTCATACCAGGTCAGTCATTATCATATCCGTTCAGTTATTCATGGCTAATAAATGAAAAGACCGGAATCAAAGCAGCAATGGCAGGACTTGCCTTTGGCATTTTCTTCCTGATTTGCCTATACGTCTTTTACATTTGGGAAAATCGCCGAAGGGATAGACTTTACGGTTCTCCTAGGGAGATGACCGAAGGAGAAGAATTGCAGGACGAGCTTTCCAACAAGACTGACCATGAGATCGAGAGCTTCCGATATGTACTCTGATATAACTTAGCATGTAACCATAGTACTATCGCAGTGTCTAATTCGTGTCTTTTTAATTCAGTTTTACCTTGGCGTGAGACAATGTTTTACGACTTCTCCGTCTACTGAACGATGCAAAATCATATCGCCAGATTCATCAAGTATCAGTATAATGACCATTGTGTCTGCGATAACAGGATATATACTAGAAAACCACAACGCATCGATATTGAGGAAAACATCACACTTTCATCCTGAACCCCAAAGATATATCTATCACCTCCACCAGGAGCCTACGAAAGGACGTCATCGTAAAAATTTCATATTGCTTTCAATTTATCCATACAACTAAGCCACATTACAGTCTGCTACTAAATTGGCCGGTGAGTCGGTAGACAACATCAACGCCCCTACAACGAGTTTCTTTAGCTGAGTGCATTGCCTTTTGGAGGCCCGCAGGTGTCAACCTACGTTTGGATTTTGAGAAATCCGGCAAAGAACTTGCCGATTTCCGTATAGTCACCCAGGCCCATAACGGCAGACACATCTGGTAGTCATGATCTGTTAGTTTATGATCTGATTGGCAAACGATGGCACATCACTTACATTGATCAGGGCGAACAATAAGGATAGCACCTTGTGTCGGATCAATGCCGAGGAATTTGTATGCATGGCCGTGACCTTGGTTGTAGCTTTCATCGTCATAATAAATCTTGTGCAGATCTGGAAAGTTGTGTCAGCACGGAACGGCATGGTCGTGTCATAAAAACCATAAGTTACCTCTTGTTTGATTCTTCCCAGATAGTGGATAGAAGCACCCGGGAATTTGCTCCAGTTCAACTTCATGCCGCTTCCCATGGCCAATCAGGATAGTCTCGATCAGGCTGTCAATATCTTGACTCTTAGGCGTGAATTTGTGGATTGGCCCCTCCTCTGAGCTAAGATAATCTCCAAACTAAAAGAAAGAAACGTTAGATGGTGATCAACATTGAAACAAATGGGCAGACAAACTCTGTTCAGTTTTAATTGATTCTCTGGAACCCCCAGATCACCGACAAAAGCCATGATGCGCCATCGGCCATCCGATTTGAGACACTTCATGAGTTGCAAGGGCTGAGAGTCACAGAAGCGCACAACCTGTGCACTAGGCATTCGCATGCCAACGACCACATTTGAGGCGAGTTTCGCCGATTCCAATGCAGATGTGATAGGCGAGACATCATACTGTGCTGTCAATCCCGCCGTATATTTACCAGACTTGATAAAACCTTCTTGGAACTCGGCAGGCGGAGTTGCAGCTCCAGATGAGAACAGTTTGGAGAAATATCGATCGAAGTTAATCAGATCAATGGCGACCTTTTGGCGTTCCAGGACATAAGTCTCCAGAAGTGAGGGAGTAGCGAGACCGGTGAGTATTTCGCCGAGCTTCCAGCCGATATTGTAGCCATCCTGAAGACTGACATTCATGCCCTGTCCAGCCTTCGGAGAGTGGGTATGACAGGCATCACCTGCCAAAAAGACTCGGTTGTCCTTGTGGAAGAAATCGGCATGACGTTGACCAATTGCATACGCAGACCACCAAACAGTTTCTACGAACTCCACTTTGTATGGGTGGAAGATGCTTTGCGCTTGCGCCTGCAGATTCTCTAGGGTCACTTCTTTTGGGTTGGTTCCTGCGGCAAGTTCAATATAGAAGCGTGTGAGGTTGTCGCTATCGCCCTCGCGGGGGATGATCAGAATGTTCCCGGCCTGAGACCGGATAGTCGATTTCTTGCGGATATCAGGGAAATTTGTTCGAGGAACCATGTCCATGACGCCCCAGACGGCATCACTGCTGTCTCCAATCATCTTGTACCCTAGGGCTTTACGGACAACACTGTGTGCCCCATCACAGGCCTAGAGTCGAATTAGAACGAAACTTGGATACAAATAAATGAGCACTTACCAGTGCGTACTTAGCCGCAAAGGTTTCTGTCTTTCCATTCTTCTCTGCGGTGACTTTGATCGGATAAGCGTCATGGTCTGCAACAAGGACGCTATTCACTTCAACACCGGTCACGTTGTATCCATAGTCGATTTGCTGATCGTTGTATTTCCGCATCAACTCAATGAGGAGTCCATTAATTCGGGCTTGGTTCAGAATAACATGAGGCTGATGCGATAGACCTGGCTGCGTATCTGCTGTTCGACCTGTCCGTTTGATGACACCAGCACCATTGTCGGCCCAGAAGTTGACTTCCAGGACATGGTAAGCCTCACGAAGAAGCTCTTCGCTGACCCCAAAGCTTTCAAAAATCTCAACGGTTCGACATTGCACGCCGTCCGCCTGGCCCATCTTCATAGGGCCATCACGCCGCTCCAATACTTTGCAGCGTACGCCATAACGTGCAAGCCAAGTAGCAGCACAGAGCCCAGCAGATCCGCTACCACAAATAAGAACGTCGACTTTCTCCATGGTGTCAAAAACGCAGAATAAGCGTGCGTATACTCCGGGGGTCTTTTATGTGGTGTCCGGGATTAAACCCGTGAAGTTCGGAATACATCCCGGGTTCGGAACAGGACACGACCTCGGCCATTTGCCTCAACTTTTCCTATGTTGAACCCGCTGTGGTAGTAATGGTATTCATTCATCCTACTTCATACATGACAATGCTTCTTCCCAAGAGGCGTATGCATCATTAAGTCTGGTCTAAATCATTATATAATGCTCCCTCCGAAATACCCGAACGCCAGCGCCGGTAACTCGGCTCATCTTACAAGAAGTACTCGCTGCGGCCTGGTCGCGAGGTCGGAACGTGCCGCTGATCATCACTAACTGCACTAAACAGTTTGAAGGTGGGCTTGAGGTCGTCTCCGATCTCACAGACCGAGGCCAAGTTCCCACACCGGTAGCAGTAATTGGGCGCACTCCACACTGTCACGACGTTTTGGTTGTTAAAATGGTATTTGTAGCCTTCGTTGACCAGTTGGTGTGCACGCGCGATCAACGAGAGGTCGTTGACATGGCAAAACTCGTCCGCGACTCTGTCTCCGAAGAGCCATCCTGAGTATCATTAGCCGTGCTCGCATCAAGGGACCATGTTGGATCTCACCTGCTCCTCGAGGGCTGACGGCCCAAGTCTCCACGTCATCTGGATCAGACCAAACCAGATCACAGAATGCACCTTCGTGGGGGATCTCCTGTGCGCGCGCTACCACACGAACCTGGTCTAGTGTCCGAATCTCAGGACTCAGGCCACCATGAACACACAGTACTTTGCCATCAATGATGGCGCCCAATGTCATGAAATCGAAGACCTGACAGCATGCCTTCCACACTGATGCACTGCCATATTTTTGGAAGCATTCTTCATAGAAACCGTAGACTTGGGTAATTTGTCGCGATTCATGGTTGCCGCGGACCAACGTAACTCGATCGGGGTATCTAGCAAAAATAGGTTAGCGGCATGCTCTTGTCGTTGCAGGTCCGAGGGTCGCTCACTTCGCCTTCAGACATAGCAAAAGCGTTAAGGTCTCTAAGCTGAAGTATCCACGGTCCACATAGTCTCCCAGGAACACAAAGTTGCGGTTGAGCTGAAGGTCTGCAGAAGTATCACTGGCCGATCGACTTCGGGTGCCCGTCTCTTCCTCGTCCTTGGAGTTCACGCTAGGGCCACGGAGCTTCTTGCGAATCTTGGGGTCTGTGATGCTGGATGGGGGTTCGATATCGGCGGAAGTAATAACGGAAGGAGAGGTTTTTGGCGAGTCCAGTTCAGTGCCATCAGGTATGCCACCAGAGACACGAAATAGTTCGAGCAGATCGTAGAATTGACCGTGGATGTCACCACAGACCGTGACCGGCGTCGAGACTGGTTGGATATTGGATTCTGCACATGTCAGTATGAGAAGACGAGGCCACAGACCGATCCTGCTTACCCTCCATCATGTATTCCTTGACGATCTCACAGAGCTGCTTCATGTGTGGTTCTGAGAGATACTTGCAGTCCTTGGCTGCCTCCAGCCACTCATCAGGGCCGGCATTGCGCTTCAGCTTAGCTGGCCCTGGCTGAGGGATCTTGCTATCAGGCATGGCAGTGGAATGAAAGATGAAAAGGAGGGAATGCGTGAAAGATGCTCCGAAGCAGAGTGTGTTTCCCCGCAAGATGCGTACTTCGCTGTTGGCCGCCTTCGCCCGCCGAACTGCCGCTACCACTTGACCAGTTGACTTCTCTCTCAAGTGTCCACCTGGACAGCTTCACATATGTCTATGTTATTTGTTGACCACCCAATCAGATCATTTCTTAGTCCTGGTTAGACCCGATATTCCCGTTGGACAACCGGGCACATGGCTCAACGGTCGCTGGGATGAATCTGTGCGTGATTATGCCCGTGAAGTTTCACTCATACTGGGAATACAACCAGATTACACTACAGGGAATGGAGGTGGATATGTTCAAGGGGTGATCATCAACGACATTCAGTCATTTCCCTATATACTCTTTTGCAGGGACAAAATATATCTACATAGAAATTATATAAATGCAATCAACCGTCAATCTTAGTCAGGAACTCCGTAACAACGTCGGCAAAGGCCTGGGGCTGTTCCACCATAGGCAAGTGGCCGGCACGGTCGATGATCTTGAGCTCAGCACCGCCCTTCAGATCAGCGGCCATTTTCTGCATAGTCTGAGGGAGGACACCGTCGTTGGCTCCTGCAACAAACAAACCAGGTACAGTGGCAGAAGCCATACGCTCGCGGATATCGTAGGCGCAGAGGGCCTGCACACTGTGGGCGAAGCCCTTCAGGCTGTTGGTGCGCACCGCCTCCTTGACGGGGGCGAGAACCTCAGGCTGGGTCTCGTAGGACTCGGGCACGAACCAGCGGCGAGTTGTGACCTCGGCCAGCTCCTCGCCCACAATGGGCTCCTTGGTTTCAGGGTCCATAGAGCCCTCCTTCTCACAGATGGCGACACGGTCACCCCAGGCCTTGCGGTTGGACTCGGGGGCGGAAGAGTTGGTGTCGCAAGCGATGAAGGCTCCAACGCGCTCGGGGTGGAGGAGGGAGGTATTGAGAACGGTGACACCACCCAGGCTGACACCGATCAAACGGGCGGCCTTGGGAGGTACACGCAGGGCTTCCAGCAAGGTGGCGACGTCAGAGGCCAGCACATCAATGTTCACGGGCTGCTCGCCGCTTGCAGAGCGGCGGCCACGGGTGAGATAGCGCAAAATGCGGTAGCGCTGGTTCTGCTTCTGGGCGAAGAAGGCATCTACGAACCGGTCCCAGATGTTCCAGTTGACTAGGATGGAGTTGCTCAGCACCACTACGGGTGCGTAGGGGTCGGTGCTACCCTCCAGACGGTAGGGAATCTCGACACCATCAGCCGTAGTGACGAAGGACTCGACAGCCGGGCGGGTAGGCGACGGGAATGTATGAGTGCGTCCATCGTTGGAGTTCCAGGGTCCAACGACATCCGAGGCGGCCAATGATGTCAGCTCACGGGGAGCAGGGCCAAAGGTATAGTACCACTCATACACACGGCGGTTCTTGGAGGTCACCACGTCGCTCATCAGGCGAGTACCCCAGGGAGTGCTCATGGAAGCCTTGTGGGCATCGCCTCCGAGACCGTTGACTGGGGCATACTCGTGGAGGACAAGGTGTTCACGCGGGGCAGCGGAATCAATAGCTGCAGTAACAAAGCGGCGACTCCGACGCCATCCAGGCACACGAGAGAGCATGTCAAAGTGTTCCTCCCGATACCATTTCTCCAGATCAGCTTCCTTGGTGGGGTCAGTGGCAACTCGGACGGCGACGAGGACGCTGCCCCGGGTCTCGGCATCTGTGTCGGCTTGGTCCTCCAGCGGACGGAAGTTGGGGCTGCTGCGCTCATCGACCAGATCGTATAGCAGACGACCCACGTCAATCTGTGCCATGGTCTTCTTCTCGCGCTCTGTCTTGATCAGATCAGTGCGCAGCGACAAGTAAGTCTCGCGGGTCAATTCGTCCATGTCGGTGATATCGTACAGCGCCACATACTCGGGCTGCTCGCCATCGGTCGCACGGAAACGGAAGCCATTGGTGACGAAGGGCAGACGCAGACGCAGAGGGCCATGTTCGTTGTTATACCAGTCGTGGAATTGAGTGTCTGGCAGCGAGCCCTTGGGCTGCATGGTGACGTAGAGGAGACCGGGAGTAGGCATGATGAGGAATGTGCAACTCAAGAGTTGAGTTAGTCAAGAATCAAGAGTCAAGAATCAAGCAAGAAGCAAGGATCCAAGACCGTAGTCTCATATAGACAGAGCTTCGGCATTCGATTTGCCCCTCCGGATGAAAGCAAAGCGCAACCGAACTCGACTGCCGATGTTCCCCACGCTATACTTCACTACTCTACTATACATTGCGCACACTACACTCTACTCTACACTCTATACACTATATTACCCTCTATAACTCTATACAACTTCTTCTATTTTGGGATCTACGTATTTATCATTATCATTTAATCGTACCAGATCGCGTTCATACCAAACCCTTGCTCCGGAATATCCACACGCGCCACTCGTGCGAGCTTCTCGTCGCGCCAGCGGTACATCTCCACGAATCCGAGTTGGTCATCGCATAGCGCCAACCACTCGTCGCTGAAGTCGCAAGGGCTGACAGCGTTGGAGTGGCCGCCACTGGTTGACGTGGGGTTGATGAACAGCTGGCGTTCGATCTCGCCGTGCGGGCCAAGCTTGAACGCGGTGATGTAGCCGGTCACGTCAAAGTGGTTGGATCGGGTGGTCGCAAAGAGGTATTTCCCGCTCTTAGTGCAGAAGGTGACGTCGCCACGGTACTTGTTGCGCGGGGGTAGGCCTATTGGGTTAACACAGTCGCGGGTGGGAACGGTTGCATCACTCACCAGAGGGCAGCAGAGGGTACGTGATATGAGTGAACACCGGCTTGTGGGTGCGCTCATCGATCACGTACACGGCCAATCGGTTACCGGCTTCCATCAGCGCGTACAGGTACTTGCCGCTGGGATGCATCTCGACCCAGCGAGGGTGATCACCGGGCTCGGGGGCCTCCAGGCAGTCCACGAGCGTCAATTCACCCGTCTGGGGATCCTTAAGATGCGTCCAGATCTTGTTGGCCGACAAATCGGCCGAGTACAGGTAGGTCTCTGTCGGGTCGAACACCATGCCGTGGATACCGGTCTTGGGGTCGTATTCGTAGTTCTGTACATTGCTATCCAGAGCTCCGTCGGGCTTGACGGAAAACACGTTACCGTAACCGGCGTAGTTGTAAAAGGGGTTGCCATAGACATTGTAGGGGGCTTGTGGGCGGCGAGGACGAAGATGGCACGGGTGTTGGTCTCGCTGCTGGGGGCGAGAGCTGCTCAAGGTCAGCGGGGATCTGCAAAGGACTCTTAAAACGTACGGTGGCCAGCAACGGGGTGCGACACTTGATGAACAATCTCGGTCGGGCTGTTGACGGCGAAGCTGTTCCACTTTTTCATGGCGGCACCATAGATGGCCTTCTTGTCATGAGAGAAGGTCATCCATGAGATTGGCTCAGCTTCGGGGATGTCAGTTTTCTTGACCAGCTCCAGAGTGAGGGCTTCATCATCGAATTGCACCGTATAGATGCGACCGGGCTTGGTCCAAGTACCGACCATCAAATGGTGCTTCATATTGGCGACTGAGGTAGAGAATGTCCGACGAGGAATGGCAAATGCCGAGGCGAGTGAACGAAGCATGCAGTTGAAAAGAAGCGAAATTATCCGCATGCGGGGAGCTGTGTCGGCATCGGGGGGGGGCGGCACCGGGAGTGTGTTTTACTCACTGCCGACCACGTAGTTCAACTCCCATTAACGACATTGCCTAGGCGTTAGCGTCGGTCTTGATTCTGCTAGGTTCCATAGCAGAATAATCTGGGGTAGTTGGAGTCTGAATATTCTATACATAACACTCAATGGGACTAGATATAACTGAGGAAGTAGAGATCTTATAGTAGACCTAAGCAATAACAGAATTGATGTTCGCTTTCTCCTGGGATGTCTGTTATAATCCATCCTTGTGCATGTTACCTCTTAAACTATCTGTAAGATTATCCAGCAGTCCTGTCTGTACATGCACTTCTGCCCACATAGTTCGGCCCCGGAGAAACCCTCCCCCACACCGGGTAATACCTTTCCCCCATATACACCCGCTCGGTTATGACATCGACAAGATGCCGTAACTGAACATGCACATTTTCCGCAGGTTAACTTCTGGACATACTGTCGAGATTGATCCATTCTGTGCTCCTGTTGCTTTCTCTAAGCATACACGTACCGGCCCTATCAATCAAATCCGCACCATGCGCTTGCCCTACGCCCCTTCCACCCCGCCTGCCGATGCCTCGGCCGACACCGTTGATACATATGCCCGCATCGCTGCGCGTAGAAACCCTCGACCATTGATTCCGCTTGACCTATCCCTCCTCCATAGCCCGCCTGTTGCTGATGGCTGGAACAGCTTTATTGGAGCTATCCGCTCCCGTACCCTGGTTGATTCTGGTGTCATGGAGCTGGCGGTTTGCCGGGTCGCTGTGCTTAACAATGCTATCTACGAATGGAATGCCCACGCTCCACTAGCTCTTAAGGGTGGCATTAAACCCGCTGAATTGCAGGCTGCTCGCACATTACCTTCCACCGCCACGGGGGATGTTGCTGAGCTCGAGAAGAGCGCGCTTACTCCGCAACAACGGGCCGTTCTACGCTATACCGACCAAATGACTCAGACTATCGCTGTGGAAGATGAGGTTTTCGCTGAATTGAAGACAGTCGGATATGATGATCGTGAGATTGTGGAGCTTACCACTGGTATCGCTGGGTACAACTGTGTCAGCCGGTTTTTGGTTGCGTTGGACGTGGGTGAGAACAATGCCCGCCAGATGAAGAGCGTGGATGAATTGGTCGCCGCCTTGCAATAAAGAGAGCATATATCTAGCATACGTCCGGAGAAACCATTTCCTGTTTACGGAAATGATTATGGCCTCTAACTACATTGCACACGTAATAGGAGATTCTTCTCCTGGTGATAAAGGTATCCACTCCCGCCGCGCTATCTCAAGTCAATTGAGTTCCCACCGAAAACAATCTGCAAGTCGAATTGTCAAGAGGACCGACTAATTGTGCAGATTGGAGTACTGGCATGACATGATTGCCTCAGGGATCAGGCCTCCTTTGTTTGGTTGCCCTAGTCCATAGCACTATTTTGCCTGCTGCTCCTCCATAGAGTATTATCATCCTCTTCTCCCTCTCCCCTCCATAGGAAAGCTCCGTCCATCAAAGTACCTGACATCATGCAGGGCGGAACGGCGGAGTCTTGGTATGCCGCCCCGCCAAACGATATTAGTCAGCTTTCCTTGACCGCCAAGCAAATTCTGGTCCCTACATCGCGAAGCCATTACTTCATTATTGTCATGTTCGAGGATGACAAGAAAACACACGAAGCTCAAAGGGGCCCCCGACTATGACGACCCGGGATTCTGGAATACTCGCTTTGCGACAGGCTGTGATGTGGGTGAATGGTTGAACTCTGGTGAAGCGCTTCTAGATGCAGTCCTATCAGACCTAGAAAACCGGCCTAGCACCCAGAAGGACATGATCATGACTCCACGTGTCTTGCACCTTGGTCCTGGCGTCTCACAACTTGGAAATAAGCTACGGGATCGATGTATCGAGCGACAGTGGCAGGGCAATGGCATCGTGGTTGGTTGTCCTCTGTCTATTGTGTTGTTATACTTGACTAATTATCCATCACAATCTATCGCAGAATGCTGACTTTTCTACTGAAGCTGTCCGTCGTGGTCAAGAGTTAGAGACCAAGAAGGAACCGACACATGCCATGCACTGGCTACGTGTTGACTTACGGTCCTGGAATGATGTCTCTACTCTATCTGAATTCGCGCCATTCGATGTGATTCTCGACAAAAGCACTAGCGACGCTCTAGCCACTTCCGAAGATCATCACTTATCCCGTCACGACCTTTTGACTAGTTGCCCAGCTGTTCAAAAAATACTGTCAATGAACCCAACCATCACGCTGAGGCCCGTGGAGCTATTGGCCTTACAACTTTCTCCTTTGACCAAGAAGGGCTCGACATGGATAGCCCTCTCATATTCAAGCATACGCTTTGATGGACTTCATCACCTAGCAGACCACTGGACGCTCCGGGCGCGTTTCCCATTAAGGGCACCTGCTGGTCCCGTTGCCACTTCGATTTATGCACCAGAAGTGTTCCATTGGATGTACATTCTGGAGCGGCGATGATTCTGGCTGCGAGATGTCTCAACCCACTTGACGGATCATTGGGAATATGTCCTGCTTGAGCTCGGGTGATGCATTCATGCTGCTAAACCGGTGATTTGTGACATCCAGCAGAGGTGCATCGATAGCCTAGAAACTCGATGAATATATACTAATGTTCACTCATTCAGATTTGGCAACTACGGAACATGAAAATCTGGCGACATTACGGCCTCTACGAGCTTTTTCCAGCTAGGCAAGAAATTCCACCATGGCTTCAAATTCCCATTGACGTAACTACAACTTCAACACATGACATCAGTTCGACCCCATTTGCATAAATCCCGCAACACACCGGCTAAATTGATCTTAAATATCTATCGCGGGCAGCTTCCTTCAACTCCCGCGGATCTAATACACTGGCGATCAGCATCCAAGGTAGATTGCTATAATCTCGTTAGTTTTCGCCTCCCCGGAGAAGTCTGTGATCGAGAAACTCACCGTTTGCGTACAGCGCATAAGAGTCTGCATTCAACACCGCGTTGCTGCTAGAGAGGGCAGTAGCAGCAGAATATCCGTATCCAAGGTCGTCGGTTCCCGGGCTGTAGACACCTGGGGCGTGGGTGAACTCATGCAAGGTTGTGGTGGCCTGATCCTGTGCGTGACAGCTACTCGCCAAAGCCGGCAGGTCGGAATAGTAGATGTCGCAGTTGGCGATGATGTTCTGAGACGGAAGTGTCCAGGCGAGGACATTAGTCTCACAGTACCCGTACACATCAGTGCAATAATATTTGGTCGACCCCGAAGAAGTGGAAGCAGCCTCCTTGGCGACAGCCTTCAATCGAGCGGCCACGACCTGGCGAGTGGCGGTGGAGGTTGTCTTGAAGTACTCGCTGAACTTGGAGGCAGAGCCAGAGAGCGCAGCAGAGGCGGCAGCATTTGCCAATGACACGGTGTTACTCAGGGCTTTGTCCAGTGCCGCCTTTCTGCTAGAGCTGCTGCAGCTTTCGGCCGTTCGTCGATTGAGAGGCTTGATAGCTTTCAAAACACGAGATGCCTTGGCACCATCTACCTCGATTTTGAGATCATTCGAGCGGTAGGGCAGATATCCTGTGACTGTACCATTGGTGACGATAGGCACAAGGCCACTCGACCGCAATGTCAGTGGGCCTCCAGCTGATAGGTCACTGGTAGTCGCAATGTCGAACTCATCCTCAAAGGTCTCTCCTACCGCAAGCGAGGTAAGGGCCTCCGAGGTGAGACCTTCAAGCCTGAATCGGCGCTTGATTCCTTCGAAGGTAACCTCCTCATCTATTCGAATTTAGCATTGGAGGTAGGTTCGCTCAGGGTCTTAGCATACCATTTTGAAAAACGTCGACCTTCTTCACGGGTGCACTATCCCGGAAAAAGTTCAGATGAACAAAGGTCACATCCTCCTTGCCAGAATTCTTCACCGCGGCTTTGATGCGGGTATCACTGACTTGAGTCAATGCGACATCAAGCACGGATGCTCCATCAGCTTCGACTGGTAAGCTGTGCACGTATTGGGCGAGGCCCAGGAGAGCAGTGGACAGTGTAGCGAAACGCATGGCGAGTTTCAATGTATGATGACCTGTGATTGCGTTTCGATGCTTGGATATCTTCTTTCACGACGTGGGGGACCGGATACTTATAGCTGGATGGGCATTGATTGCGACACTCTGAATGTCTGCCGATTATCTCAATGATCGTGATCGCCCATCGCCATTGCGGAGAAAAGAAGGTAGTATTCCATAGCATTGAGCAGCCATGACTACTCGTGGCGGACCCTGTATAGGACGAAGGAGCCACGAGGAAGGCTTCTAACTGGTCGTAGATTCTTCAAGATAGCTACCTCTCTGCAGATCTCCTATATACTGTCTTCTTGGCCCGGCGGAATCCCGTACCTCCAATAGACGCTGCACAGCAACTTGTATATCGAGATTGAGGGGAAGTACATGAAACTCGGTCGGTAGTAGTTGCATTTGACCTTGTCTGAGGAAGAGCAGGTGAATCGATAAGACCACTGATTGTCCAATGCCAATAGAGAATATACGAATCCCTCTCTCTATTCAGTATACAAATTAGTTGCTCTAGGTTTCTACAGCGGTATCTATCGACCACATAACGAGCTCACTGGAGGCCTAAAGAGAGGCATTAATACTAGATAAGATCATTATTCCGACAAAATAGTAGAAAAGCATGTTAATCTCGCAGGACATTGCTAAACCATTATCCGCTAACCGTAATTACTGTTTTGGTACATCCCCTCATCGTTATATGGCGCCAAGCCATCGACCCTGCATTTATCGCCGGACTCCGGTGCCAAGATACCACCCAAGACGGCGCCGGAGACTTGACTGCAGACAGAATGCTTAGACTCAGCCATTAGAAAGCTCGGTCAGATAACTGTTTAGAGCAAACAGTGGCTTGGCTTTCAAGTGTGTCGAGGAACCCACACAGTGTGCCGCGGAGGCCAAGCCTTAGAGAGACGGGAGTGACACGGAGCCCGGGAAGATGGGGCAAAGATGGCCCTGACGAGAAGACTCGGCGTGGGACGTCTATTTTATTGGCTAAATATAATTCTGCAGGGACGCGGGGGCATTTACTTCCTATGAAGGCACAAGTCAAGGCTCGGCCTGGGAACAATTATCTTCTTTCACTTTTTTTTCTTTCGTGAAATAACAGCCTCATCTTGATTATTATTTACTAAAGTTGTGAGAAATCCAAAGTTTGCTCATTTCCCTCCTTTGTGCCACAGAGTCTCCACGTGCGAAACATGGACTCAGGCTTGACTCTGCAGGTCACATTGGCGTCTCAGGTCCCAACCATCGGGGCACAGCAACCACCCGCTATTCATATCACAGCATCGGTCTACAATGCTGCTGACTTTCCCGTTACCTTTCTCAGATGGGCTACCCCATTAGACCCCCAAGCCGGCGTGCTAGGGATCTTTGAGGTTCGGGATATAGCAACGCATCGGACAATGCCCGTTCCTATTATAAAGATATCACGCAAACTCCCTGCCTCTAGGGATGATTTAGTGGAAATACTTCCACGCCAAACCCTGCAAACTACAATCAATTTGCCTACAATGACCCTTGACAAGGGAAATGAATATTCTATTCGTGCACGAGGAGTTTGGCACGCTGTGTGGCCTACCGAGTCAGTGAATGTCACCACATCGCAGCTGGAGAATATTAAGGGTGCAAGTCGTGGGGAATTTCTTTCGAATGAATCGCATGTGAGGATTCAGTAATGAATGTATTCTGAGTTAGATCTCACCATTGAGAGTAGCATTAATGAAATGTTACTTGAGCTTGTCCAACCATAACCGTCATAATGCAATTTAACAAGTGGCAACTGTCCTTCGTATGGCTCTTTTGCATGAGGGCTGCATGACTTTTCACGTCACTGTTCCTTTCTGTCACACACCGTATAACCCAACAGAAGGGATGCCACCTTTCTCAATAGGTACGTGACACCGGGTATGAGTTTCATTGTGGCCTGAATCTGCTGCTATATACCATATCATCTGGCGTGCTGGATTTTGTTCGAAGTTCCTTTTGCAAGCAACAACAGCCAAAATCACCCTTTATCTCGATTTACCCGCAGATCTCGTGGAGGTAAAATGAAGCAGCATAACATAAATCCGAAAGAAGATGCCAGGACGGTATTTGAAGTTCTCAAAAAGGGTGGAATTGCAATCATTCCGGCTGATGTCGGCTATGGGATTGTCGCGATCGACCCCGAGGTCTTGAACCGGATTTTCCTCACCAAGCAACGTCAACCAAACAAGCGACACGCCATGATAGGCAGCTACGCTCTTCACTGTGCCCTTCATGTACTTTCGCCAACCCAGAGAAGTATGGTCAAACTCTTGAGCGTAGATTTAGATGTCCCCATTGGAGTCGTTGCCCCATACCAGTCTGATCATCCCATTATACGAAAGATACCTCCCGAAACGTTGGCACAGTGTGTCGTTGCGGGAACCGTTGCAATGCTGGTCAATGGTGGTGCATTACAGGAAGAACTATCTCGACTGGCCACCACAGAGGAACTCCCTTTGATGGGGTCATCGGCGAACATGACAGGAAAAGGAACAAAGTCTGCAGTCGAAAATATTGAACCGGAGATTTTGAGTGTGGCGGACATTATTATTGACTACGGGAAGCAAAAGTTCCACCACCCTCGACTCTCCTCTACCATGATTAATTTCACAACATGTACAGTTTTGCGATATGGTGCTTGCTATGATGTGCTACAGGATGCTCTAAGGCGATTTTACGGGGTCAGAATACCTGATGACCCCGGAAAGTCAGTTTTGCCCTCTGGCCATAGGGTCGACAAGACAGATACATTCAACTAGCATGGTCATCGGACTCGCATATCCTTTCTCAAGCTCACCACGGGGGATGCCTTGAGAAATAATTTTCGGTTGCTCTCACATCACGAATATTGTCAGATATAATTTGGCCGATTGTTGTATTGTGAGCCTCTGAAAGCAAGCTTGGATGCTTGCTGAAGGTCGATTTCAATAATTATTCGTTGGCGCTTGTTTTGAATCCGCAACACTGACACGATGGTAGCCCAAAATCGTGTTAGTTTGATGTCGTTAAATAGTGAACCATAGATTCACGATTCATACGAGATAATGATGACTGAAATCTTGAGATGATTTTGGTCATGTAAGAAAACGAACAATGGCGTCAGTCGTTCAATTCGCGCTTTTCAGATATTAGAGATAGATGAACATGAGCCCTAGAACTATCAAATAGAGACGCGTCTATTTTGTGACCGAGAATTGATAAACTGATTCGATAGAAGGCACTTGGCTTGTGGCCGAGGATGAAATATCTGTAAAGACTTTTGTATGAGAATACTAAAATGACAAACCACTTGACCAGAGAGAGGCTTACACCAAAGATGTGATGCAATCTTTATCAGTAAATATGGTTTACCATCAGGCTAAATGCTATACATGTTCTAATTACATTGAGCCAGAGTGGCCGGCACTTTACTGACAATTGGTTTCCATTTTTCTAGCAAAACTCTCCATCATCCCTATACCATGATAGCTTGCTTAACCACCACAAACATCTAACAAATCAGTTGGCTTCGCCTCCGTGTGTGAATCTAAATGTATTCAACAGTGACACTGTTGCCGGACACGGACGACGACGTCAGAACCGAGTTGCTCTGTTTGATATTGATGATGGTAGCACCAGAGGGCCCAACGGTACTTTTACCGCTCGTGGCTTCGGCATTTTCGAATGTCACAGTACCAAAGTTGGCAAAAGGCACCAAAGAACTGTTGCTTTCGAAGTCCTCCACGATCCATTCAGCATTGTACTCGCAGAGATCACCGTCAACGCCACCGCTGAAAGTATGGGTGACAGATTTTCCAGTGGATACATTCTGGACGGTGGCAGTACCAGTGGTCTTGGAGGAAGCATCGACGGTAATTTTAATCACATTTCCAGCCGAGATTGAGATGCCAGAAAAGTCATAGGCGTAGTCAGGATACCATTCGTACCACGCATCGTACGACACGGTACTCCCTTGGATGCAAAAGTCAATGCCAGTCTGCAGAATGGCCGTGGTGCAGGTATCGCCATCGATTCCGACCCACGCAGAGGCACAATACTGGCTGCTTGAGGAGGCACCGGTAGGAAGTTTGGGTTTCGGGACTGTAAATTCCGCAGTCACGGACGTATATCCGGTGCCAATCAACACAGCGCCGGCCCAGTTGGTGCTATACTCTGCGTGAGATGTCTCATTCAAGTGTAGCACTTCAGATGTACCTGGTTTGTAGGGTGGATGACTGGAACGACCCGCAGCTCTGGCAACTCGGCGACTTTCCTGGCGTGCCTGGCGTTGCGAGGTAAGGGGCGCTGCGACTACAGATGTTGCGAGCAGGGCTGTACCGACAATGAATGCTGAGAACTTCATGGTGATGGTTATATCTTCAACTTGAAGTAGATCGAGCGAGGCGCTGCATAAAAAGCAGGCAATTGAGAAGGAATTGACTGGTGAGATGATCGATCTTCGAGCAGACACAATGTTCTTTATATACTTCTCCCCCTCTTCTGGGATTAGGATATCACTTTGTTTGAAGCCAATGGGATAAGAGCCCTTCATGCAATGTTAAGTCTCATCCAACTCACCAGGATACCGGAAGCCCGGAGTTTCTCGTGGATGCAACATCGCCATTTCCAGATAAAAGGAATCACAGATTCGGACGATCTGTCGCCGTCGGAGACCGAGAGATCACTCTAAGAACAGCTGTATAATATAAGCCAATTTATGCTCGGATAAACTATTTCTGCAAAGCTTAATACAAGCAAGGTCTGCATATAACCTTGGAAGCGCTAGGCATCTAGTCACGCAATACGCAGTTCGGATTTCGGCAGGATAATCTTTCAGTAACATGAAACTATTCGCGGGTTGAGAGATTACACTAGGCGAAGATAACAAGCAACTATTCTAGGTGCTAGCCTCTGAAAAGAATTCCTCAGTCAGCAAAGTAAATAAAATTATCTTCATCTACTTTAGAATGGACCTTGACTGTCTATAGCTTTCATAGAATATACCAGTGTAAATAAAATTCCATATTCCTTTGATATATTCAAGCCAGCATTAAGCACTGGCTTAATGCTCACAGTTCTTCGGCATAACCTGGCCAGTACCTAGTAGTTCGTCTGGCAGTATGTAAATGTGCAATATCGGATTCCCGACGGAGTCTAGCTGAGTGATAAGGTGGTGACACCAAGATCCTTGAGGTGAAGAGGTGCTACGGTCAACGAACAGTGTGCACATTGGTCTAACAAGCCAGATTTTCCAATTTGGAAACGATCGACTGCTGCAAAAGGGCCGTAAATGAATGCCGATAAGCCATGCACTCTCGATGTGACTGTGGCTTGCATGTCAGTGCATCCTAACCAACTGTATCCCAAATAATCACGGATCTTTCAGTGATAAGCTTACCAAGCCTTTGACAAGCAATTGTACCCAAGAGCAAGAATCGCGCATAAACAAAACGCTGCCAATGTTATTGTCCAGTTTTCGGGCTACGCGAGACGAGTAGATAGCAGAAAACAATATCTCAGCAACTAAATAATTATCCAAAGCGATCCGCTTCCAATATTTTGAAAAGAATCAATACCCCGCCTCGGGCGCGTGAAAAGTGGTGAGGAATTCGTTCGGAGTAGCGAATCCGCACTAACTCGATTCGAGGACCACCTCCGATTTGAAACGAAATCAAGCGGGTGGATACCGGGATTCCTCAGTTTAACAACAAATCACGTCCCAGAGTCGATACGTTGGTGGGCTTGGTGTATTGGACAGACCGGGATATTAGAATCCCAACGTTGAAACTACCGTAAGTTGATCAGGATATTATCGAGGATAAACCGAGGGAGAACAACAAGTCAATGTTTATACAGAGGGCATGCGTTTCGTGTTAGAATGACTCGTTGTATTCCCAGAGAGCTCAAAGCACCAGTAAAACCACAGACCAAAGTCTCGCTGGAAATACTATGTTGGTGGAAATGGCACGCTCGAGCCACTCATGGCAACTTAGGAGTTTCAGTGTCATTTATTTCTGGTACTCAAGTACCTTCATTATGATTCTAATCAAAAGCTGATTTCAACGACCCAAGGGCTTTCAATTGTTCTGGCATAGAAATATCCTCAGAAATTCAGAAGCAACAGAAAAGGAGGTTGATAACAAGTGACTGTTGGAGATATTAGTAAGCTCGTGCAAGAAACGAAATTTGGTCACTCGATAAAATCCGCCATTCGTAATCGACGGGACGGCATTACTCGATCAAAATGTGTAACAGGTCAGATTATAAGAACAAAGAATGCGCCAATTACTCGAGGAATATGTGAATATAAACCTAACTCCAGGATTGATCTACTAGGGTCATAATGTTTTCCGCGGGAAGTAAAATAAAAGTTGGCCGGCCCACTTCGCAGGACTGGCTACCCCAAACCCAGTCGAAAGGGGAGAGGACTCAATAACTCGACAAGAATACACATTCAAGGATCGTATGATTAACCCATTCGTCATTTAGCACGCAAGACAATGTCGGAATATCCAATACGTAGGCTGATGTAAATCATAAATTCACTCTATGTCTCATCGTAAAAGTTTATATCGCTTTAGTATTCGCTTCAATCTGCAAATTGTCCAGCCATAGAACTTGAGGCATACCAATGATGTCGGGTTGATGGCAGTCCACTGTAGTCCCCGCTTCACACATCTTCCACTTTCTTCTCCTCCGCGTCTGACATGTGATGCGGTTCGTAGGGAATTTCATTCCATCTGTCGCTTGTCGCAGGAATAGGAAATAGGCTGGCCAGAATCCAGTACACTGCCCCAGAGGCAATAAACCCCGAAAAATAGTTGATATCGTAAATGTATTTTGCTCCAACGGGGACATCGACCCCGACAGCCCCCGCAAAGCCAACAATATTGATCAGAATGCCGCACAGATAGGCGGCATATCCATGCCATGAGATTCCGAAGTTACCGTAATATGGGCCATCTTTGCGAGCGCTATACAAAGCTTGGATATCAAGATATCCTTTGCGTACTAGATAATAGTCGCTTGCCATGACCCCTGCAATTGCAGAAAGAAAGACCGAGTACGCGGAGAGATAGAGCGTGAACTTGCTGGAAGATGCAACCAGGGTCCACTGAAGATAAATGAGCATTAAAGGCCTCAATCAAACATAGCGTGTACTTACAGGACACATCGCAAGCCCAATAGCCGCGCATAGGTATCCACCACGTCGGATCGTACAAAATCGAGGTAAGAGGGCAGTGAGGTTAGTACCTGCTGATACCGAGTTTGCGGCAATATTTGTCCCCAGCTGCGCAAGAGCAAAGCCTGCCGCAATGACGAAGATTCCAAACCTCTCGGCGGAGCTTGCTCCTTCTAAGAACATCCCAAGGAGCGTCAAAGGGTTCCAGACGGCTTGACCGAAAATCACGCTCGAAGAAGAGGAAACAATGATGCCGATAAAGGAGGTGACGGCAAAACCAACAGGGATTGTCACCAGCTGTGGCCATAGCGAATCCTTCGGATCGCGAGCATATCGCGTAAAATCTGGGTTGTTGATGACAAGGGCAGCAAAGTTTGCAATGCAGTTCATGATACTCTTCACAAACGCCCAAGCTAAAGCACTGCCTTGTACGGTGTTTGGCTGGGTTATGATTGGACCAAGTCCATGAGCGCGGGCAATAGCCCAACCAAAGAATGCGATAGCACAAGCTGGCGAGAAATATGCTTTGACCGTGAAAAGATGCCTGATCTTATAAATGGGAAACCAAAGAGCCGGTAAAGACATTAGCCAAAAAATCAGAAAGCTCACAAACTGTTTTGTAGTCACTCCCGCAGACACAGGGATTGAATTAGGCAATTTGTTGTAGCTGGGCCATATGGCTGCAATCATCAACGTTACACATTCACCTGAGCAAAATATGATTAAGTAAAAGGTCAGAATTATCTCCAGGTCCTATCTTACCACCTAGATAAGTCTATAAAGACAATCAGCCAGTCTAGAACGCACAAAGAGAGCGGACTCACATACCTGTACACCGTACCAAATAACGGCCATTGCGGCCCGGTTGACGATTGGCCAAAATGAGCCCCAGATGCCAAATGAAGCTCGATTGGTCACCGCAAATGGAATGCGATAGACGGCGGCGATACGGCCAATGAGACAGACGAAAAGAGCTGAAATTGTGTAACCTATCCAGACGCATAACCATGATTGCCACCAAGAAAGGCCATCTACTATCATCGAGGAGGATATCATCCAGGTGTTCTGACAAAAAAGGTCAAATAAGATCGGCGTAATGAACAAGTACTCAAAAAAATAAAAATAAAAAAAGGGAAAAAACAGAACATGTGGCTGTCGACTATATGAAGACCTGTCAATGCGCACTTACCACGTTCAAGGAATCCGCAATCCAGAATGCAACAAAATTCAACCACCCCCACTGGCGACGTTCAGGCTCAACTGTAGATAGGATACAAAATGCTGGTGTCAGCGTGATGTCAAGATACAGATCAGAAGTGTGGCTAGTTTGGAACACAACAGAGTTTCAAGCTTTTGCAATTGACAATGAGAATCAATGGACCTATGACAAGGTAAAATCTTGTTATGTTGCTGAGATTATTCTCACCTGGCCGAAGATCATCATTTGTCAACATGAGCTGCGCCGTTGATAACCCAGGATCTGTAGGCACCTGGGCCTTTCCGAGCCAGTACTTCAATTGAAAGAAGGCCATGTTTATGAAAAACTGTTTTGTCTGAGGTATTAGAATATTCAAGCACGAATACTTGAGCAAAGGAAAAATGTATCCGGCCAGACACGAAATGCGATATATGGCAACAAATGCCATTTTATATGTGCGTCAGGCGGGAATTGCCCCTCGGCAGAGCAAATTCCAATCTATAGAATATAGAAAACCTATAGCAGTTTTGCCGACGGGCAGGGTATAACCCCGCATTCTGCCGATCACCCTGTTACCAGCCGGGAAGCATCTACAATTAACTTGGCCTGTGAGTTCCCCACGGCCGATAATGGCTGTTGATTTATGTAATGTTTTATTACCCCACGATGAGATCGGCCTGGTCTGGAGACTTGGAGATTGTTACTCGTTTGGACGTGCTCGCTAGTGTCCAAACTAACACCGTGTGAATGGAGTGCTGTAGTGCATGCTTCTGAACATGAATGATTTCCAAAAAAAATATTTTGACATAGATTAAAAATAGAAGCCAATTTGTAGAGCGCTTTAAATCCATCTCTGGCATTGGATATATAAGAGAGCTAGTAAAACCAAATCGCAGAATGTCTGCCGTGATCTTTATATCTGGCTAAAAACATAGCACAAAAATACCTGAAAATGAGAGATCACGCAGATATATGGTGATTTATTGAAAGCATGTAAATACATATCAAGACTCAGCAATTTTAATAGTTGGTTAGTCCAAGCGATATAGAAAAGATTTTTTATCATGAGATGTTCAGATATGCCAGGAACGTACGTATTTTTCTATCTGTCTATGGATTCTCCTTTCAATGAGCTTCCGCCCGGTGTTATTACGGCTTTCATCTTTTGCACCTCATCCTTAGAGACGAATTCGTTCGAGCCCAAAAGGGCGGCAGAGTGAAACGCCGAAGCACCTGTCACCCTATGAAGCATGTGGATATTCGACGATCTCACTCCACCACCAACAATAATTTCTGGAGCACGGTTGTGTTGTTGGGCGCTGCCTTTCCCCTTTGGATAATTCCAGGCCACCAGATTTGCTAACTTATCAGCGCACTCAGCTGCTTTGATTCCCGATGGGCCTCCATTCGTTAGGATCGATGCAAACCCACAATCTATGATGTCCGCCAAAGCGGTCGGCCAGTGAAGTTCGGGGATAACATCAAACGCGCGATGAAATGTGCAAGGGCGACCTTCAGCTAATCGTACAAGCTCTTTATTTCTGGACACATCAATCCAATGTTCCGCTCCATCGCAAGCGTTGTGAGGAAATCGGTTCAAAATCCCGAAGACGAATCCGTCAGCTCCGTGGACTTTTAAATTATCCAGTGTTATCTTCATTATCGCAAACTCGGATTCTTTATAAAAGAAATCTTCCGCGTGTGGCCGAATCATCGCGTAAACGGGAATTTTTATTTGAGACTTGATTTTTTCGAGGGTTGTAGTGTTAGGTGACAGGCCACCAGAATTGTAATCTTTGCATAGTCTTGATCACGATTAGTCAAATTGAGACACGGGCACGAACAAGTGAAAGTGAAGCATAGACTCCTTTTCGGGGTGGACCTCGAATACTCACTCGATGCGATCTGCGCCGCCATCCGCAGCAGCCAACGCCGATTCGTAGTTGAAACAGGCAATTTCCAGGTGGCTATATGAGCTTCGTGGACTCATGATGAAAACACGTTTGATAATAAAAGTGGTCAGTGGCACGGAGAGAGGTGCTGAAGGCGGGGAACTGCGGAAAAAAGTGGTCGGGACTGGCCCGCCTACTGCATACATGTATGGCATTAAGAGGGCTTTGCCGCTCGCCCTATATGTTTTTCAGGTACTACACCACGATTTTGAATGCTGGTGTAGTGATCGAAAGCATCCTACATCTTGTTTTCTTGTTAACCATCTTACCTTCAATTACGTCCCGCATGACATCTGATCTATTAGCACACCACCTTGCCAATCTTTAATGATTAACAGGTCTTTTACCGTTAGTGTGTCTCATTTGACCGATAGATCTCAAAACTTCTGAAAGCATCACTGTCCAAGCTTATAACTAGGACATATAAATCGTCTTAAGCAGCGCCACCAGCGACTGTTATCAGGCGCGTGACTTGGCTGTAGAAGGGGAATTGGCAACGAGTGAGTTCTTGTCCAGCACTTCCCATGCCATTCATTCGATCTGTAGGATGCGGTAGTATCACTACTATTCCGGTAGTACGGAAAATATCCCAGCCAAGAGTTTTCCTCCTTTTGGCATGGCATCCTCAGGACCTTCTTGAACTATTGCAAAGAAACTCCTCTGTAGGGCACATTGGTAAGCAATGTGAGTTGATGCAGTTATCACCAAATGCGTTGTGTAACTTCTAACTTTGAATATATGAAGCTCAATACTGTGACTAGGTTTATTAGTTGAAATTGACATGATATCGCTTGTCTTTCGTGACAATAAGCACAATGGGAAGTTTGAAGCCATTTAGTCAGGATTTGATACACGCCCGTGTCCAACTGTTTAGCGAAGTTCCCCATGGCCGTGAGAAAAAAATGATTCCCCAATAACTATACGGACCTTTATGCCAAGTACCAACTAGATTAGGATTCTTTGTTTATCTTCGTGCCTGAACCAGAAACTCCTAGTCCATCTTATTATTGGAAATAAAAACTAGATTATTTGAGGGTTCCGGTTTAGAACAGATTTCCGCAACAGCGAGGTTTATCAAGTCCCAATTTTATTGAATCTCGGGAGGTAGGGGCGGGCAATGTAGAGTAGTTGAGGTACAGTACTAAAAGAGAAGGGATTGGGTAATGCCAAGATGCAACTTTACGGCTAGTTGTTTCCCAACCAATTAGAAGATGGCCCATCTCTCTATGTCACGTGCAAAAGTACTGTATCACAATTAACCGCGACCCACCCGTGGATGCTGCCCATCGTACTGTTCCGATCCCTCAAGGAACCTCCAGAGCGTGTAAACAAAAGCTTCTAGTTGGAGTTTCCCTGTTGATTATATTCAGCCTTCCCCACTTAACTTTGGCCATGTCGCGCCCAGTCATTGCTATCGCAGGACTCGCCTGTGAAACTTCCACTTTCTCTCCAGCACGGACCTTGGCCGAGGCCTTTCATCCTCGTCGTGGCATAGAAATAATCGACAAGTATTCCTTTCTCCACGCCGGAACCCCTCTTGCAGATGCTGCAGAATGGAAAGGTATACTTATCGGTCATGCACTTCCTGGAGGCGTTGTGGTACAAGCTGGTTTCGAACAATTATGTAGTGAAATCATTGCACGCCTGACGGAATTGGTCGCCTCAACAACCATTGATGGACTGTGGTTTGATATTCATGGCGCAATGTGTGTTGAGGGCATGGAGGATGCTGAAGCTGAGCTTCTCCGCCGCATTCGGGTTGTCATGGGCCCTGATGTTTTGGTATCGGCCTCGATGGACCTACATGGAAATGTGTCTCGCGAATTAGCACATCAAACGGACCTGATAACGTGCTATCGCATGGCACCTCATGAAGATGCTTGGAAAACAAAAGAGCGCGCTTGCTGGAACCTTGTTAATGTACTGGCATCGCGCAATGACAGCTTGAAGCGGCCATTGAAAGCCTGGATCCCAATTCCAATTCTATTACCTGGAGAGCAGACATCGACCCGCATCGAGCCAGCAAAAAGCCTTTACGCTCTGTTACCTGAAGTGGAAGCCATGGAGGATATTTTAGATGCCGCGATATGGGTTGGTTATGCTTGGGCCGATGAACCGCGCAATCACGCCGCGGTAATTGTTACTGGATGGGTTGAAGATGTGATAGCTGCGGAAGCTAAGAGACTCGCATCCTTCTTCTGGGAATCACGCAAAAAGTTTCACTTTGTGGCGCCAAGCGGCTCTCTTCAAAGCTCTATCGACAAGGCACTGGCATCTTCAGCAAGACCATTCTTCATTTCAGACTCAGGGGACAACCCAACAGCCGGTGGAGTAGGGGACGTGACTTGGAGCCTGAATGAGTTGCTAGGCAGAGCCGAATTCCGTCAGGAAGACGGCCCGACTGCGATCTATGCAAGTATGCCGGGACCAGAAGCACTGACCATCATAACAAAAGCCGGAGTGGGTGCGACGGTGACCATCACCGCGGGTGCTTTGGTTGATAATATTCACTCAGGGCCTGTTACAATGACGGGGAAAGTTCATTCAATCAAGTGCGGAGATATCCATGCTGAGATTGAGGCCGTCATGCAAGTTGGAAGTATCTATGTGATCTTGACCCGACGTCGGAAACCATATCATCTCGAGAAGGATTTTCTCGAACTCGATTTGAAGCCTCGATTATCAGATATCGTTATAGTGAAGATTGGGTACCTTGAACCAGAATTGTTCGAAATGGCAGCAGACTGGATCCTTGCTCTTACTCCGGGTGGTGTCGATCAGGATCTACCGCGCCTTGGGCATCATCGCATTTGCCGCCCCATGTGGCCATTTGAGAAAGAGTTCTCCCACACTCCTGACCTCAGTGCGCGAATTATACCGTCCTCAAACCTGCCACTGACGTAGGATAGTTCTCTTGACAGTGTCGAGTCATATTGTGCCTAATGTAACAATTTTTATATGACTTACAAAAGGCTAGAGGTCGAAAGGAATTTAATGCAAACTGCTTCAGACTCACTCGATACAGCCAAGACACATAACTCAGTTGCCCTAGCTCCCAGATCCAGTATCAAGGAAGTGATGTCTGTATGTTACATGGTTGAGCTAGTTTTGCCCTTTGGCTTCGCCAGCAGCAGGATAATCGTCGCAATCTGATAGTACTACCAGCCAGCCACTGTCAAAAGCCAGCAAGATAATGGTCGACGTTCCCAAAGGGACGGACTGTAGTAGGTCGTTTAAGTTCCACAGTGTGTAAACATGCTAAACATGAATACGCAGTATTAAAATAGACTTTAAGCCGTCCTCTAGACAAGACTACAACGGTTTTAACTGGTTCGATGTGATCGTCGAGTAGACTTGTATAGAAGTACGACTGTGTAGACAGGTTACTCATCCCTACTCAACTATAGCATCTACTTCCACCTCGACAAGCATATCCTTGTTGATGAATCCACCGTTGACCACAATCATGGTCGCGGCTGCCCCTACAAGACCCTCTTTTCCTAGGTTCTGCTTGCCTAATATCTCACGAAACCCTTCGCCGACCGCCGCGCAATGTTCGTGACGACCGACAAACATTTTGACACGAACTATATCTTCCAGACCCTTACCCCCTAAGCCTTGGATCGCGTTGATACTTTCTTGGAGTGCAGTGCAGGTTTGTTGTTTGGCGTCACCCGGGAAGAGTATTTTCGGTTCGTTGGCTGGAGAAAGAGGGTCGACAGAGGTGGTTCCGGAAACAAATATATGATTGCCATGACGGATGGCTCGGTAGTATCCAATTTGCTCTTCGTATGGGGAAAGCGTAGCAAAGCAGCGTTTTGTTGGTCTGGAAGCCATTGCGAAGGGAGCTGGTTGCGACTTAGAAAATATATACACTTTGAAAAGAAATTGACACAAGAACATACAAAGCAGTTGTCCCTAGGCAATATTTCAAAAGTGATTGAATCTGTGATGTTCAAGTTTTGATGTGGGGCTGTGCCGATAAATATATAAATGAGTCATGGTGTTGTGACGTCTGTAGCGCTTTGGAATACCCCAAGTAAGCTGATGAGAGAGCACCGAGTCGATTTTTTAGCATATAGAATTATGATAAAATTAACAGGGTCCTATGCGCACTGCTAAACCAAGACACTGTCAATGCTTCACTTCCTCATGAGAGAGAAACGGTTAACAACTTAAGGCTGTGTAAATGGTTTCGTCTTATCTCACTGTTTTCAAACTAGCAGGTGATAAAAATCTTGTCGAGGGTCCAGGTCTAAGGCGCTCTCCCTTAGGTTCACCGAGAACGTCTTGTTAGGGGAACCATTTCATCGTACTTTTGTTATATCGAATGTGCAGAGCCAACCGATTTATTTGCGTCATTTTAATAACAGAATGTGGGGGGGTGAAAAGGTAATGTTATTGCCTAACATGAGACCTATGTTCATCATTGTGGCAGGCCCGTGCTGCAGAAGACGCTAATCTGCAGGAGAACTATGCGGGTCGCTTCATTTAGCTATTTGAACCTGACACATCGTATTTTTGTGTGACCGTGTTTGAGGGTTCGTGCCGCTAGCCCCAGCGGAATGTAAGTTTGGTGATCCGCTGCTAGGAGTTGGTCGTGCACCTTTTGTCACCGGCATTCGCTGGCTACTATTGGACAGGAATTACATATCCGTACCTAGGTACACCAATTACGTGGGGTGTTGCAGATGAAGCAGAAGGCAGAAAGCAGAAGGCAGAAGGCAGAGCGTTAGTTTTGTCCTTGCCTCTAAGATCTCCATTGTGCCTAAGGGTTTAACTTTTAAACCTGAAGTACCGTAAAGGCAATTCAGCAACCTGATTTAACCCTTTACTAACTTGTTGTATAGCCATTCATGATAAGAAAACAGTGAGGAAAACTAAACTGGGACAGTATAGGACATGAGAGGACAGTTGCAGAGGGAACTAGCAATAAGGTGACATATATGGTATTATGTCTTCTAGATATATTTCGAAAACTCTATCCCAGCGAATGTTTTAATCAAGGAACATATTTAACTGTACTTCACTAATGTTATTTGACTGTTTCCTGTCCCCGGAGGCAAAGCAAGAGAAATTTATGATTTTGCATTAACTCAGCACTAGACCAACGTATTACAATGATTATATGAACCGGCTCATCTGCGCTTCTTCTACAAAGATCTAACTTGCATATTTTTTTAGGGCAAAGCTTGACTTAACATAGACCACTGACAGATTTAGAGAACATATTAAATCTTAGTGAATAATCTACTTGCTTTTAGACCCCTGATGCGACGGTGGCAATTCAAATGTGAACAGCAAACGTTCAGGTCCAATACAAGATGTTCATTACCGCGTCGAGGGGAAGAAAAAAGAAAGAAGTAGGAAGTGACCAAAAATTATTCTCGCAGGCCGATATGCGCCTTAAATCGACGAGCTGCATAATAAAGGACGGAAAAGCGCCCCCAATGTTTGCCATTCGCGCTCCACTCGGGCCCATGACAATTCAATGCAGGTGCGGCTAGACCGGGATTACGAATCTTACAGAAACATCAAGTATTTACCGGTGCTGTGGAATCTGAGTGAGAGTATTTCCATCTGCTGTTTTTGCTTGAAATACAAGCAAAAATCCAAGGTGAACAGGGAGAAGGTGACAAATTGGGTGGGGGGTGCGCGGGTGTGTGGGCAATGTAAGGTTAGCCAGGTGCATAACGGGTTGAAGCATCGTCTTCCGCGCGGAGGGGTTGTACTTTTTCACATCCAATCAGCACAATTTAGGCGGGAAAAAGTCGAGTGCGGGGCCAGGGTCAACGCTCCATGTCTTCTGTATTAAATAAACTCCCGATCCCTGACCCTTTTCTTTTTTGCAACCTTCATTCGCAATGGAGGCCATCGCTGTAGATCCGGACTTGTATGCTCGAGATAGTGCTTACAGTCCCGATGACTGGCAATCGTGAGTGAAAAGAGAGAGAAGAGAGAGAAGGAGAAAAGGGGCTCACGCGTCATTAGGGAGACCACGTCGATCGGTTCTTCGATTTATCGCGGTTTGATAGACAACGGAAGGCGGTAAGTATCACAAAGCGGTGAGGCTTGGTCTGCTAACAAGTGTATAGATATCAGTCGCTCTCAGATAAAGAATATCTGTATGTGATCCCATCGGAAAGCATGGATCGTGGAATGCAACTGATTTCCTTGCAGTATTCCATCTGATGAACAGCAATTTGAGACCTATGAAGCCGGGTATGCTCACTTATCCTTGCCTGGCAATTTGGCCGCTAACCACCGTAGACATCTCGTGGATCTCATTTTGGACTCGGATCGAGAAAATCCCTTGTTCCGCTCGCCGATTGGAGCAGACCGAGAGAAGGTCTTGCAGATTCTCGACATCGGGACCGGCAAGGGAACCTGGGCAATGTAAGTTGAAGATTCGTTTGCAAAATCAATCAAAACTAATGCTTTCAAGTGATGTCGCTGATATGTTCCCCAATGCAACCGTGAGGGGAGTGGACCTTTTCCCACCTCCTGTCACTTGGATGCCACCAAATTGTGTGATCGAAGTCGACGACGTTCTGGAAGAATGGACCTGGCGCGAGAAATTTGATCTGATCCATATGCGGAATATGCTGGGGTCTTTTGACCAGCGCGAATGGGATCGGGTTTACCAGCAGTGCTTTGAGTGAGTGTCAGCCTGGCAGTATTAGCTGTCTTATCTAACGGTTTGATAGCAAAATGGCACCTGGCGGGTGGATCGAGCAAGTAGAGGCCGGCCCGTTTGTTTCAAGTGATGACGGGAGTCTACCCGCTGACAGCAACTTGGCTCATTGGGGACCGCTCATGGAAGTGTGCGGTGCACGCGCTGGACGTCCCTGTGATATTGTCATGACCATGGGGGATAGTATTAAGAAAGCGGGATTTGTGGACGTCCACGAAAAGATTTACAAATGGCCTCTTGGCCCATGGCCGCGGGACCAGAAATTCAAAGAGGCGGGCATGGTCAACATTCAGCACTGGATGTCGGGCATAGAGGGGTGGTGTATGTGGCTACTGACGAAATACGGCGAGCCTGAGCCGTGGACGAAAGACCAGGTTCATGTCTTTTGCGCTAAAATGCGCACTGAATTGAAAAACCCTCATTATCACACATATCACAAGACGTAAGTCTCGATTGGCCCTGTTATTCTTGGATCACACCACTGACAAGCATTGCAGGCGAAGAGTGTGGGCCCGAAAGCCCTTTCCTGGCGAAGTCCCCCTCGAGGCGATCAAACCTAGGTCAACAAAATCCGCTGGCGGCGGTTCCAGCTCTGGCTCAGCGAGGGTTAAGTATTGAATCCAGTGCTGTGCTCTAGTATTCTATCTACCCTTGAATCGTGGGTCAACCTTGAACCTTGGAAGGTGTTTCTATGCTTACAAGCTCCTGTCAAGAATCTTGTCTAAGTTTTGTGTGTACATATCAGCCAGCCACGATTAGGATCTATTTAATATACGTGTCTAAATCAGAAATCATTTCCGTGTGCTACTCAATTTGTAAAATAGATACAATTTCTAGGTGACATCAGTGGGTAAACTATGTAGTCTTGTAGTATCCATAGGAAAACATCCTCAGCACCTTGCTGACAGCGTCCATCTGGGCAACATGTAATATTTAGTCCAGCTTCGAAGGAGCTATTGGGAGAGGCAAATAGAAATATGGATATCAATAGAATGTCATATCATGAAATAAAATAAAAGGCCTACACAGAAGTAGCTCCAAAGGGCCACGCAGGCTACCAATGCTCTCATTCACTGTCTTGGCGCCTGAGTTCAAAAGCGCGCAGGATATTCGGGCCTTGGTGTCCAATTAATGAAAGAGGGAATTTGTACCGGTCCTTCGATTCAACCGAAAGCTGGACCTCTTCTTCTGTGGCCCAGTCAAACGCGTGATGCTCTGTTTCCGCCAGTTGGACCGGAATGGCGAGGGGTGATAGCTGCTCCCCTAGCGAGTTCCGCGCTTCATGAACTTCAACAATGAAGGAGTATTTGGCGATCCGCATCTTGCCTCCACTTCGGCGATGATGCTCCCAGCAATCGACCGCGACCAGCTCAACTACGCGGGTCACATGCAACCCGCTCTCTTCCAGTACCTCCCGCACAACTCCATCAAGCAGTGTCTCATCGCGTTGAGGCTCAGATGCGCCCCCGGGACCCTCCCAGCAACCAGGCATGGAGTCTGTGAGTGCACGTTGAAGAAGAAGGACGTGGGCGCCGGAGAAAATGTAGGCACCCACCGCGAACGCGTCAAATTCGGGACGGGCATCCGCAAAGTTCCCAAATGGAATCGTGAAATATTTGAGGTGAGGGGCAACAGAATACGACATGGTGAGGAGAAAAGTGCTGGAGAAGAGAGGAAGAAAGTGGAGGGCAGTGGAAGAGAATGGTTTTATGCAGATACGAGCTCATGTGAACATTCCCCTACTCGAGTCATGCGATAGAAAACATCAGTCATTTCACATGGTAGCCATTTCTGCAACTCTTCAACTCTTCAGATCATATCTATTGGAGAAGCCATGGATCTCCTGTTTGAACCGAGTGATAGACGTAAACGGTGAGCTTTTGATCGGCATGTTGAACATAGACCATAGATAATCCTGGACATTTATGTTTCGACTGGGATCGTAACAGGGCAATCCAAGCGCTGCCATTTTAGTTCAGCTGAAGTTCCCGATGCCCTGTCTTGAGCTACGATCGCAATAGAGCCTCATTTCTTGAATTTGCATATGAGAACGAGAGCGAAAAATATCCAGCAAATGACACCAAAACGATGCGAAATCAACTAAACCCTAGTGAAAGTGAAAAGATTTTGTCTATTTTTGAGTCTATATGTGTCTGGTGCAGAATGCCCTGTGGGTCTCAGCTGTCCCAAATACTCTATAATAGCAGTCATAGAGGAGTCGCAAAGGAGTAGCCGAATGATTGGAGGTATTCGTGGACAAATCTGCAATGTGACTTGCTCGCTCGGTCGTGTGGGATTCTAGGCCCTAGTTGAAGACAACAGTCTTGTGTCCATTCAGAATCACACGACGCTCAGTGACGTACTTCACTGCAGTGGCAAGGACATTGCTTTCCACGTTACTGCCAGCATGGGTCAGCTCCTTAGGGCTCATGCCGTGGTTGACCCGAACAACATTTTGCTCGATGATCGGACCTTCGTCTAGGTCGCTTGTGACGAAGTGAGCGGTGGCACCGATGATCTTGACACCGCGGTCGTAGGCCTGGTGGTAGGGCTTGGCGCCCTTGAAGGAGGGCAAGAAGCTGTGGTGGATGTTGATGATGCGTCCGGACATGGCAGCGCACAGCGTAGGGGACAACACCTGCATATACCGGGCCAGCACGATCAAATCGATGTTTTGCTCGCGCACCAGCTCCAGGATCTGGGATTCCTGCTGGGCCTTGGTATCCGCGGTAACGGGGAGATGGTGGAAGGGAACGTTGTAGGTGGCGGCGAGGGTAGCGAAATCGGGATGGTTGGACACGATCAGAGGCACCTCGATGCTCAACTGACCGGTTGATTGGCGGAAAAGCAGATCGTTCAGGCAGTGGCCGATCTTGGAGACCATGATCAGCACGCGGGGCTTTTTCATGGTGGGGTTGATTTCGAAGTCGAGGGAGAACGACTGCGCAGTGGGCTCAAATGCAGTGCGCAATTTCTCAAGTTCAGGAACATCATCGCTCGTGGCTGCGAATTGGGTGCGCATGAAGAAGCGCTGCGAAGCTGGGTCACCGAATTGCGACGAGTCGATAATGTTGAGGTTGCGTTCCACAAGGAATGCAGTGACGGCGTGGACGATACCGGGGCGGTCGGGACCGGAGATGGTGAGGATGAAGCCGGGAGCCATGTTGAATCAAAGAGCGCGACAGTGTTGAATCCGCAAAGTTGGAGAGAGAGAAAGACAAAATGTCTCCAGGGCAGCAACCTTGAAGCATTTTTGAGCGATGACTCATCCGGGATCGGCGCAGGTCCACCCGACTCTTATTTATCTTCATCTTCATCTTATCTCTTCTCTCTGCTTGATTTTGATGTTCTTCTATACCTACGTCTTAATCCCAGCGTCTTCCTCACGGCGTCTCAGGTGCAGACAATTGCAACCCCGTCACCTGATCGCCTCCCTGCCACTAGTCGGTGTGACTTTCAGCCACTTGCCACCATTGACCCTGTGATGTGACTATAGGTCTTCCCTCGGCATTTACCCATGGAACCCGACTGTCAAATTAATACCCCTGACCACGCTAATGCACTCCCACCTGAGCCAGTGCACACAATGCAAATTACCGACTGGAACGCGGACTGCCCCGCCATCAATGTCCCGTAGAAATTGGGGCAGTTACTACCTGGTCACGGATCTGAGAGATTTGCCTAATGCGGATCTGCTAACATGTCTCATAACTTGATCGCAGGCTGAAAAACTTCTTGGCACCTCCCAAGCAGACAGGCTGACGATTTAGCCGCTACTGCGTGTCGAACTAGTTAGGCTGCTAATCTGGTTGATCATGGGCTGACTTACCTAGCGTCAGAATATCGACCAAGGGTGCTGACGCCCATCTTGCCAGTGCCGAGGCCGAGGGTGTTCTTGCAAAAAAATGAGTTCAACCTACTCCAGCACGCGTTCGCGGGGTCTGGGGAACTCCCTCCGTGTCCCCGGAGCGCTCAAAACATGTCTCCTTTGGGAAATTTGACAGTATTTCGTCGTGCGGTCATCCGGACCGTAAAGCCGTGATATGAGTCTCAATTAGCGAGATTGGTACGGTGGCTAGCCCTCAATGGAATATAAAAAGCTCATCTACCCGTTTCACACTTACATTCCACACCATATCTCAAACCTCGCAAGATTACAACGCAGTCGACATCGTCTCGAGACATCATGGCATCTGCTCTCTCCTTCAAGATCTACAAGAATGCCATACTGTTCGCTGCCTTCCTAGGCACTGGAAAGGCGCAGCAAGTCGGCACCAACACCGCTGAAGTCCATCCATCCTTGACCTGGCAGAAGTGCACTAGCGGTGGCAGCTGTACTTCACAAAGCGGCAAAGTTGTCCTCGACTCGAATTGGCGTTGGCTTCATACCACCAGCGGCTACACCAACTGCTACACCGGCAATACCTGGGATACTTCACTCTGTCCTGACGATGTGACTTGCGCCACCAATTGCGCCCTCGACGGCGCTGACTACTCGGGCACTTACGGTGTTACTACTAGCGGCAGTTCGTTGCGGCTGAACTTTGTCACCCAGGCGTCTCAGAAGAACATTGGCTCTCGCCTCTACTTGATGGAGGACGATAGTACTTACGAAATGTTCCAGCTGTTGAACCAAGAGTTCACGTTCGATGTCGATGTATCCCACCTCCCTTGTGGTCTGAACGGTGCCCTCTACTTTGTGGCCATGGATTCCGATGGCGGTATGTCGAAGTTCCCAGCCAACAAAGCCGGGGCGAAATACGGCACTGGTTATTGTGACTCCCAGTGCCCACGCGACCTCAAGTTCATCAACGGGGCAGCCAACGTGGAGGGATGGGTACCATCTTCCAATGATGTCAACGCTGGCACTGGCAAGTACGGCGCTTGCTGTGCCGAGATGGACATTTGGGAAGCCAACTCCATTTCAAATGCTGTCACGCCCCATCCCTGCGACACTCCGACTCTGGTCAAATGCGAAGGTAATGCCTGTGGTGGCACTTATAGCAATGACCGTTATGGTGGTACTTGCGATCCCGATGGGTGTGATTTCAACCCGTATAGAATGGGTAACCAGTCTTTCTACGGCCCGAGCAAGATTGTCGACACCACTTCTCCCTTCACGGTAGTCACTCAATTCATCACCAGCGATGGCACCTCCTCAGGCACCCTCTCAGAAATCAAGCGCCTCTACGTGCAGAATGGAAAAGTCATTTCTCAGTCCTCGTCTACCGTCAGCGGTGTGACCGGCAACTCCATCACTGAATCCTTCTGCTCTGCTCAGAAGAAAGCATTTGGAGATACCGACGTTTTCAGCAAACACGGAGGTCTCGCGGGCATGGGCGCTGGACTTGCAGAGGGCATGGTTCTTGTGATGAGTCTGTGGGATGATCATGCGGCCAACATGCTCTGGCTTGATAGCATCTACCCAACTACTGCCTCGTCCACCACTCCAGGTGCTGCTCGTGGTTCCTGTGACATCTCTTCTGGAAAGCCTACCGACGTGGAAGCGAATAACGCAGACTCATATGTCATCTACTCAAATATCAAGGTCGGCCCTATCGGTTCGACCTACCAGTCGGGTAGCTCCGGTTCCGGAACCACTACCACTTCGAAGACCACCAGTACCACCACTAAGACGACTAGCACAACCACCACGGCAGGAACTGGAGCTGCTCACTTTGCTCAGTGTGGTGGAAGTGGGTGGACCGGCGCGACTACCTGCGCCAGCCCTTACACCTGCCAGAAGCAGAATGACTGGTACTCCCAGTGCTTGTAGACGGTGGGTTTGAGGCCGGTGACCATAGGGGAAAGACAGAAGAACAGAACACGTTTTGGAAAGTATACGCTACGCTCTTTGGTAGATTGTTCATTTCAGTTTATCGATCATATGAATTTTATCGCTTCAGTGAACTGAATCCGTATTTGCCCTTTTTAACTGTTAAATTGACTCCAAGAACATTCTCGGATGGCTTGTATTAATTCATTTCTTCAGTTATATGATACTTATCTCCTTTGTCTTAACACCTGCAGAATTTACAGAACATACATTTGTTTATCTAAGCTTCAAATAACATTAGCCGAATTTCCCAATCCTTTGTAGGGCCCAAGCGCTAATGCGAAAACTATGTACCCGTGCGCCTTCTGCAGGACATTGCCCATGGGGTACCTGGGAGCCCTAGAGCCAACAGACGCCTATGGCACCGCCCTAGCTCACACCGAAGAAGAAATTTAGAAGCCGCCATGCGGAGAGTACTCCGACTAGACAAGCCACGTCACTTGAGCTTTCTGCACACTAAACACGCCCTCATTCCCGGAAACCCACTGACGTACACGGGCGTTAGTTTCATGCAGAACAGGTGCGTGACCGTTTAGTCTGCAGGGGATATCCCTCTCCGGAATGTAAGCATTACATGGCAGTTTCCAGGGGGCACATAAAAATGATATCGAGACTCACCAAGAAAATTCATACAGCATATTCGAACAGCTTGGGCCCTAGATCAACCTCAATTCTTCCATACCCACGTATCTAAAGCCACCAATATGTACCTCGTAGTATTGTAAATCAAACTTCAGTCTTGCCCGATTACTATTTAGTATGGCCATCGTAACAATCGTACGATCGCTTGGGTTTAGCTTCTAAGTTGCTAACCAGGCTTTTCCCCTCGTTTCCATTTCTGCACGCGCGCACGGTTCATGCCAGTGCCTAGGGTGGCGCCTTCCTTCACACATAACTAATCTCCGATTCTTCAGCCACCAGGGACTTCAGATGCCGTGCCTAAATTGGAGTTCGCTTGTTCCCTTTCCCCTTTTGTATCTTGGCGATCCATTTTGCGGCTCTAGGACCACTTCCCTGCGGTAGACGGCCCGAGCAGGCCGCGCGCACGGGGCTGTGAAGATCATGTTTGGGGTATCATTCTTTATGCGGAGTCATTTTTGACCCTGTCACAATAAGCGATTGGCTTGTCTCGCAAAAAGCGGTTGCAGATACCGGCTACCGTCTTTCCCGTTGGTGTGTACCAGAGAGTTGATATAAACTTGCTGGAGTTTCGATTTTCTACGAGTTGTTACAATCAAATTCCAATCTTCTGCACAAAATGCGCTTTACATCTTTGGTCGCTACGCTGAACATGACTAACCTGGTTCTCGCAGTACCTGGGCAATCTTTGTTTACAAGGGCTTCATCTTTCCTCTGTGAGTAGTATATATGTCTGGCAAAAGCACAATTTAATGTTATCTCGTACAGGGTTTGGCTCCAATGAATCTGGCGCAGAATTCGGAAACCAAAACATCCCCGGTGTATTGGGAAAAGATTATATATGGCCATCCACGTCAGCAATCCAGACTTTGCGTAGCGCTGGAATGAATATCTTTCGCGTACCTTTCGCTATGGAAAGATTAGTGCCGGGAACGTTGACCTCTAGTATGGATGCAACATACCTTTCAGATTTGAAAAGCGTGTGTAAATCTTGGTGATGTGCAAAGCTGGGGTTCCGTCATGCTAATTCGAGGCAAATATAACAGACGGTCAACTATATAACCTCCACTGGTGCCTATGCCGTTGTTGATCCACACAATTTTGGGCGCTAGTGAGTTGTCATAAACACTGAACCTTGAAGCCCTTATTTACAGAACTATTTGCAGCTATGGTAACATTATCACATCCACAACTGATTTTGGGACATTTTGGAAGACTTTGGCGACAGAGTTTGCGTCGAATGAGAAAGTCATTTTCGACACAAGTAATTGGACCTTACCCTAGTGATAATAATTCCGCTGACCTGTCAGACAATGAGTTCAACTCGGAGGATCAAACACTCGTCCTACAGCTCAATCAGGCTGCCATCAACGCCATTCGAGCTGCCGGCGCCACCTCACAGTACATTTTTGTGGAGGGTAACTCTTGGAGTGGAGCGTGGACATGGCCCACTGTCAATGACAATATGAAGGATCTGACAGACCCGCAAAATAAGATTATCTATGAGATGCACCAATATCTCGACTCCGATGGCTCCGGCACCTCAGAAACATGCGTCAGCTCAACTATTGGCCAAGAGCGTGTTGTGGCTGCCACTCAATGGCTCAAAGACAATAGCAAAAGGGCTTTCCTTGGAGAATTTGCTGGAGGCGCTAATACCGTCTGCCAGAGTGCCGTGACTGGAATGCTTGATTACCTACAAGCAAACAGTGATGTCTGGCTTGGCGCAACATGGTGGGCTGCTGGCCCTTGGTGGGGAAATTACATTTACAGCTTTGAGCCTCCATCGGGACCTGCCTATGTCTATTACATGGATCTTTTCAAGAAATACTTCCCTGGATCGACTAGTGGGGGCGTCACTACTGCTACCACTACCACAGGTCCAACAACCAAGGCCACAAGTACGACCGCGATCACGACCACAACCACGGCATCTGGATCCACGTCGACAGCGCAGCACTACTCTCAATGTGGTGGTATTGGATGGAATGGGGCTATATCATGTGTCAGCCCTTACACATGTAAGAAGCAGAACGACTACTACTCGCAGTGTCTATAGGCCTCGTAAAGATACGGATAGTTGGACTGTGGTACTATTTGCCTTTGGGTTCTCTCGTGACGAGCTTCTTTGATTGACACGTACTTCATTTTCCAAGCAATTCAACTCATAGCACTTGACCTATGGCAAGACGCTCATTTAGTTTGCTGTAGTCAAGTCACATTCTACTAAGCATAGTCATGATGTTGTCATAGCCGTCTGTGATTTGTACATAGCACCAACTATCAACCAACATTTCAACACCACTAACGATAAGACTCGAGGACTCCGCTAGTAACTGAGCAACACTCGCCATATCAGAAGACCCAACAAGCTGACTGTTTGCGAAGCCACTTGCATGTATAAACTGACCATAGCGGGTTGACCAATGCGAATTGACTACTCTTGATATACTAGTACATCGAGGAGCAGGAAACGGGTAGCAAATGGCAAATATTGGTGCATAATTAATTCAATCTTCGTCTACCTAGAAACAGAGCGAACCGTATTTAGAACAAAAGCATGTGTGAGCCAGAATATAAAGAAAGAAAAGTACAAGATAATAGGCAGAGCTTGAACATGAATAGTTTCAACTCTCGGCTGTGGTCAAGTCCAAAATAAACAAGCTGATCACAGGTAGTTGAGATTGGCACTAGCTGCAATCCAAAAGCAAATGATAAGCTCGTACTATGGTAGGTTACGCATAGTCATCCGAGCCCAGACTCCGTTCAGATTCCCTCAAGTTCGGCACAAGTTGCACGGGTTTTATACTTAAGCATTAAGCCCTTATCTTAAACTAGAAAGTGGTAGTCCTGAAGTACATTCTTAATCTGTCGACTATTTAGCTTAATATCTAATAGTAGGTTAAGCCCTTCTCTTACGAATCATTCTATATCTAAATATCTAAATCATAATAGAACCAGGACTATATCTAGAGTCTCGATTTCGAATCGAGCTCAGATACTGAATAGACAGGTGGATGCGAGACTCGCAGGTAGAGTTAATGTTTTCCGCGCAATTAGTGGCTAAGGACAAATTTCCTGGGGGGGAACATTAGTTTTGCGTTTCATATAACGTTACCTACAGCATTCAACTGTAAGAGCTGAAATCAGAGCTTACAAAACTCTTTTTCCAACCTTGATGTGCTACCTATTCTTACATTGGCATGGGCAAGAAAGATATTATATACGTCAAACTTCGTTATATTTGCGACATGGAATACATAGGGCTATATTTTTATACCCTCAGAGGATCAAGCAACATTAACACAAACAGGTATTTGGAGGCAACGCTACTTGGTGGTAAGATAAAACTTATAGAAATACTACACAATTTGGATTCAGTAATCGTTGAAACATAGTGCCATCCTGTCCCTTTTCCTAGACGTATCACGGAATGTTCAAGGTACTATGCATCCGACTTGTCGAGTGTGGAGGTGATTGACTGAACCCCATATCACAGACTATGACTGCGATGAGAGAAGCCTGCCACATGGGTCAGTCGACAGCTTTGTCTAAGTGATTTATACCAAAGCTCACCAGAGACATATCAAAATCCGCAGCCACTAGGACCTCCATCACCAACCGAGAAGGCAATATACCACCACTTGAATTATACATAATTGTCGGTACGGATCTATTCCGTTCCATGCTTTCGCGTATATCCACGACTTTGATGCCGGCCACTCTCACCTCATATACCCGGTAGACGGGCGAGACGCGATGCACCACAATATGGACTATCTTATCGTCCTCGTTCTTAGTGCCGCGCGCGACCACATTGCGAAAATCCACCTCAATGGTGGTATTCATCAAGCCCTTGAATCGGATATCAACCAGGTCTGCTTCTTTGCTGCCCGGTAATCGAATCCGCCACGGTCGTCTATACTTCCAGCCCAGCGACCAGACTTTCTGCATTTCGAATAAAGGAAGGCTGGAAGAATCGCGAAATTCACGCGTCGACTTTTCGTTATATCTATTCCCCGTCGCAGTGATTAAAGTCGAGTCGTCGTTGTCATATCGAATACAATACTCATTTATTGAACGCGAGTCGTATTTCGGTTCGACCCAAAGTAGTCGTTCAAACTCGGTTATGTGTTCTGGTCGGATACCCATAGGATACGGGGGTTCCTGAACGGATTTATTTCCCATACTCCCTTTGACACCCATATTTGTTGCGTAGTAAGGATCGAGATTCACTAGTTGGGGAACATGCAAGCTAAGTAATTGTCATGAAGTGGCCACGGTAGAATGGAAAGATGGAGATGAGACACGAGTTTTCAGTGGTGATGACATATGTACTCGTATTCGTACCTTGGATTGCAGTACATGAACCCAAGCGATGTGAGGTAATTTACCGACCTAGCAGTTCCCCGCACAGCCACGGTATATTATAGCAAGCCACAGCCTCAAAACTTCAAATTTCGTTGAGGTAAAGTTAGTAACATTTGTTTCAGCCATAAAGCATTTCCCTGTATGTGTATCTGGTCAGCTTGGAACATCGACGGATTTGATCTAATCAACATGTGTGTAATAGCACGTAAAAGTCCTGCGTATCTAGCTCGACATGATCCGGTAAATTAAAAGGCATCCTGTTAGACGGTCAGCGAGATCAGAGAAGTCCAATTGATTACGCCGGTGCAGTGATGTCGATCGTACGAAGGAATCAGACGGGGCCATGTAAAAGAGGGAGAGCGGTAATTTGTGGTAGCGAATTGATCAATGTTCCCAGAAGCACCAAAATGTTTCAAACAAAGCCATACGTATTTTGAATTTATTCAATGCCATGTAAAGTTCCCCGAAGCTGTGGTTTGGCATAATATACTGTGGTTGAGCGGCCACATATACTTGGTCGGTAAATAACATAAATGACTTTGCCGTGTGATCTCGTCACTGGCCCGAAAAAGACACAAAAAAATAACCAAAAAGCTGGTCATCAGTTGAACAGACAACCTAAAATGTTTGTGGCAGGCCTAACACTGTTTTACGTTTCCTAATCCTTAGACAAGCTTAGAGGATCAAACTTAGCCTACCAAGAAGGTGAACTGAAAAGCCGGCTATTCTAGAAATAGGTCTAAACAGAAGTCCCTAACTAGAAAAGCATTGCATAAGACCCGACCCATTCCAGCTTGGAGAATGATATCGAGAGCACATTTGGCTTTTTTTTTAGCACAATGCTAACGTGCATGAAGAGCTTCACTACATTGAATACATAAATGCTAGGCACCATTGGTTGAATCCAGTGCCGTATTCAGTCAGCTGTTTTGAGAACCAGAAAGGCTACAAATTGACTTCACAAAGACTATGTAACAACGCGTGTACTGATATTCTTCTATATTCAGCAAGACGAGCCAAGGATGTACAGGACTCGGCCCGCGGGCTGCATCGATAAGGCCCTGATAAAATGCTTATAGGCCCGCGCTGGGCTTCCTAAGCTTGCACATGGGCGGATGGATTCATTTACCGGCTTATGGGCCGTGCCTTGAGAATACTTTCAGTTTTGCGGAATCTGGTTTGTATGATCTGGAGCCGATGTGGCCGTCGCTGGGATTAAATTAAGCGCCTCTGACATTAGTAAACCTTCAAGCAATGGAGAAAACCCAGGGGAATTTTCATATTCAGTGATTCACCCCCTTTCTTGCACAGCTTCATCAACTCTAGAAATGTAGGCTAGCTTCGGGAACCCTACTGATCCTGGAGTATCAAGGCGTTGCGAAAGCTTAACTGCGTGTCTCCGACTCGATGGAAGTGCATCTGGGATGGATGGCAGGAATATACAATGACTACAGTAACCGTAGAAATTCTCGTAGGGCTCCCAAGAGGTGTTTATCCAAGCTTTCTTCAACCTTCAAATTGATGAGCAATATCCATGTGTTGTACCACACCTCATTCAAAAGCTTAACTCCTTTTCCTACTCTCTCTCCCATTCCTCTTTTTTTACCCCCTCTTCCCTTTGCGATCGCTTTCAAGGCTTCGTCACCGGCTATCCACCCACGTATCGGTGGGTCTCTTAGACCGCTATAGTTGCATACCAGCAATGTTGAGACACAACAGACGGATCATATAAAGCTTATCCAGATTCGACTATGTAATTATATGTTCTATCTTATACTTCGATGAAGAGGTTGCCGAAAAGCAAATCCCTGTATTCCGGCGCTATGCGCTCCCGAGCCCGTTTACCACAGATAAGCAGCCCGATAGGCATAATAATCATAGCCAGCGAGATTATTGCGGCACAAATGAAAGTATTTTGGATGCCAAACGAGCTGATCCAGGGTGTGTAGACGGACATGATGAGGACGGAGAGGCCGTTCCGAATGAAGTCAACCCCAACGAGAAAATCCCCGAGGATCTGCAAATGTTTTGTCAGTCTATCCGTTGTACCACTGTTGATAGCCTCACTCACCTCTGGGTAACAGTTGGTGAGGTAGGTCAACGCGATATCAACGCGATATCGCCGGTCACGGAGAACCCGAATCAAAAGATGACATATCCAACCGCGAGAACTACCCACGGTAGAGACTAATGTAAGTTAATCAGCATTTGCTTTCAATGACTAGAAAGTACGGTGATCTTACCCGCGATAGACCCAAACCAAAGGTCAAGACCCCTGCAGTAGGCACAAGAGACCCCGGTAATCCCGCCCACAAACGCATCTCAGGTTCAAATATACCACCATTCCGCCAAGCTACCCACAAAATTGACTGGTCATTGAGTGGGGCACCGATGATCGTACAGAGGATGGCTCCTATCAATTCGGATATTATGAAGAGTCCCACAGAGGAAGAATTGAATGAGTATGGTGGGTACAGCATAAAATAGGAAGCAGCAGAGCTTATAACGGCGAACCAGGCGAGTAGTAACCCATATGTGATGGCCGCGTAGGCAACGGCAGGAAATGTAAAAAGTATCTTGGAAAGGAAGGTAGAAGTGATGCCGGATGGACTCATCGGATTTGGTGATGATTGCCAGGCGCTTGGAAAGGGGGTTGGGTCGAGGGATGGTTGACTCGGCCTCCGGGCTGGGATGATGGACTATTTGGTCGAGATGTTCATATGAACAAAGAAGAGATCCACGACTGTAATCACGACAATAGTCTCACTGGCGGCTTCGCCGGTAACTGATAATAAGTTGACTGCAATAAGCTCTTCACCGGAACGATGAGACGCTGAACAATAGCGGCGTTAGTTGAATCAACGAACTCAACATACAGCGGGCGGCGTCGGTATTATGCACGATGGGGATGAACAGCAAGCAGCCGACCGCTAGGCCGACACCGTTTATCGCCACGGCATTGTTCAATGTTTCATATGAGATACCCATATTCATGTAGGACTCGAAGGCGACCTTCATAATGTCTAGCATGACAAAGGTGAAGAGCACGTAGAAGTTTATCAGACCCATACGCCCTTTCGCCATGATGACCAATTGAGGGGATCATTTGGATTACTAGATGGGGTTAGATGGAGAACGATAGAACCTGAGTATCCTGTCAACGTCAACTTGGCCTTCTGCGACATACGATGCAATGTGATGTTGGAGGCTCACCCTCACCGAGTATCCACCCCCCTTCAATAACAGCTCATGGGCTGTGCCGAGACCTAATCGTGATATCTCAGTAGCCACGTCTCGCAAGACCAGTTTCATAGACCGGCTAGTAAGATACGGGGCTGGCTATGGCCGCATGCAAACCATAGGGTGTTTGGTACCACCTGTGCATGAAGATGGTATTGGTCAACCCAATTTCTCGCAGAACCATGGGTCAAGAGAACGCTCGAAGCTGATCCTTTCATCACTGTCAACGACGTGTCATGTCTATGTTATCTGAGGCAACTAGGTGTCGAATGATACCATGACCTCGTACCCGAAAATATTTGGGCACGGTCTACGGATATTACAACATGTACTTTGTAACGTAGTATCTCGCCCCGGAGAACAGTGGAATTTATTTAGACTGAGAAGATATTACCACTGCTAATTGAGAAATTTCCATTGGTCCATATGTGTGACATGGCATGTCTCCACAGGATGCCGGGCCATGTAACATGCCGCTGTACATACCTGTCAAATGAATCTATTGGCGGCCCGTTCGGCCCTTGCGGGCGGATGCAGATCCGAACGGTTCAGCGCTCTCGGAATGAGCCGCAGGAATCTTAATTTCGGGAATGTCTAATAACTCCCTTTAGAGTTTCGTTGCCCATCCTCATGCAGATTTCTGCAGAGAAAGGGGAGGGTTGTGGCTCGTAGTTATGAAGTCCAGGATCTGAAGGTGCCGTGGGGTTGTCACTACCTATGTCTGAAGATCGCGGATCGGCGCAACCTAAAGTCCTGAATTTATAGTCTGTGTGCGAATTTGTCGTTGAAACTGCAATATGAGTTACGTACTTGATAAATTCACGCAGCTATATTACCACTAAATATACTAAGTGCCCATTGGCACTGTCGATCCTTTCCACTTGACATTCTTTGCGCCGGTGTTAATAGTTTGCTTTCTTTGGGTTGTACCAAGCGCCTTGATGAAATCATTCATAGAAACCGGCTTTCCCAATTGAGATATCCCTCCGGTCTCAGCCATGGCTCAGCGAGTCGTCTGAGCTGGAATTTGCATGGCATTCTGAAGAGCACCCTTGGTGTCATTTGTACCGCTGTTTTCGGACGTGTTTGGCGCTTGATTAGACAGTCTATTGCGCAGTTTCTTCCAGGTGTACGAAATGTTCGCGACGTCAGGCAAATTCGGGTTGTCTCCGCCTTTGGGGGGAATAGACTCCTTGTCCAGAATGCCCGCCTTGATCATTTCATTGACACTCGGATCAATAGCAGCATCATGCGGCAGATCACGCGTGGCTCCCAAGTTTGGAGGCAGACGGCGCGGGATCCATTTGCCATGCTCCAGTTCAAGGCGGGTGAAGATCGGCAGGATTTCTGTCGATGGCATTTTGTTAGCTGTATAAAGGGTAAGGCTTAGGGCTTGGGAAGGAAACCTACCAAGAATCCACCAAAGAAGGACCATGAAAAACGATGTACCGTGGCCGAACCTGAGGGTATCATGGGGCTGATTGGTCTTTCTCCGGAGTGAGAAAGCATCAGTCCCGGGTTCTTCCTTTCCAGGGAATGCGTTTTCGGCTTTCGACACATCTTCCACATTCAGAGTCTGGAATTTCAGTTTACTCTCCGAGCCCTCGAGATTGAGCACCTCTTGAAGCATCCAGTTCAATGACGTATCGGAAAGTAAATGTTTTTGGCCTTCTTCGAGTCCATACCCACCTCCAATGTCACAGTGATTACCAGCGAACCAGACTTCTCTCAGGTCGACAGGCGGGCCATCTTTATCCATTATGAACAGAGCCGGCTTAAATTTCAGTCTTCTCTCATGGATGGACACCGCATGCCGGATGTATCGTGCTGGTGGATTTGCAATAACCTTGTAGGATGTACGCCACAGCGGAATTTCAAACTGACCAACACTGTTGACACAGTCAAACAACCCAAGGAAGTGGATTCTAACATCTGGCCGACAGAAAGTCTTGTTAAAATTCAGCATGAAAGCCTTCAACTTGTCGTCCTTTTCGGTCTGAGGATCGTTTCCACGAGATTGTTGGAAGCTGCTAAATGTATCCCAAGCAAATTGGACCATTTCTTCATTACCTTTGGACAGTAGACCAAGATCATGTATCATTTCAGCAAGGAACCGTGCCGTATAAGCACCACGAGAGAAACCGAAGATGTAGAGGTGGTCTCCCGGTTGATAGTAACGCATGACAAAGCGATAACCTGCCAATACATGCTGCTGGAATGAGCTGCCAACCATCTGATCGAACGTCGTGATAACGGATGACTTAATTTTGGGCCAAAGGTTCCAGCGTGTTGCACTGTTCCCTTCGCCTTGGACATAGGTACCAATCCCCGCTGCCACAACCGCTTAGCTACCAATAAGTATGAACAAAATGACTAATGGTCAGCTTACGTTGGTAATAATGGAATTGGCCTTCCTGGTGTCGATCAAGCATCTGATAGATTTTCACAATATTGGTATCCGACTTGTTGCCCTGGAAGTGGTTTCCAGTGCCATCGAAGCAAAGAATGATCCGGCGTGGGCCGGGCGTAGGATCGGTAGGGGTCTCTGCTTCAAAAGTTGCATGTGGCATAATGGGCGAGTATGGGCTTCAATAGTGTGGCAAGATGGGTAATGAGATTTAAACGAGAAAATGCTCAAATTTCAAGAGTCCTGGATTGAGGCAAGCAATACCCTAGCCCAGTATATATGACAAGCCTGAGAAAGACGTCTTTGACAGCGCCTAAATTCTACATGACGCTCCAGAAAATGGCGGAATACCCCATTCGGCTTTGACTTTTCCTTTTTCCTTACCGTCTTTGCCGTTTCCAGCTATGCATAGACTCAATACTGAAATATCCATAGAGCAACACGGTCCGCTATGTTCCGTAGCACCTTAATGCTCAGCTGGATAAAAAAGTTGAATTACAAGCTTAGTGCCAGTGGTCGACGATCCTGGGAAGCACTGAACTCTGGCATGCCGGGCTCCGAATATGACATAATGTTTAGAATATCAAGAGCTATGATTTGTTTAACTTAGATCGTACTTTTCGAGACTTACATCCAACGTAACGTCGCTGATATCGCTTGCCTGTTGTATCCATATCGGCGTCTGCTGCGAATCGGCAAGTCTTCATCAAAAAGAGTCTATTCATCTAAGACACTAAGCTAGAGAGAAGAAGAGAAAGAGAACAGGTGGGACGCTAGGAAGCTACTCTATGTGCACCTCCTTCGTCCAGTGATCTCCAACCCTTGGTCTCACCGTCTCCCACATCCAGCCATCGGGCAAACTCCTTCAAGTAATCCGATTATCATGCGTGACATCTGCAAGTTTGGTCAGCACCACGGCTGAATCCACCAGGTTTATCTATGGGATATGAAATCATAGACAATTAATTTGAACGATTTTGGCAGATGTACCGTGAAGCATAATGCGAGTGGCTAATGCTTATTTTCTGTAATTTCTGGCCATTCATTGGTTGAGTGGCTTGTATGTGGAGTGCGCCTTGGACATTGGTTTGGTTCTATGTAGCACTAGAACGCACATCCTCCCCAGTCTGCACTCGTTAAGGAAAGCTGCAGCTGATTATAGTCAACCGGACAAAACTTGTACTGGGTATCATAAGAAAGGAAGTGCCGCTGCGACTTTGATGATGTCTTGGTTCCATGGCCAAATGCATCATTGCGTCCCGAGGTCGCGAGAAAGGATGCTTCTAGGCCTTCAGTAGATCTCTTCTGCGGTCACCATGAACATCAATGGATACTTAAAGTTCGAGCTTGCGTCCCATTTCAAATTTTAATCAAACTCATTGGGAGCCCCTTGACTACCTTTGATTGTCCGAGATTATTGTATTGTCCTGCTAGGACTACACTTGTCAATTGACATACCCTTCCCCAATCTCTCCCATCTCGGGTCAGTTTACCCACCATGGGGTTGTTCAACAATGTTCTGCCCAAGGCATCCTCTGCCTCCGCTTGGAACCCCTTGAACTGGGCTCCGAGCCTGCCTTCTGCCTCTGGGAGTAAGTAAATTATATCATCTAACCATGAGGCCACCCTGCGCTAACTGGTGAATTGAAGTTTCGCTCCCTGAAGTCCCTTCCCTGCCTGGACTCTCTTCGTTTCCCGGGGCCTCTCTCTTGGGACCTAAGGATCAAGCCTGGTTCAAATCTATACTCATGAAGTTCGGCTTCAGCGGAATTTTGGCTACAGTTTTCAGTTTCTTCCTTTACATCGCTTACATGAAATTTATTAAGAAGGATAACAAGGCCATCCACGGCTTCCTCAAGAAGATGGTTCCGAAATATGTCGCCAAGACCCCCGGAATGGGTATGCTTAGCAAGGTCCCATTTTTGAATAAGCTCATACCGTCACCCACTAGCTTGATACATGTACCAAAAGGTACACAGTCAGCTTTGAATAGTATTTCGGGAATCGCACCCGGCATAGCCTCGAAGCTCAACCCGTTCAAATGGAAGGTCTTTAATAAGAAAAAGATGGCTGAGCAAGAGGATGATGAGAACTATCAGGCTGGAGAGCCGTACGGAGATCCTACTGCCATGGCTACTGGAATCGCCACTGACCTGAAGTCCATGGGACTCAAGGGTGGAGTGAAAGACCTTCGCACACTCTTTGAGGTGGCCAAGGCCAAGGGAAAGCCTATCAATGATCGTGATATGACCGTAAGTACTTTTAGGATACAAATGGGTTGAAGAACATGAGGCTCACATTTTGCTATAGATGGAGAAGATGATTGCAATTGCGACATCGTTGCCCCGTACGTCTAAGGCGCGAGGAAAACTCACTGGGATTATCGTCGATACTCTTTGGAAGAGCCTGCAGCACCCTCCTCTAAGCTACATGGGAAATAAATTCCAGTACCGAACTCCGGACGGAAGCTACAACGTAAGTTGATCAATAGGTCGTGTTGGGGTGGTTGGATTACTGATAATAGCTATTGTTTAGAACCCCCTTCAACCTGACCTGGGTAAGGCTGGAAGCCCATATGCGAGAACGGTTCCTAAAATGAAGTCCCTACATGGTGTTCCTCCGGACCCTGGCCTTCTGTTTGACTGTAAGCCGTCTCTCCAAACCCCGCATGCTTTTACAGTTACGCTAACAGCCTGAAGTGCTCATGGCTCGTAGCGATGAGACCTTCAAGGAGAACCCAGCTGGTATCTCGTCCGTTCTCTTTTACCACGCGACGATTATTATCCATGGTAATAAGCAAAGGCATTCGGTACAAAGTTGATATGTACTTACTTTCCTAGATTGTTTCCGCACCAACCGTGTTGACCCCAGTATCTCGGACACATCTTCCTACCTTGACCTGGCTCCATTGTACGGTTCGAATCTCGAGGACCAGCTAAGCATCCGGACAATGCAGCATGGTTTACTTAAGCCGGATTCTTTTGCTGAGAAGCGTCTCCTTGGCCAGCCTCCTGGTGTTAACGTGATGCTCATTATGTACAGCCGTTTCCACAACTATGTTGCAGATGTTCTCTTGAACGTCAACGAAAACGGTCGCTTTACTTTACAACCTTCTACCACGGAAGAGGGAAAGAGGGCGTCTCTCGCAAAGCAAGACGAGGACGTCTTCCAGACTGCTAGACTGTATGGACCCTTTTCAAAAATGACTTTTATAGTGCTGACAGTAGGTGTAGTGTCACCAACGGTCTCTATGTTAACATCTCTTTGCACGACTACCTCCGTGGTCTCACGAATACCCACCACTCGGCTAGTGACTGGACTCTTGACCCTCGTGTTGAGGTCGGCAGACTTTTTGACCCCGAGGGTGTCCCGCGAGGTATCGGCAACCAGGTGTCTGCTGAATTCAACCTGCTGTACCGCTTCCACTCTGTAATCTCTCGTCGCGATGAAAAGTGGATGAATGAATTCCTACAGGAGCTCTTCCCAGGTAATAATAAACCACTTGATCAACTCACGCCTCAGGAGTTCGTTCAAGGTCTTTTGCGCTTTGAGCAGAACATCCCGGACGACCCGTCACAACGGTCGTTTGGCGGGTTGCAGCGTGGTGCAAATGGCAAGTTCGACGATGCTGAGCTTGTCAACATCATGAAGGAGAGTATGGAAGACCCTGCGGGTCTATTCAACGCCCGAATGGTTCCTAAGGCCCTTCGTATTATCGAAATTACTGGTATCCTCACTTCGAGAAAGTGGAACCTCGCATCTCTAAACGAGATGCGGGCATTCTTTGGACTGAAGCGTCACGACACCTTTGAGGACATCAACCCTGACCCTCAGATTGCCGACCTCATGCGCAAACTGTACGATCACCCCGACATGGTTGAATTGTACCCCGGTCTGTTCCTTGAGGATGGGAAGCCCCGCATGGACCCTGGTAAGGAAAATACTCGCTTCTTAGCTGGCATCTGCTAATTCATTAATTAGGCTGTGGCGGCTGCCCTCCGTATACTGTTGGTCGCGCTGTCTTCAGTGACGCTGTCACTTTGGTACGATCTGACCGGTTCCTCACTGTGGTAGGTGACCCGAAAAGAGTATAGCTAAAGCAGCGAATGCTAAAGATAATGCTAGGACTACACAGCCTCGAACCTCACATCCTGGGGATACCAGGAAGTCCAGCAGGATTATGATATGTAAGTATACTTACTCCCTATACTCTCAACGGTCATTGACGTTTCCTCCACCCACAGCCTTGGAGGATCGATGTTTTGGAAGTTGTTCCAGCGTGCATTCCCTGGCTGGTTCCCTTATAACTCCTTGCACAGCACGCAGCCAATGTTCACTCGCAAGATGAACGAGCAGATTGCGCGCGAAATTGGAACCATTGACCAGTACACTTTGGAAGACCCATCGCCGCCGCCGAATCCCATTGTGCTCAACAAATACTCCGCCGTCACTAAGGTTCTGAGCGACCAGACCAACTTCCGCGTCATCTGGGCAAGGAACCTCAATGACATGACTCCTGGGAAGAAATACGACTCTTATATGCTGGGCGGTGACGCTCCTGCGAACACGGCTCAAAGGAATATGGTCAGCGAAATTATGTTCAGCCCGGTTGAGTTTATGCAGTTGCTTTCTCAAACATCCCTTCACGTTGGTAAGGAACTCTTGGATGGCGAAACTCTCCGCCTCGCCACAGATTTGAACCAGGTTGATATTATACGGGAGTAAGTGACCCTTGGCCGTCGCATTTGTTGGATATTTGATTACTGACAGATTTAAAGCATCGCTATTCCTCTGAATACCCGTATCATGGCCGACCTGTTCTGCCTAGATTTAAAGACCGATGAGAACAAGGAAGGTAGCCTTAACACCTCTGAGCTGTATAAGCACCTCATGAGTGTTCGCACTTTTGGCTTCAACAATTTCGACCCTGCTCTGGCATTGCGGCGCAGAAACGAAGCCCGTGAAGGCTCTAAGGTCTTGACTGAGACCACCCTCAAGGTAATATCGCATGGCTCCGGCCAAATTGGCGGCGACCATGAAATCATACCCAAAGTCACTGGAGCTATTCGCGGGGCAGCGACTCGCATCACGTCAAAGATTCCTATCATCGGTGGTCTTGTCAGTAACCTCGGCAAGAAAACTCAAGCAGACACCGGATCTCTGCGCTGGTACGGCCAGAATGTCGTAAAGGAACTCATTGCTGCTGGAAAATCTCCAGAGGAAGCCACCGACATATGCTGGTTGACCGCCGTCGCTGGCGTTGGTGCGCCGATTGGAATGGTTCGTTCCCCATTTACTCTCCCTTGGTTATATCATTGCCTTCTAAATGTTCATCGCCTGTAGTTTGCCGATGTGTTGGGATACTTCCTCCAAAGCGAAAACGCACAGCACTGGGAAGCAATCCAGAACTTGGTTTCTAGTTCGAACGCCGATTCCGCCGACAAGCAGCTGCGTAAATATGTGCTTGAGGCCCAGCGTCTTACTAGTAACCAGCGTGATATCCGTGTCTGTGTCGGCGAGACCACCATTGATGGAAAGACATACAAGCCTGGTGATCTTGTTATTGCTCTATTTGTAAGGACACCGAAGCTGGTAAATAAACTACTGAAACAAATTCTGACGACTATTATATGAATAGGGCCCGGCATGCAAGGATTCTCATGCCATTCCTGAACCAGATCAATTCAAGCTCGACCGGCCAGAGAGCGCTTACATCCACTTAGGCTACGGGCCTCACTCTTGTCTCGGACGCGAAATTGCCCTTACTTTCCTTATCTCCCTTGTCAGGATCTGCGGTGGTCTGAAGAATCTGCGCCCTGCTCCTGGTAAGATGGGAGCTCTGAAGCAAATTCAGGTCAACGGCGATAGGTCCTACCTCAACGACAGCTGGTCATACTTGACCACTGACCCGACAAGTAAGTTTTGCTCTTACCAGGCTGGCAGAGTAGGACTTATACTAACATTCCCTTCTAGCCTGGAAGGTTCACTTTGATGGCGTGGGCCAAGGCGTATTCCGCGCCCCTAAGCTCCCGGTTGCTGTTGGTGACGTCAACTATGGTGCCTTGAAGAAAGAGCAAGAAGACTTTGTCAAGAACAAAGCTTCCAAGCTTATGCCTAACGGTGATGCCCCATCGCAGTACACCGACGGCACGGCTGATCCCACGAAGCCAGCGACTACTGCTGCAGCCGCCGGTGCAAGCGTCCCCGTGCCCAACGGGGCTCCCTACATCGATGGCGTCAACCAGCCGCAACAACAGGCAACGTCTGCTGGCAAATATAACCCCGATCTTCTGGATCGAGCCATCTCTGACTTTAGCGCGATCAACAAGCAGGCGGTAGGCACCGCACACAACATCGCCCACGGTTTCGTTAGCAGCGTCCCCGGAGGAAGTTCGGCCTCTCATATGGCTCACGGAATTGCCCAGAACTTCATACCTGAATCCAGCGCTGCTGCTTTTGGTAGTGTGGACGACCAAGTAGGCCAGGCACAGTAGTCGGATGGGGGAGAAGGCATCGTTCCCCGGTCTTTCTATGCAGCTTAGCAATTCCCGGGAACCTCTTTAATGACAGGACAGAAGACGAAACAATTGAAACAGGAATGGCATGCGCAAGCTACAGATTTGGTGGATACTCAGGAATGGAGGACAGTCCTACGAGTAATATTTCGTATGCATGGAGTGGCATGCAGCCATGGAGGTGGACCTAAATTGGAACGGAAACTTAAAAGTTGGATCTAGATTGTACGCTAGTGATGCTTATCTATGCCTCGTAATTTTAGTACTAATATGATATTCTTCTTTTCACTGTTGGTTACTATGTTCTTATATATGCTTGACAGCGGATCTTCTCTTCTAGAATGCCGGGGCAGCCGATCTCACCAACTCGGCATGATGGTGGAAGCTGCATCATCACCTGCTTCTTGGAAAATTGGTTTGGGATGTCGATATCGGCACACGCAGACATTAAAGCTGCCATCTATCCAGTTCTCCAGGTTGACCAGATGGCACACATCAGGTGATAATCCGAGATGGCTGGCAATAATTATCTCAATCAGTTGTTGATGGTGAGACAAATCTGTAAAATAGTGAAGTCCAATTATACCTAAGTCCGTGGAGAATATTTGAACCATCTTCCTTTGCAGCGGAGTAAGTGATCTCGCCACGAGACAACTAAATCTCGAGGCTTCAACATGGTCGGCAGAGATCCAGACTCATTTTGAGGCATATTCCCCTGCGTTCGAAATGCTTACTACGAGTGTTCCGGGCTTCTCCGGGTCAGGAATCGGTGGATAAGCTCAGGATCTACCAAGTTATCTTATATGGAAGGAGCATATACAGTACTTGTGAAACCACGCAGTCTCAAGGTTTACATGGGTACCTTGTGCTCCCTCATTGTCTTCGTATATTGACGCGTTCAAATCATTATTTACGAAACCGAAATAGTAGAACCGTGACAGATTGTTTACCAATATAGAAAGAGCAATATCTTGTAGTCCCGTCTATCTCACTTTGAATATATTTGAAGTCTTGCCGCCTATTGCACATGATCGCGAGATTCCTGGGTACATGAGATTATGCGTTCAATCGACTGGGAAAATTTTTCCGCAATTGTAGCTGCGCGAACTGGATTAAAAAAGTAAGACCAATACATGATGTTGGCCTCGATCCTGTCCAGGAATACTGTCGCGGTAATAATCAAGTCATACTGGAACACAATTAGCAAGGGATGTCAAGTGATAATAGAAGGGGACATAAATGAGCGTCCAGTTCCCTACCTCGGTTTCTTCCACAGTTTCGAGCGCAATGAAGCGATTTCCTGTTTCGGTCTTATCTGACAGCGGCTGCTCGACCGACAGACAGGTGTTGAATAATGACGAGGCATCGGGGCCTGCCTTGAGAACTAGCCGTGTCACTTCCTGCAGGGAGCAAAACTGGTGTGAAGCTCGTTCGCGCATCATACGATGGTTTTGCAGAAGAACGGGTCCGATACTCTCGGTGGCCTGCATCTCAATGCGACACGCGACAACATTGAAGAACGACCCAACGATATTGCCAATGTCATGAACTGGCACATCGCGGCCTGAAACCAGCGTCCCAAAGCAGATGTCGTCTGTCCCAGTTTGCTCTCTTAGCACGAGCGCCCAAGCTACCTGGAGGACGTTGGTTATGGTAGTTTCCAGTTGATCACAATGATTGCGAAACGCGACAATATCTTGTACTATAGTTTGGCGGTGTGATTTCATCACTCGAGAGCTGTTTCCATTGGTTTCATTGATTCCATGATACTGGCAGCCTTGGTACTGCTGATTGTGATGATTTCGAAAAGCGGGTAGAACGCAAGGCTTGAGGCCAGCGAGATATCGGTCCCAGAATTGCAGATGCAACGGATTTTCCCTCCATCGACGCAAATAGGCAACCCAGGAGGCATAGGGGGGTGGCAGTCGATCGGAAATAGGAAGAAAATCAAGAATAAGTCGAAGTTCCTTCATGAGGACTAGCACTGAGAACGCATCGAGGAAGGCATACCTGCCCTCGAGCTTGCAGAGAGTCCTTCCCGTGGTACTTTGATAGATTGCGAACTTGTAAGGAGCACCCCCTAGACCACCCTTCGATAGAAGAGGCCTCCTAGCGACCTTCAAAACACTGGCATCCTCTAAGTTAGTCATCAATTTGACAGCAATGGGAGATGACTTCAACACCACATGGAACCACTGGGACGGATTTGAACGACTAGGAAGGAGAAGGGTTCGAAGTGCTGCATGGCGATTCACGAGCTGGAGCCAAGCTTTGGCAAGATGTGCAGGATCGACCCGCTCTTCAGGACTCCCGACCTCCCAGATCGTATAGGATTGACAGGTGCCAAGTCCAGAAAGAAGTCCCAGGTGAACGGCGGTGCATGGGAATACATCAATTGAATCTTTGATGTCCCACCCGTCGATCGACTCTTGGATATCTCGCTCAAATGACGCTCGGTCCACGTACATCGGCCTTAACAAAGAAAAAGCTTCCGATGTTGGCGTGGGGTCCCCGGACGGACGACTATGGAGCGTCGACGCAAGGGAGCTCAGCGAGGTTGCTTGGAAGATGTCTGAGATGGTTACTCTCAAGTTTTGTTGATTACACTGAGCAGTAAACTGCATGGCGACAAGTGAATCGCATCCTAGGGAAACCAGGTCGTCATGGACCCCGATTGAATCAGACTCCAAACATAGCACTGTAGCTAAGGCCTGTCTCAAAGTCGCCTCAAGAGGCAACAAAGGCACCTCGGAACCACAATTTGGTGGATTTTGCCATAATGTCAACATCTTCCACGTGAGTTTTGACACACCCTCTCGCGCACGAGCTCGATCAAGGAGGAGACCAGGCTTGGACGGTCTATACTGCAATGGCACGGGAATACAGCAGAATGGAATGGTACGTCGAAGTGGGTTGTTTTGGAAATCATCCATCATCTGAAGCAGACGAGCGCGTAGAGGCTCCTTCACCTCCGCCAGTACCCATGCATCGTCTGACACGGTATTCAAACTCAAAACACCGACAAACAGCGCCAGTTTGGGAACATGGGATGCTTTGGGGATAATCCACTCTGCTGCAACAGGGATTCCGTTCCCCAGATACTGGCAAGCCGCCTGTTCCAATCTTGCCAATGATGTGCGTTCCTCATAATGATCTACTTCTCCGTCAAACTGTCGGTTTTGACTAAGAATTGTCCCCATTGAGGCATGAGGGTGTTGCAACACGAGCTGGAGTAGACGATTCATGCAGTTTAGGATTTCTATCACATCTTGTGAGGACATGATATTTTGATCGAAATACGCTGTCACTTCCAAATGATCGGCGCCCGGCTCGCACACAACATTCAACGCCTGGGTGCTGAATTTCACGTATGACGTCTCCTTCCAAGAGCCGCATTCCTCCAATACCAGCAATGGTGACGAGTCCCGCTTTGCCAGGAAGCTGTTATCCGACGACGGCTGAATGACTAGCATGTTTTGGAAATTGCAGGCGATGGCGGACTCCAGGCTAGACTGTCGGATATGCTGAATACCAAACTGCTCGAAAGGGGCTATGGCAATTCCATGATTCTGAACCCGCTGTAGTGCTTCTTTGATACTTTCTTCGCCCCGGAGGGTGATGCGGAGGGGATACGTAGCGATGGTGGGCCCACCTACATCAGAAGTGCCAGGCATATTGCGGCCCATGACGGTGGCACCGAACACCACGTCAGGAGAGCCAGTATACTGCGAGAGTACCATGGCCCATACCAGGCGGATCACGGAAGATATTGTGGTTCCTGATTGATTACGAGGACCGAGATGAAAGCTTTTGCGAGTCCAGCGGATGGCGTCGAGATTTGACCTTATATGGGTTCTGTTCGCGGGAAATAGATTTGCCCGGAGACCAATGAATTCCTGTTTCCAGAATTCCATTGCTTGAGAGCTGTCCAGATCTTGAACGTATTTAATGAACGGCGAAAACGGTCGCCAGACAAGAGGATTGCCCCTGTATGCGGCTTCCACTGCCTCGAGGATCTGCTCGAATACCACCAAGTCGAATAACGCGTGGTGGATATTGAGAATAAGGACTGGACTCACCTTATGACGCACTGCAACACAAAATATCAGGGGAGAACCAAATGTCATGAAACTGCTTGGTTCGCTCTCACTTGCTGTCTCTACCTCGACCCAGTCAATATCTTTGCCGCGAACGATAACCTGAAGAGGATTGCCATCCGCCAGTTGCCATGTATTGATGATTCTAGTTCGCAAAATAGGGAGGGCATCGATAGCTTTATTCCAAGCCCAGTGTAGCCGCTCCCAGTCGATCCCGGGAGACAAGCGGAAATTGAAACTCCCTTGAAAAGCGCCTGGTTGACGGGCAGTTCTGGCCATTAGGCGTGCCTGGATCGGCGAGCATGGGTATATGTCCTCAATTTGAGAGGGGTTTACATCACAATGCTCTGCTGTAAGTTCCCTATAGTTGTCGATCTTCATCGGGTCTAACAGGGAGAACGGCAAAACATTTGCAGGTACACCAGGCCGCATAGACTTTAGCAGAGACTTCTTCTGCGAGCGATGAGACATCTCGGCTATCGAGGTACTTTGGAAAATATCCGCCACTGTCAAGTAGACCAGTGGCATGGTGTCGGTCTCCCTAGAAAGCATGATGGCGGAAAGCGAATCACCACCCAACTGGAAAAAGTTATCGTGCTCCCCAATCTCGCTCGGATCAAGCGATAGTACACGAGCAACTATTTGAACCATTTGAGCATGTTTCTGCCCAACACCATGTGGGGATCGGTTAAGGCTGGGGGAGTGCGTTGTGACCTGGTATAATTTGACCTCCTCCTTAGACCAGCGGGGTATCATGGCTTGCAAAGCCTTCCGGTCCACTTTGGCTGAATGTGATAGAGGGATAGTACACAAGGGAACTATGACATCGGGGATCATATAGGAAGGCAGAATCTGCGAGAGCCCTGCCTTGGCCCGCTGCACATTGGACGTAAATTGATTATTGTCATTTCGGATGGCCCAGCAGCAATTTGCCCCACTGCATGTCTTTCTTTTCTTCAATGACTTCCATTCCACAAACGAAACTAGAGCCGAATGTCCGTGATAAAGCTTGCCAACCTCCACAGCCACAGCAGCACCAGGAAAGAAACCTGCGACGTGATGTTCGATCTCCCCAGCTCAATACGCTGGCCTCGCAATTTCACCTGCGTATCCTTGCGGCCCAGAAAGACGATACTTCCGTCGGCTTTCTGACGCACCACATCGCCCGTCTTGTAGAAGCGCGAATTATTTTCCGCTTGCCACAGCGGGTTTTGGATAAAGACAGCGGCAGTCTGTTCGGGCCGATTCAAGTATCCCCTGCCCACAATCGGACCTCCAATAACAAGCTCACCCGCTGCACCGATTGGTACCAGCATGTTATGGTTCTCCAGTTCAACAATCCACACGGAACCCCCGCATCCCCGACCGATAGATAAAGGATCAGCATGTTTCGTGACATTTGATTGCACCATGGATACCACTGTGCATTCCGCCGGACCATAGGCCACGTTTAGACGAACGTGATCTGCCCAGCGGGCGAGCTCTGCCGGCGAGATGGACTCGCCCCCAACGACCAGTGTCTTGACATCGGGGATCTTGTGGGGATTCAGAAGGCGAGTCACTGATGGAGTAAGTTCCATCCAATTGACACGCAGCTGGATAATGGCTTCTTGGAGATTATTTACCCTTTGTGACGCCGAGGGAATACAAACACAGCCTCCGAGCATGAGAGGGACCAAGGTTTCATGGATACTAACATCAAACGCATATGATGCGAATTGTAGCACCCTGGAGGAGCGGTTCAGATTTTGAGCTTCAGAACTAACCATTGCATTGCTGCAAAATGAGGTATGTTCTATGATAACCCCCTTTGGCTTCCCTGTTGACCCTGACGTATAAGCCACATACGCCGCGTTTCTCGGTTGAACGAGAGTACAGGGTCCCATCTCTCCGTCACTGTATGGTAGATTTCGCTCGACGTCGCTGGGGACTGACATTGTCATATCAGCCAGATTCGAGCCGAGTTCTTTGCAGAAGTCGGAAGTCAGAATGATACAGGTCCCAATATCACAGCAGATGCTTTTAAGACGTTCAATGGGATGCGAAGCGTCCAGCAATACAAACGCAGCTCCAGCCTTGAGCACCCCCAACACGGCCACTGCAGTCCACTTGGTCTTCTCGAACAACAGCGGGACGATTGTCTCCGGTTCAACCCCGTGATGACGCAGATATTCCATGGTTTTAGTTGACTCTTGGTCCAAGGCGGCATAGGTCATGGTACCATCCCAGGCGCAGATGGCTTCTGCATTAGGGGTTTCCTTGCATCTTCTCTGAATGACATCATGGATGCGTTCTGCCAATGGTTTTTTGGGAATATTTGAGTTCCAATCGAGAATCTGTTGGTAGTGATGATTAGGAGTTACCTCGATGCTCTTCAGCAGTCCCGTCGGACTCTCCAATACACCATGTAGAATATGCTGGAATGCCGTACACAAGAAGCGAAGAGACCCCTCGTCGATGTATGATGATTTTCCATACAAGGACATGCATGCCAATCTCCCTTGTTTTGCTACCAGGACCAGTTTAATTCCATGGTCGGGCTGAGGTAGTAGACGTTAGCGTATCCAACTACGGCTATATTTTCTTCAACTGCCATGACTTACTGAATTCACCCAGTGATTCAGCCAAGCTGTGCACGAAGTATTTGCAATGCAGGTATTAATCCGTGCGTCGTACTTCCACTCATGAAACCGATATTGCCTCCTGCTGGCCAGAGGAATCGCAGTTGGCAAACAGCTGTCTGGGTTCAGGGAAGCACGATACTCGTCCACGGCCGTGTCATCGTGACATTGATTGTCTTCGGAGCCAGATATAATGCCAAATGCAATAGCAGGCGAATCCGTGTATTTGGCCAGTAAAATTGCCCAGGACAGCACCATATTTTGAAGAAAAGAGTCCTCTGAGATTTTTACCTCCCATTCGAACTCATGCTGGTAAGCATTTGCCTTGGCGTTGGATTGATTGACGGAATGGGTAGATAGGCTAGGAAAGAGGCATGGCTCAAGCTCAAAATCAAGGTCAATCATTTCGTCCAAGTGCCCTTTTCTGATGCTTTTGGCCTTATTCTCATCAACGACGAAGGTACTTGACGTGAAAATTGGCCGCTATGAGTTCCCACCCCGTCTGTGAGAGAATGCAAGTGTAGTAAATTATGATCAGTATCATGGGGTGAAGCTTTTAATCTATCTCGAATTTGCGTACTTGGGTACGTACTGAAACATGAATGGAAATACATGGGATGCATGTGCACGTGCCGCAGTTGAATGAGATATGTCTCACCCCGGAATTTCAGGATCCAGATGGCTACTGCACCTCATTGCTCAGCCATCTCGGCAACAACGTGCGTGCAAGGGGCTTGCATTACTAATTTGTATCAGCTGTGGGTGGCAAGGGGTGAGGGGTTCTGCAGTGCAGATTCCTGCTGCAGCCGTAATTGAATGGGATTTGGCACATCCCGGAAGTTCAGGATCCAGATGGCTACTGCACCTCATAGCTCAGCCATCTCGGCAACAGCGTGCGTGCAAGGGGCTTGCATTACTAGTTTATATCAGCTGTGGGTGACAAGGGGTGAGCCATTCTGGGATGAGGCATTCTGCAGTGCAGATTCCTGCTGTAGCCGTAATTGAATGGGATTTGGCACATCCCGGAAGTTCAGGATCCAGATGGCTACTGCACCTCGTAGCCCAGCCACTCGGCAAAAGCGTGCGTGCAACGGGCTTGCATTACTAGTCTAGATAAGCTGTGGGTGGCAGCAGGTTGCTTTGTGTTTCTTCTTCCCCTTCTCTTTTTCCGTGCTTTTTCCTTTCACCGCAAACAACCCCACTACAACAAATGAACTTAAGGGCGCCTGGATTTTCCTTGGCATATCTTGGCCTTTGGCTCAGCTTCCTCAAAAAGTAAAAGGGCAATTTGCATCGGAATTTGCTCAGGCGAGCCGTCATGTGGCAACAGATGGAACCCTGCGGAGTACACGTAGAAGTCCCTTGCACAATGTGACCTGTCTATTCGATATATACCATCGTAGGTATTACCCTGTACCGAGCCCGAGGTCACAGTCGCTATTCAGCTGTAATACGTCCGAAGCAGGCCTGTTACTGCTACTGCATGAGACACGTCCTTTGGCCCTATTGGAAAATTGAAAAGTTGTCCTATTTGAATTGGCATGGAATATAGGGCGCACACAATTCGTATTTCGAATTACCTTTGGACAACACTTAACATCTCCCACTGACTCACTTTCTTTCTGGACAAACACTCATACCACCAAATCACAATGACAATCTCTTCTACTGTTCAGCCTCTCAAGGCTTCTGTGCCAGCGGCCACAGAAGCAGCAGATATGCCCTATCGGACACTCAGCAAGTCGGTGACCTTTGCCAATTTGGACCAGTATCAATACTGGCATGCCATCGGTCCAATGCTAGGAAGAATGCTCTCCAATGGCAACTACAGCGTCCACAAGCAATATGAATATCTGTGTCTCTTCGCCCATGTCGTAATCCCTAATCTGGGACCATTCCCTGGTGGGAGAGATATTTACAGGTGTCTACTCGGAGGCACTGGGTCCGTGGAGCTCAGCCAGAATGTTCAGAAATTGGGTCTGACTGCACGGGTTGCGTTCGAGCCTACAAGCTATCTTGCTAGCACCGGAATCGACCCGCTCAACCGGCACACTGTACACGCGACGCTGGCCGAGTTGAGGGCTGTCGGGTCTGCCAGAGTCGACATGGAGCTGCACCAAATGCTCGTCAATGAGCTGACATTGACGGACCGCGAGGAAAAGCTGATGTCCCTGGAAGAAATCTCGGGGACCGCGGGGAAGACGCAGATTCTGCTTGCTTTGGATCTGGGACAGACTGGCATCACGGTCAAGGAGTATTTTTACCCGACACTCAAAGCTTCTGTGACGGGGCAAACCGTGGCTAAGTTGTGCTTTTCTGCTATTCGCAAAATTGACAAGGAAGGAGTTTTCGAACCTTCGAGAAAGGTCATTGAGGCTTATATGCAAACTCAAAGCCAGACAGACCTTTGCTTTTTGTCCTGTGATCTGGTCGATCTAGCGGAAACTCGGATCAAGCTTTACATGGCGGAGCTAGATATGAGGCTGGCAAAGGCCGAGGAGCACTGGACAATGGGCGGCAAGCTGAAGGACGAAGAGACCTTACTTGGATTGAGAATGCTGCAAGATCTGTGGGTAGAGTTGGGGATTATCGAAGGCATGCGCAATGAGCCGGAGCGGCCATCGCTACCTGGAGATCCGGACACCATTTTGCCATTCATCATGAACTATGAGATGAACCCTGGCGAGGCATTCCCCAAACCCAAGTTTTACTTCCCCTTGGTCGGCATTTCGGAGCTGAAAATCGCCAATGTGCTCACTGCGTTTTTCGAACGCTATAACATGCCTGAGCAGGCCGCAGTCTATCGCGATAATCTGCAGACATATTAGTTAGTTCCTTCCCTAGACACATACACATGCCGAATATTCCTTGCTAACCTAACTTGCGTGATGTGATATCAGCCCCAGCAAGGACTTGGCAGTCGCAACGGATCATCAAGCATGGCTGTCCCTTTCATACACCAAGAAGAAAGGACCGTATCTCACCATGTACTATCACTAGTGTATTACAATGGTCACGCCATGTGAAGGTACATTTGAAGCAGACAAACTAGTGCAGCTTCGATAGTATTTGAGGAGCGGCATGAAACCATGGGAAGTTTACGTATAATTTAAGGCTTCTTAGCTAGCCAGAATGAGAAAGGTCGAATGTTCTATGGGGGTATCCTCTTGTGCTTCAGGTACTGTCTTTAACATCTGCAAGAATTATGTGAATATCAGAAGCTTATTCTCTATCCCACGGGGGTGGCTGTAGTCTGGCAGACTACAGGTTAGGGCTTTCCCTTCACTATGGGACATAAAAAGTGGGTCCCGCCTGACTCCAGGTTCTTTTCCTCGCCTGACTCCTAAGGTCTAATAAACTCAGATCGATCTGGAATTTTTATGAGTTATAATAGACTATGTGAAATATCTCCTATTTGCTTCGGAGCATACATAGCCTAGTAATTATTAAGAAAATAGCGATTAAAAATTAGAGATGTTTTGTTAGGGTGTACTATTACGGTATATGATTAGCACCTAAGACGCTATCACAGCACTCTAGACGAATAGAATAACCTCGATAATGCTAGTCTATAATAATTAGGAGGGGTAGCAATTAATTTAGGGGGTTTAAAAGCTTCCTAGCTATTGTCTCACTTTTCTTTTATACTATTTCACCCTATCCCACGGGGGTAGCTATAGTCTAGTAGACTATAGGTTAGGGTTTTCCCTTAACTATAGTAGGAAAAGTGGGTCGTACGCCTAACTATAGGTTTACTTCGTCGCTAGACTACGGAGGTGTAGAGTCCTCCGATTAGCCTTAAATTTTGACTAATTATAATAGAGTATTCCACACGACGGCAAGCGGGGGACTAGAAACGGCCCTCATTGCACCGCCGTCCTGCCGCCCTTGACCGCCTGCCTGTCTCTGCTATCCCTATGCCCTTTTAGGTTTAGTGCCCTCGTCCGCGCCCCGTTCGGGTTTAGTGCCACCTCTGGCCGCTTTTACCGTCCCCTAACCTACACCTCTATCTATAAAACACCGTTCGTCCTCTTCGCAGCTTTGTCGACGCACTTTCTCTTCTTTTTCCTTTCTGACTCCCTTTCTCTCGACCCCACTAACTTCTACGCACTAACTTGCCACCTAATGCATCGCCCCTTTCATTTCCGCCGGAGTTGCTGTTCGATCTACCGATAAGACTGTTCTGGCCGGCATTGCCTATAACGCGGGCTAATCCCTAGCGACTTGATGCATTGAGATCATAAAGTCTTCGTACAACATGATGCTAGCATCTCCGCCGACGGTTGGTTATACTAGGAAGCTCTCGAAGAACCCTCCTATTCCTCCTATTACGAGACTATTTCGCCGAGTGCCTCGCTTATTTCGCTGGCATTCTTTCTGCGCGGCCGGAGAATAGTGTCTCGGAAACCCTCGATACACACGCTCCTGATTTGCTATAGATTGTCCGAGGTTGTATTGTATAGCCCCTAGTCGTCTACCTAGGTCCGCTTGTTCGCGACTACCTAGTGGTAAGACTTTCGTTATAGTCTATTTCTCCTAACTATTGTTACCTAGTCGACGAGACTTCGGACGACTATGCCGTGATACGGACTAATAGCGAAATTGCCGTATTCTTACCTAGTCTTAGTCGATGCTAAGTACTATATCACGAGGCGGACGATAGTATATTCTATAGACGGCTGCCGCCGCGCGTATACATAAGCGATTAGAGATTAGGCTAACGACCACTATAGAGCCGGGTCACAAAAGACCCGCTACCGAGGTGTGCGGAAGCTTTTGCTGATAGCCTTCGGCCCCTTGATATGCAACCGGTGTAGCTCCGCGCCTTAATACGACGGTGAAACGGTTCGAGTTAAATCCGCGGTGAATTCTCTGCGCTGTCTCACGGGAAATCCTTGTCTATAAAGGAGATAACAATCTCCTTCGAATAGCTCAATCAATCTATTAGTTCCCCTTTCCCTCCCCCTAACCCTGCTACACACTAAACCTCTAACTCCCCCTTTCCCTTCCCAAAGCAACACCTTTAGGATTCTTCTAGCTATCTAGCTTTTAAATATGTCAAACACTAACTTTCGCCTAGAATCGTTTCGTCCGTGGAATCCTTTCTATGACAAAGCTCAGCTATTGCGTAGTTCCCCTAGTACTTGTCGCTACCTAAGTCTAGTCTCGATCACTACCACTCCGCTAAGCTCTAATTCTAGCGACTATGTGTAACGGAATCCTCAGAAGCCATGCACAGATCTCTCGCACTCCTAGAGGATCGACACCATATAGGTGTCGACACGTTAGTGTTGGCTCACCGTAACGCTGATTCCCTATGTTAAATAATCTGCTCCGGAGAACCTAGCGGTTCTCTAAGAATCAGTCTCTATATTCCTCTAATATATTGTTCGCTTCTAGGCATCTTCATCTTACCTAGTTGACAGGCTCTATCCTGTAAACACTAGAACCCCTACTTCTTTACACGGCAGCCAATCGGTTCCTCGGTTTTAGTGCGAAAACCGGAGATATTTTTACATAAGCTCATGAGATCTGTCCATGATTGGCATAGTTTCTACAAGCTATCCGCTAGGGATATAGGACTGACGATTGAACTAGGCCGATGAGGGGGTTGTGTCGGATTCAGAGAGTACAATCTCTACGGGAATGCTTTATGCAGGACAGAAGACAGAGCTTCTAGAACGTTCGACAGACCCGATAAACAAGGAGCAACTTGCCACTTGACAGGAGAATTATTCTCCTGTGACAGGAACCAGGAAAGCATAACCACGGATCGGGATTTACAGTAGTTTTCGAAATCAGTTTGACCTTTTACTCTTTCGACTTGATTCCCGGAAAATAAATCCTACCACTGCGAGCTCTGATTGGATGTTATTTGAAGCACTTTATTCTAGACCGCCTCCTACAAAGTCCGCGTACGTTACATTACGTCTTCAATACCATAACTGGTGTATTTTACACGAAATTGGCAGACACGTAGTACCTCCCCGCTCTCTTGCTTTACCGACAAGTTGCAACTTCTTGCGCAAAAGCTCCCTGCTTACCATTATTAGTCCAGGCGACATTAGCCTAGGCGAAATGGCTCCAAGGCTCCTACATTCGAAGCTTATTCTCATCCGTGATATAATAGAGAGCGAATCTTTCACCGCGTCTGAAATGGCTTAACAAGCTGAATGCAGCAAGCAGACCATCATCAGTATTCGCAACAACTTACGACAATTTAGAAGCTTAATTCAGTTGAACAGGTATCAACTTCCTAATCACCTTTTAGATTTGTATCACCAAGTACTAGCCACCAAAACGTCACATTTCTCTAAAACTTCAGCTCATCATAGCGGATCGCCAGCCGTTAGGTTCAGACAGCCTTCAAACTTCGAGTATTAGAGGCGACGAAGGTCACGATCCTAGCATGATAGATGAACATAATGCGGATAGAAAGACCATTCCAATGAGCTCACCCGAATTCTGGAACGGCGCGAACATAGAGCATCTCCCTGTTATACCGAACAGCTTTATACTTAAGCAATCTACTCCTAATTCAACGTACGCCAAGTACCCCGGCTGCCGGAGCTTCGACTATACCCACATCTTTCAGCACCTAGAATCGACGTGCGGTCAGCTGGCAAAAAGGAAAATTGAGATTCATATCGGACGGGTTCTGATGCCCATCTCATGATCGATATATTCCAAGGCTTCCGGATCGGTCGGAAGGAGATTTGCTTCAGCTTCTTTCCTTTCCTTGTCACGTCTAGACTTGCTCCACAGACGTCTAACACAGTCTTTTCCAAACTTGAAAGGTTTCGTAAGCCACTGCGCAGCCGCAGGCGGTGATGTCGCTGGATTATTTGCAATAACCGTATGTGCCACGAGGAGGCAGGCACATAGACTTAAGACTGTGGTCAAAACCCTGGAGTTGTTGTTAGATTTGTGGAAAGATAATTTGAGGCAAACGCAAGTATACTCACGCTAAGGCAATCTCGAATCTCCAAATAGTGACCAGTGCATCACATGGCCGATTGGTAAAACGTCCGCCGAATTTTTTCTTGCCCCGAGTAGTCGGTAATACCTCGAACATTGTAGGTATTCCTTCTGAGATACTAGTGGGGTCTCGCCATACCTTATAATTTTCGCATGATCCTAGAGGAAGCGGTAAATAACGCGATTGAAGGACTGCAGAAGCGACGAGACCCATAGCAAGACTGAACCGAGTAACAACACAAGCCAACCCCCATAATGTGCTATGTGGCATAAAGATAGACAAGAAGAACAACGCTACACCGATACATGCCTAGATTCCTGGTTAGTGGTTTCTAGCGACACGAACAAGAAAACATACTATGATAAGCGGCATGTCTGTACCTGGCCTGATATCGGGGCTATATAGAGGCCCAAAAACCTCCGGCCGTGAATAGACTTTACCCCAGAAGGCACCAGACAGGCATGCCAGCACTATAAATAGGATGAAGAATATAAAGGGGACATATTTCTCGAACCAGAGAATCATCCGAATCCCTCGAGGAGGCTTGTCCACAGGCGTGGACATGATCGGCGAACATGTAAAGAAAGATATATGAAAATGCGAATAATATAGGAGAGCAGTGAGAGAAAATTCATGTGAGCTACGGCATGATTCATGATCATTTTATAAACCATGCCATATTCCCCACTCCCACCGAGTTGTGGTCATAGCGATCTACAGTCTGTGTGGTGGAGTTAAATAGGATCGTCTCCAAACACGGCTTTGAGGCTTGAAAGTAACCTAATATAGTAGGGATATGCACATGATATATTACTTTAGTTCAATTGAGTGGGCTAATACGAGGTAATAGAGGCTACCAAAGACATCTCCAAATATGATCACAGTCCTTGGCAGGGCCCTGTTCGCTTATTGGGAGAGCTAGGTTTGAATGCCATGAAACGAGGGAGCGGAGTGAAAGGGTTTACAAACGTGGGTAGTTGTTAACGTAATTCCCACATGAGCGGGACAACCGGTTGCACGGGACACCCCAAAACACCATACTAAATGCAACATTTCACAACTTCAAATTACAACGCTTAAGGCTGATTATATGATCTTATGGTATCTAAAGCTATTCCGGCTCAACAGGCGAGGGGTGGGGGGTTCCGCAAAATTTGGTCTTGGCAAGTGAGGGTACCAAAGAAAAGAAGTCTTGGGCAAGGGGGAAAGAGTTGATACATCCCACCCCCTTAAGTACCTAGAATCTTGATATTTTTCGACCGGATCTTTTTAATCTTTCTATCCTAGAGCGAGATCTATCTGAATGCCACATAATATTCTAGGATTCTCACGTGGAAGGCCCTATCCCATGGGGGGTGCTGGAGTCAGGGCTGACTCCAGGTTAGGGTCTTCCCTTCACTATGGGACATAAAAAGTGGGGCCACCCTGACTCCAGGTTCTTTTCTTACCCTGACTCCTGAGGTCTAATGAACTCCGATCGGTCTAAAATTTTTATGAGTTATAATAGACTACGTGAAATATCTCCTATTCGCTTCGGAGCATGCACAGCCTAGTAATTATTGAGAAAAATAGCGATTGAAAATTAGAGATGTTTTGTTGGGGTATACCATTACGGTGTACGATTAGCACCTAAGACGCTACTACAGCACTCTAGACGAATAGAACAACCTCGATAATACTAGTCTATAATTGTTGAAATTACACGATGAATGACGCTACGGAAGCATGTATGTCAAGGCCAACGAGGTGGTTTATGTCTGATCTCTCTCTCATGAGAGAGAGATCCTATTTAATGAGAAACATTTCTCATGAACTATACTCTATATGGTAGGTTCAATGCTGATCACGAGATTCATGCTTGGTGAAGCAGGCATTCCATGCCTGGAGATGCCTAGAGAAGCCATGAATCTCAACACACCCCCTCAGTATTGAAGCTATTATGTCCTTCAAAACGTCTTTTCCAATGCTAGCGCGTCGCGGAATGTTTCGAATGTAGGTCTTGCTAATGGCTTGGTGAGACCATCAGCAATATTGTAGGCGCCAGCGACGTGAGAGAGTCGTATTTTGCCTTCTTCAACTCTCTCGCGGATCTAATGGTAGTGGGTCTCAATATGGCGGCTTCTCGAGTGATGCCTTGAGGACTTAGCCATAGAAATCGCCGATTGACTATCGCTGTAGAGATAAATTGGGTCTAATGTATCTACGGCTCGTAGGTTAACGAGCAAGCGATAAAGCCATACGCCCTAGCTTCCTGCGTCCGAGAGAGCGTAATACTCTGCTTCGGCTAATGACTTCGTGACGTAGGATTGCTACTTCGAAGCCTATGAAATTAGCCCGCTAGCCAGGTAGAATACCTATCCTATACGGCTTCTTATGGTGTTAGGATCCGATACAAAGGACGCGTCCACGCACCCCTAGAACCCGTATCCGTCCTCACAGCTAGTATTACCACCCGTTTTCGGTTGTCCGTAGGTTATCGTAAGGTTGCTAGTTCGCTTAGCGTATCGGACGGCTTAGTAGACGGCGGAGAAGTGAGGATCGTAAGGTTTAAGGTTATGCTTCGTGAGCATCCTAAGCGCTAGGGAGAGGTTAGGACGTGAGACCGTGCTAGCGTAGATTAGACTACTAGTGAGAGACTAGTAGGTCTTCACGCTCTGCTAGTCGGCCGGCTCTTCCGCCTTCCTAAGCTCGATGCTAGGGCTAAATAGGATAAGAGGTTTTAGAGAGGAGGAGGTCGGTAGAACCTTAGGAAATCTGTCAATGTAGGCTTTTTGGTCTACTTTCATGATTCTAGCTTCCTAGTCGCGTTGAATCCTAAGGCTAAGGTAGTGAGAGACCTCACCTAGGTCTAAAATAGACCATTTCTTAGCGATAGCTTCTTGGACTCTCTAAAGCGTTGTAGGAGACGTCGCTGCGAGCAACATGTCATCCACGTAGACGAAGATAACGGTAATTCCACCCCCTTACTCGTGGCGTACGTATAGACACGGGTCAGCGGAGGATGCAATAAAGCTTTTAGAAATAAGGAAGCTGCTAAGGGTCTTATACCAATTAGCTGCTAACTAGCGCAAGCCGTATAGACTCTTAAGAAGGCGACAGACTTTACCGCGAGGTTCGACGCCATAAAAGTCGAGACCGTCGGGGTATTGCATGTACGTTTCCTCTTCTAATATCGCATTAAGATAGGCTAAATTAACGTCTAAATGCGTCGTATAAAGCTTCTTCAATGTGATAACTATAAGGAGTACTCGGAGGGTCTCGTAGCGGCCGGTGGCAGCGTACGCGTCCTCGTAATCAATGCCTTCTCTCTAGGTATTACCTCGGGCCACCTACCGTGCTTTGAACTTAGTAGGTCTGCTATTAGCATCGGTCTTAAGCTTATAGACCTATCGACCTAAGAGGATCTTAGCCCCTAGTGGTAGAGACGCTGGTTGCCATACCTAGAGAGTCTCAATGTTACGCACGACTAACGGGTCGTCGCTATGTTAGAAGTTCACTAGGGTTATACTTATTATAATAACCAAAGTGATCATAGTTAGATTGCGTGTTTGTTCTTACGTTTGTTTGTTTAGGTTATAGGGTTTTTTCTTTGTTATGATTCTATACTCCACATAACAATGAGACGGTGAATAGCAGGCCAGAAAAGGCCGCTTCGGGGGCCGTTTTAAGCCTCCTATTCACCGGCGACGGTCTTGGCGTCACGTGTATCTAAGGACACAGCCAATGTGACCTACTGCCACTTTTACTCTCTTTTTGGCCGTTGCATAGCGCCTAGCCCCGCAGCGACCTCACTAGAGCGCCGGCCGTTCCTAGTCCCACTCGTGATACTGCCGCTGCGAGCCCGTTCTAACTAGGGTCCGGAAAGAAGGAGCTATTCTATCTCCCCTTTCAGCACCTTTTAAGCACCTTTATTCCCTAGATTCCATAAATACCGACCGCCATAACTCCCGAATTTTCATTCTTCCCGCTCGCCAGCGATCTTCTTATTATCTAATCTATTTCTCCGGCAGAACCCTAGTGTTTCGAGTGGATTCTATACACTCTTAATTAGTTCCCTATTCCCTACCGGACACTACTCCCACATCATGACTTGCCTTTTACGTCCTGATTTATTAGACGACGAGAGCGACGCGAGCTCAGAACTACCTAAGATCTTCTCGAACGAAGCCTTAGAAACCGATTCGGTCACTATATATTGTGATAACGAGGATAAATCGGAGTCGGAGGATAAATTTCCTATAGAAGACGAAGAGAAGCAGCTTCTACCGGAGCACTATCTCTAGGAGGCAGAGTGTCTCGATATCTCCTAGCTTCGGCAAAAACGCTACAGCCTAAGAACCTAAGACAAAATTGATAAGACGCGGGACTATTAGGATAGGTAAGAGCGTGCCACCCCTATGGTTTCTCTAATTACATTTAGCTAATTATTCTAGGTTTTACGAGGGCGGAAAGCGGGACCCGGTAGAATGTTTCTTCTAGCTCTCTAACATAGAGGAGACGATCCGTTTTTTGAAAGCTCTCTTTTCCTAGCGCTATAATCAGCGGAGGGGGAAGAACGGGCGATATACGCCGGGACTAAAGTATAAAAGCTCGCTAGAGACATTCTAGAAATAGTGGTATCTAGTCTATAAGGCTAAAGTCGGACATAGACTTAGTAAAGATACGATCGTCAAAATCGAGGATATAAGTCTATTAGTCCGCTAATCTATTAGACTAATCTATTTATAGCTAACAGCCTATAGGTGCTTACGATAGTTACGACTAAGAAAAATCTCTGCTTCGATCGGCGACAGAAAGCGACTATATATATTGAAGATGTGGCCGAGTTTGCTCGAGTGGTACTATCTACGACGGAGATGACTTTCCCTTATAGCTAGTACCGGGTGTAGTTCCTCCTATACTATCAACTAGCCGCTATCACTAGCAGCCGGCCTAGAGCGCTCTTAAACCTTCGTTACCGGGACCTTATATTAACCCTAGTACGAGATCTAAATAGCCACCTTCCTCGGCTTTTCATTTATATAAGGCCGGAGTTCACAAAATCATTTCTTAGCAAGAAGGAATCGTAAGAATATTCCCCTAGCCCTAAATCCCTC